TGATAAAAAGAAAGATCAGAGACAATATAATAACATCGAGTCACGAGTGTCAGACTTACGGCTGATGGTTAGCCTAAAACAGGGTGAATAAGGAGGGTGCTAAGACTGGCACTGTCCATGTAAGAGAGTAGAGTATCGTTCACCTCAGTTATCAGCCAACAAAAGATGAACAAAATGAAACCACATACTGCACGTCTTGCGTACGGCTCTACTTTTCATCCCTCCTGCCGTTGGGCCTAATCATGCTTCACGCGCGAAGTCGGTATGCAGAGCCTTGTAACGGCTGATAAACTTGTTCGAGAAGCTAAGTCCAGCTTCGTCCCGAACGCGAGGGAGCCAGGAATTGTTGTAGTTGAGCGTCCTCGCCATCACGAATGGTGTCGGGTGACTCGGGCAATCGCTCAACATCGGTAAGTTTTCACGAAGAGCTTCTGGGACACCTTTGTTGGTGCATTGAGCTAGAACGCAGCTGACAAGTGTTTAGCGGAGGTATGTGACATGATGTGAACCTTCTCACTGTCGGGGTGACAGAACGGGCAGTGAGAGATCAGAGAGAAGGAGGTCTTGGTAGATCAAAAAGCTCATTTCAACGAAGATACGAGATAGGCGCTTTGGAGCGCGATAATTGACATTGCGAAATATTTGATGGACAATATCAATATTATATAATAGAATAGTAAATTTATTTCGGCATAATGATCGGCAAGTGTACAAACATCGGTCTTAGCCGTGATATTGAAGCTGGCTGGTCCCTGTTGCCATACATTCAGGTGAACAGATCCGAACATTCATAAAATCGTTAGCGTTGATGCGTAGGCACAAAGGTGTGTTACCATGGAAATAAAGCCAAGATAAATCGAAGACTGGCGCCGTGGTGAACGGAGACAAGTCGAGGGTCAGGAAATCGCCAAAATTTCGCCGTCTTGTAAGGAGAACTGCAAACTCTATCCTTCAAGAACAGTGCCCACTGACTCCAGTGTTTGTGGGTTCTCGACGTCTTGGTGCAGGGTTTGAAGTCCAAATCTACCGAAGATAGAGACCATGAGCTACAAAGACGCGCATTGCTCCGCAAGCTATCCAGATAGGAGCCTTCAAACTACAAAGAGAGGCATACACCTTCCTAAATCTACGTGCACATGACGGGCCGTAATGATTGCATCTGTGGAGGTCATCAGAAGCACATCGCAAGGATGTCAAGAGACGATGGTTAACATTGGGTTCCTCTCGGTTCACTGTCGTTTCATGGAGGGCGAAAGGCGCGGTTACGGTCGTGATAAGATTAGGCCGGAAGCAATCCTTGTATGCACCTTTCGGTACTTTGGTTGTATGAAAAACTTTTAAAAAAATATGCGCGTGCGTTAGAACAACGGCGCAGTAAGCTCCAAAGAAGCGTACAGAGTTTGTCAAAGTCATTCCATTTGACATGCACATGTTCGTCCCAAGAAATCGGACATCGCCAGCTATAGAAATATGCAAGATTTTAAGAATGGCTTTTTGAATTGCAAGCTCATTGAACAGGAGCAAGTCGGTGACCAGGTCGTTGAGAGAGGAAAAATGGTCAAGCCATAGATAGTTGAAAACATAGGAAGCCAGCTTCTTCACCATATAAGCCAATCCGGTGTCGGATCGCATCGATCAAGCCTAAGACCGGGTGGAAAGCAAATTGTCTGCGATGCAATCCAACGTAGAGGCATTTCCAAGGAACAAATCCTCAACCGTGGCGCTAGCGTGAAAGAGATCGAGCATTAGTCTTGTGACCACAAATCCATCCTCATCGGTTTGCCACCAGTGTGACCCAGTTTCGTCCGAGGGCTTCCGTTCTGCTTAGCGTGATCAAGTCCAAGCATTCCAGAATGTTCCGTATTCCGAGAGTCCGAACTGCCGCCGATCCGCCAGTCCGCCTGTCCAGAGTTCGCACGACACCTACCTCTGCCAAACGCGGTCACGGCCCTCTTCAACACCTGCCCGCTCGACGCTGTTGAGCAACTGTATCAACCACAGACGGTTACGACGTTTAGTTCAGGTGTCGGCTCAGTCATTGCTTACGATGGCGCTGACGTCTCTTCGCCTATTTTGGCCAGCCTATCGCAACTTCGGTGCTAAGTACGATGCCCACTGTAGCACAGGAAGGCCATAGGTGAATGTCCTGTTGACATATAACAGGTGCTGATGTGTCCCTCAGCGTCCAAGGAGTCCAAGTGGGTAATACAGCCCAAGCCTAAAGCTCCCACCACATTGAGGCTGGATGTGGCCTCCCCTCACGGCTCCTCCCATTGACAAACGGCCTCCTCCCATCGATAAATGGCCCCCCTCTCCCTCCCTCCCTCGACAAGTGGTGAACGGCCTCCTCCCTCGAAGAATGCCCCCCTCCCCCTCCTTCGACAAATGGCGGATGGCCTCCCTTGACGAACGGCACCCTCGATAAAAGGCGAACGAGGAGGTGAGGAGCGAAGCTCCGAGCTGACGAGCAAGGCGTTCTAGAGACTTTGGACGATTATGGCCGCGACGTAGACCAACGTTTCGTCTGTTAAAGAGACTCATCAGGCGGCGGGGTGGTCTTTTACCACCAAGAAGAACATTACGTAACTATCCCAGAATCACGGGATCACGTGTGTGCGCCCTCAGAGTTGCGGAATCCGCGATGGAACTCGACGCGTTTAGTTCACTCTCGAGGCCCTTTTGATTTCTAACCCCTCAATGGTAGAGTACTAGATTGTCTACCATTGCTTGTAGGTTGTTAGAGTGATAGGAAACTGAAATTTATCTTCATTCAATTTATTCTTTGGGTGACTCTGCTGCAGGCAGCTGAAAGGTGATTTAAAAATCACGTATCACCGGTATCAAATGCATAGAATGAAGTGGAATAAAATTTCCGTCTCTCAAAAGGGAATGACTGATGGTGAAACCAGATTTTTATTATCAAAAATCGAATTTTTTACATCTACTCGAGGGAGCAGCTGCATACGGTGGTCCCGCAGGGACCGCCGGCAGCTGGTTCGAGAGTAGGTGTAAAAAAACGGGTTCAAACGGTCATTGCTTGTTCAGCTTGGTAAGCCTCGATCGTCTCACAGTTGATTTTATTCAATCGGTCATTCAAAGCCTCTGGTTTTTTAAAGGATGCAAGGAAGCAGTCATCGGGTTTTCCAAGCCCAGTTTCCTCCCAAGCATCACACAGAGTTTTCCATATGGGACCGAATTCTACAGAGTCCCACAGTGGATTGTGAATGAGTTTCAGGACATATAGCCGGCCCTTGTTCTCCCATTCAGGTATGGGAGTACGAGGGGTGAGTGCTTTTGGGCGCTCGTCGGCATATGACACACCTGAAAAGACTGACCGAAGCCATCTCCCTGGGTATCCTTGAGCTCGTAAACGAGATGAGAACATCTTGACTATCTTTTTGAAGTCCTCTTCTTGAGAAGATAGTCTGACATAGCGAATGAGTTCGCCTTTCACCCAAGACCTTTTGGATGCGTCAGAGTGGCAAGATTTCCAGGGAATATAAAGATAGGCATTCAGGGCCTTCTGGAAGACGCGCGTTACTATAGCAGGTTTGGTAGACTGGTATAGTACTCCAGGAGCAACCTCCAGGGAGACACTGACATCCAGAAACGGCAGTTTGTACCGTGATTGGGTCCATTCCATCTTCATATTGGGGTGTAGTTCCCTGCTGTAGTGTCCAAGCGACTCAACAACAAGGAAGAACCCGACGACGAGTCGGACAAGAAGAAAAAGAAGAAGAACAAACCGAATCCGACCCCGTCGTCATCCAAACCCTCGAACGCTTCGCCGTCGTCTTCGAAAGCCCCGGCGTCGAAGAAAAAGGACAAGGAGCCGCAAGGGAGAGGAAACAGAAAAGGAAAAGGAAAAGAAAAGGAGGCATCCACAGGAGAGCAGGGAGGGAAGCCGAAATCGAAGAAGTCGAAACCCTCGGAGTCAAACGACACCGACTAGACGCTTCGCACACACCTCCCCCAATTCCCCACCTCATCACTACATGGACACCCCTGCCCGGGATCAAATTTCATCGCCTAAAGCCTGAGACCTACCCCCCCATATTCTTTTCTGCACCTTTAACTCTACAAAGCCGATTCGTTACTGCACGCATCTCCCCGTTATTCTATGATACGTGAATCACAAACCATACATTCCATAACATGACCAGTGTGAAATTGAGCTATGAACAAGTCAAAATGCTGGCGCTGAACTCCAAATTTGTACCGAGGCCCCAAATTACCTCAGTCAAATCAGTTAGCTTTGCATTTGACGACTTTGAGCAACGGTTAAGACTTTCGGAAAAGGCCTGCAAATTGCGAAACCTAGCCATTATACAAGGACTTAACCCTGACCTTGACAAGGGACAACCACGCTATGTAGCAAAGTTCCACATCCCGAATCCTGAGGCAGAAGCACCGAAAATGCTCCTCCACGTCGAACTTGCTCTCCAACGGGCCCGTGAACTGCTTGAAGTACAAGTGCTTGACCGCCAAACACTTCACGTTCGCCCAAATATCAGCCAAAAAGAACTCGATAAGCTCTTAAAAATTCTCAAAGAGGAAAGGGTCATTGCCCTTCCATCCGACAAGAATCTTGGGCTCTGCCTTGTTACTGCTGACTGGTATCAAGAGAATGGTCTCAAACTCCTTCTCAACCCCTCATATATTGAGGAAGAACCGGACCATGAGTTGCTGTCCACGTCTCTTGAGACAATTGTTAAGAAGGCATCCAACCTCCTTACCCGACAACAACTCACATGGCTGCTTGATCCTATCATGAACCATGTCACAAAGGTCCCAGTTCTAAAAGTGATACCAAAGATCCACAAATTCCCATTAATTACTGCACGACCAATTGTCCCAACTTTTGGCACATTGTTGGCAAATGCGTCTGCTTGGGTGGATTTTCGCTTAAAGCCCCTCCTACCCCAGTTTCCTTGGATCCTCCCAGATTCAAAGACATTCTGCCGTCAAATCCTTGATGTCAAAATGCCCACTGGAAAAGAAGTCTGGCTTGTATCTGGTGATGTTGTCGCAATGTACCCCAATATACCAATTGAGGATGGCATTTGCAAGATCGCATCAATACTAGGGGTCTCTCCAATGTTCTTCATGACACTGGAAGAGGCTGTTGAACTTGAGATTAAATCCCTCGATGAGCTTACAATTCTCCTAATGAGAATGGTTCTGCAGTTCAACTACGTAGCCTTTTCGGGCAAAACCTTCCGCCAGGTAATTGGTACTGCGATGGGCACTTCACTTGCACCTGACTATGCGAACCTCTTCCTAGCCGGGTATGAAGGTCCAGCGCTAAAAGAATTTCGCCATATACTACTCTATTATGGTCGCTTCATTGATGACACCTTTGCCATCATTGAAGGAAACCTGGAGGACGTGCAAAAATTCCAAAAGCGTTTCGGGGAACTACACCCCAATATGAAGATGGAATGGACCCAATCACGGTACAAACTGCCGTTTCTGGATGTCAGTGTCTCCCTGGAGGTTGCTCCTGGAGTACTATACCAGTCTACCAAACCTGCTATAGTAACGCGCGTCTTCCAGAAGGCCCTGAATGCCTATCTTTATATTCCCTGGAAATCTTGCCACTCTGACGCATCCAAAAGGTCTTGGGTGAAAGGCGAACTCATTCGCTATGTCAGACTATCTTCTCAAGAAGAGGACTTCAAAAAGATAGTCAAGATGTTCTCATCTCGTTTACGAGCTCAAGGATACCCAGGGAGATGGCTTCGGTCAGTCTTTTCAGGTGTGTCATATGCCGACGAGCGCCCAAAAGCACTCACCCCTCGTACTCCCATACCTGAATGGGAGAACAAGGGCCGGCTATATGTCCTGAAACTCATTCACAATCCACTGTGGGACTCTGTAGAATTCGGTCCCATATGGAAAACTCTGTGTGATGCTTGGGAGGAAACTGGGCTTGGAAAACCCGATGACTGCTTCCTTGCATCCTTTAAAAAACCAGAGGCTTTGAATGACCGATTGAATAAAATCAACTGTGAGACGATCGAGGCTTACCAAGCTGAACAAGCAATGACCGTTTGAACCCGTTTTTTTACACCTACTCTCGAACCAGCTGCCGGCGGTCCCTGCGGGACCACCGTATGCAGCTGCTCCCTCGAGTAGATGTAAAAAATTCGATTTTTGATAATAAAAATCTGGTTTCACCATCAGTCATTCCCTTTTGAGAGACGGAAATTTTATTCCACTTCATTCTATGCATTTGATACCGGTGATACGTGATTTTTAAATCACCTTTCAGCTGCCTGCAGCAGAGTCACCCAAAGAATAAATTGAATGAAGATAAATTTCAGTTTCCTATCACTCTAACAACCTACAAGCAATGGTAGACAATCTAGTACTCTACCATTGAGGGGTTAGAAATCAAAAGGGCCTCGAGAGTGAACTAAACGCGTCGAGTTCCATCGCGGATTCCGCAACTCTGAGGGCGCACACACGTGATCCCGTGATTCTGGGATAGTTACGTAATGTTCTTCTTGGTGGTAAAAGACCACCCCGCCGCCTGATGAGTCTCTTTAACAGACGAAACGTTGGTCTACGTCGCGGCCATAATCGTCCAAAGTCTCTAGAACGCCTTGCTCGTCAGCTCGGAGCTTCGCTCCTCACCTCCGCAATCGTATGTGTTAGGAAAGGTCCCAGTCCATGGTGAAGCCAAGTAGAGAAGCATGGTCAGGTCCGACTCCAAACGATCGAATGCAAGCGATGATCGATAGCCCGGTAGTGTGATCAATTCCAACTTCCAAGTAACGCCTCCATTCCTAAGTGGTAAGAGCTGACCACAATGGCACAATCCATTCCACAGGGATCGGCGATGAATGGAGTTAAGCACCTAAAAGTCGATTTTGAAATTCGTTCCCTCGCTCATGAGTTGAAATAACTGGGCCTGGCCATGGTCTTGTCGCCAAGTAGTGCAAGTAGCACCGAGTGCTATTGTCAGGGACCAGCAGGAACCGAATCATTGTCAGCAAGCAAAGTGACCTTGAGGTGACCGCTGCCGCTGGTAAGCGTCAGCCTCTCGTTGAAATAACTGATCTGGTCTTGTCGCTGGATCCAAGCAAAGAGGAAAGGCGGACTCCGCGACAGGTTGAATTTGAGTATGAGTATGAGTAGCCAGGACTTTCGGAGGACAATCATGATCTCCCGAATTTTTCGTGGTTTTGACGCTCGAGATTTAACAAAACCAACACCCACATGTTTTTCTCCTCAGTTTACCATACCCCCCGGGAGGAAGTATGGTAGGGAGTTCACCTCGTTTGATTGTCTCGTGAAAGGGGGTAGTAAGAGAAGCTTTGTTTATTTCGACGCGTCTTTACCAAACAAAGCCCCTATCTATAATCTTACACTCGGACTCGCCACATCGAGGCTCGGCAGAGAAACTTGAGTAGGGCTGATGAGCCCAACGTGCAGCTGACTATCTCAGGCTAGGCTGAGATACGACGTTTAGCGCGTTTTCCGCGGTCCCTATTCATCCGCCGCGAAGTACGTTCATCATTCAAGAATCTCACAACTCTCCTCTATTGATTATTCCCCAAACCAACTTCCTACACCTACGTTCAATCGCAATAGACATATATATGTAAGAATAGGTATACAACATTAATAACCTACAAACCCCTCGGAAATATCAATTGCAACTGGCAAAATGTTCGGCGTTGGCTGTACTAGTAAAAAGAAAGGCGTATAAACATTATATAGTAGTAATAGTAGTATGTGCGTGCGGGGCCGTTAGTACTGGATGGATGGAATCGTGCAGCCACGAACGCTCAATTTCAGCGAGCGAGCAAACGTGGTGCAGGTTTTTCGAAGCTTCAAAGCAAGTCGTGAGGCGTTCGTTATTGGTCGGGGCGCTACGAACTCCCATCCTCCTCCCCACTCCCCCTCTTCTCCTCTTCCTCCTCCTCCTCCTCAACCTCCTCATCACCCAACCTCCCCTCCCCACCCTTCCACTCCCTCTCCCACGCAGGATCAGGCGATAAAGGCACAAGCGCCGGATGTCCCGGTGGAAGTGACGCCCTCGCACGATGCAGCCTTCCCAAAAGCGCAGACCGCTCCGCGAGTAAATCCTGCATGTAATCAATCGCTACAAAAATACAAGATATCAGTAAGATTAGGATCAAAGAAGCAAAAGGCCAAACGAAATGAAATGAAACCCACTCTTCGACAAAACGACATTCTCACTCCTCGGCCCAGCCCGTCCATCAATCTTATCCTTCTCCCCCTTCTCCTCCCCTTCCCCACCTCCCTTCCCTTTCTTCCCTTTCTTCCCCTTAGAAGCAGCACCCTTCCCCTTCCCATTACCCTCTCCATTCCCACCCCCACCCCCTCCTCTCGCCTCCGCGTCCGCCTCTTCTTCCTCCCTTATAGCCTCGCGTAAAGCAGGCACAGTCTCACAAAGCGCCTCGTACCCACGGCGGATATTCGCGCGGCGCTTTTGTTCAGATTGGATGTGGTTGGCTTTTTTCTGGGATGGCGAGAGGAGGGTTTGTTTGGGTAGGCCGTTGTTGTGACCGTTGTGGGGGTTACGCACGTAGGGAGGTGAGGTTCTGGGTCGTTTGGGGTTCGTGGTTGTTGTTGATGATGTGGATGCTGCTGCGCTGCTTGTGCTTCCTCTGGAAGAGAGTGAGTGTTGTATGGGTGTGCGTTTGGATAGTGTGGATGTGGATGGCGCGGACATGGGTTGGCCGGGGAGATGGTGGTGGTTGGAAGGTGGGTATGCAAACATGTTGTGTGGGGAGATTGGAGTGCCTCCGGAAGAGGAAGAGGATGCGGTGGGGGTTAGTAGGTGGGATGGGAGGGTGGGGATGGTGAGTTGGTGAGGGATGGAGATGTGTTGCGGGTGGTGGTGGCTGTGTGGGTCTTGCTGCTGGTGCTGGGTGTTGGGCCATAGCTGAGATGATGGTTGTTGACGCAGCTGCTGGTTCTTTGTGTGCAGAAATGGGAAGGAGTCGCGCGAAGAGGACGAGTAAGAAGCTCTGTGAGGCTGTTGCAGCTGATGCTGGTGTAGCTGCTGTTGGTGGTGATGTTGGTACTGCCCATTGGAGTCGTACGCCTGATGCTGCTGGTTGTAATCGTGTTGAGAATGCGACATGTTCCACCGATCCGAGTCTAGCGACATCAGATCCTTTGTGGCTTTCGCCAAAGCTTCGCTTCCTTGAGCCTGGGGTACATTGTCCACCAAAATGTCATCGTCGCGGTATTGGTGATGAAGCGCATAGACGCCTCCGCCGCCCCATTCTGGCGGTGATGTTGATGCTTGGTCGTTGTAGTCAATCGAGGAGAGGAAAGACTGGAAAGCGTGTGATTCCGACGGGGAGAGAAGAGACTCCATTCTGAGATGGTGGTTGAGGAAGAAGCCCTGTGATTGCCAGCGATGCAGCGATGGCCAGCTTGTGGATTTCGGTCGTTCTAATATCGAGCGTAGATAGATATAATCTAAGCAACTTGCAACCGCCCATGTGATTATCCTCCGACGTGATGGCGGTGCTACCTTCCCTAATTAGGACACCCGCGCCCTTCCGTCCACATGCGCGTGTATCCTTCACAACACCCCATCGTCGCTGGTGGCGTCCAGATACCCGTTCCGACTTAACACCACCACCACACGCGGATACCCCATTAGAACTGTCAACATCCAGCCATTATTTTTGCAAATCCATCCAAAACAATCACCATAGTCGTCACAGCTACCACAGAGCTGCCCAACACCCCAACCCTCATTTCAAAATCTGTCAATCCCTGCCAGGCTACGCGATACGCGTGGCCAGGGAACACGATCGAGCCAAGCGTCGATCATCCCATCCCAGATCCACCGCTAATTTAAAAACTTATTGGATCATCGTTGTCATCGTCGTGGCGGCGATCGTTGCTGGAACGTGGCTTTCAATTCGAATTTGAAGCAACCTATTTGCAAGTATCCATGGTTAGAAGTCTGTGCACTTGCCTACTCAACATCCATCCATCTGTTTGTTGCTGGCCCACCATCTCTCTCTTTTCCAAGGCGAAATTGACGTTTAATTGATTTAATCAACAACCTTCAAGCTCTCCCCAAGGAGAAAATATCTCAATCACTGTGCACCACGGCCGGTTGTCCAACGAAAGCGCAGTCACCCTCGAACTATCACATGTGAGGAACGATTCTAAACTTACTTGCCGTGCACACGTACTGTAGGTACTAGGAAGGAAGTCCGCACGTCAAAAATTTAAGACAATCCAGCACCGCTGTCTTGGAACAAACTATCACTACGCGGCAATCTGCGCTCAACACCCATGCCGCGAACGTTAATCCAGGGCCCACCGCAGAATAATGTCTTCTCACGTCCATGCGATTGTGGAATATGGAAGCGCAAAATGAAATATTTCTTACAATATGGTGATGACTGCGGTAGATCGCATAATTGTCTTGAACAGACGATCGCGGTCGAATAAAAAATTATATCGACAACGTTCTAGAAAGATCGAGAGGTATGGCTTCCTCCTCCAGAGTCCAAGCGTCGCGAAATACGTTCGCCATGCAGGTTTTCCTCCGCGCGGGCTACCGCCGGATGAACAAATACCTCCGTCCCATTCAGCTGTCCGTCCTTCACTCAAAACTCAAACGGTACCAGTAAACCCAACGCAATCTGATCATGATACGTGTCCTTGCAAAATTCTTGATCACCGTAAGTGCTTAGAGACTCACTATGATTTATTTAATAGAAGCTAAATCACAAGCCTCGCTTCCTAGCGCTTCTTCTAGATATCCACCATCACCATCGTACACATATAATGCCGGCGAAAAAGATGCCCAAGTCCCGACTCCACCCACACACACGCACGCCTGAAACGGTTGGCAGAACTTTGGGATTGGCATCACACCCCTCGATTTTTTCTTCTTTCGAGTGGGTTTTCGATGGAACTTCTCGGTACCGCGTGGAGCTGAGGTGATAAATTCCAAGGACTAATTAATGTAAGTTTGAATTTATGAAGCTCAGCGCTCAAGGCCAAGCGCTAACTTGATTTGACGTGTGGTATAATTTGACCTAGTAAATCGAATTTACTATAGGGACAGCTACATTGGAGAATGGACAATTGCGTCAGGTATGTGCATACTCTCAATATTGGGATCATGCGTGTGGGCTTGCGGGTTTGTGCGCGCGCATCCCCATTCAACGCACGGCCGACTCGGAGTCTTCTATGTCGTTTTCTTTTTTTCTTGCAGGTTTCAGCTAAGCGACAAAAAACCTGGGTGCTAGTCGACGGAAAGTTCCTCATCATATCCAGCTGGGTGAGTATGTTCTTTCCGCGTCGGTATTGGCGTTTTGAGATGTATAGTACTCTCCCACATTACCATTTCAACATTCCGATGGACCAACTCATGGTCTGGCCTTCCAATTCCGAACGGAGAAAAAAAAAAAGCACTGGGCATACGCCATATATATGCGGAAAGTTCCTTCTAAATCGCTTGATCCCCGGGGCGCCGCTGTTTGGGAACAAACCCTCCATGGCCCACTCTATCACTACGTTTTTGAGGCAATCACCGCCCAACACCCTTCCTGCAAATTGTGCCCATGCGATTGTGGATTATGGAAGCACAAAATGAATTTTCTACAATGTGGTGACTGCGATAGATCGCATAATTGTCTTGAACAGACGATCGTGGTCGGAAAAGAAATATTGTATCGACAGCGTTCTAGAAAGAGGTACTAGCTCTTCCTCCTCCAAAGTACAAGCATCGCAAAATATATACCCCAACCAGGGTTTCCTCCGCGCGGGCTACCGCCGGATGAATAAATACCTCCGTCCCCGTTTTTCGCGCACTCCGAGTCAAAGAACAAAACCCAAACGGTACCAGTAAACCCAACGCAATCTGATCATGACGCACGCGTTCTTCCAAAAAATTCTTGATCACCGTAAGTACTATATAGACTCACTATGATTTAATAGAAACTAAATCACAAGCCTCGCTTCCTCTAGATGGTGGAGACTTATAATACCGGCTCAAAAGATGCCCAACTCCCGACTCCACTCACCCACGCACACGTCCTCCCTGGATCATTGACATCACACCCTCGATTATTTTTTTTTCGAGATGGGCTTACGACGGAACTTCTAGATCTCTCGACAGGCGCATGCTCGTTACGCTCCGTTTGTGGGCCCATTTCAAACCTTTTTCTGGCGGCTGCGTGGAGCTGAGGTGATAATATCCAAGGACCAATGGAGTACGTAATGTAAGTCTTAAATCTATGAAGCTCAAGGCTAAGCGCCGCTGACTCGACACAATTTGCCCTACATCGAATTTATCTCAGAGACAGCTACGAACAATTCGGGGGGAAGGGAGAATGGACAATTGAACGCGTTGCGTCAGGTATGTATGTACTGACTCTCAATATTGGGATCATGCGTGTGGGCTGCAGGCGGCTTTGTGCGCTCGCATCCCCATTCTACGCACCGCCGACTCGGACTCTTCTACGTCGTTGTTTTGTTTCTTTTGCAAGTCCCAGCATGAAGGAAAATTCCCTCCGGACCCGACTGGGTGAGTATTTTCTTTTCGAGTCGGCCGGTATTGGGGTTTGAGATTCGACGAGATGTATAGGCGGTCCCTCCTTCCAATTCCGAACGGAGAAAAAAAAACGCACTGGGCGTACGCCATATATATATGGAAAGTTCCTTAAATCGCTTGGTCCCTAGAGCCTACCTTCTTCATATTTCAAAAATTCATGACCACATGCCACACGGATTCAGTATATTACTCATTTTTATAGATCTTTTTGTGCCCAATAGAATCTAGGGTCGTTATAAATTTATTAGGGTTTGAAATTTAAGAGCCTGGGTGCCGCCGAGCCAATAGGTCAAGAACTGCCCTTCACAAGCTTCATATCTCGCTCTTAAAGAATATTTTGGAGTCAGAAAAAAAAAACGCCTGAAGGCCTAACTCAGGCTTTCAATTCGACTCTCCATATTTAATTATCGTGTTTTCTACTCGGAAGTCGGGATGGCATCGTTGGTGATTTTTGGAGTTTCAGTTTGAGCCCACCCCCACTTTATAACAGCGGTTTTGTGTATCAAAAGATGGCCCTGCTTCTGTCTGAAATCCATGCGGCTGAGGGACAGAAAAACGTGATTGCATTGTTTCTGCTAGCTGCCATAGCCAAACACGTTTCGTGTTGGCCTCAAGGCAAATCAGAACCAAATCAGAACCGTGACCTTTACACGCGACTGCCTCCAAAATCTCAAAGGTTTCTCTTGTCCGCCGACACACCAGCGCTTCTGGGGTCTTCATCACTTTCAAACCACATTCTGCCTCATTTACGCTTCCTGTTTGAGCTCTGTTAAACGCTGCCTCACGATTACCACCTTGCGCCGTCCTCGCGCAACATAGATTGTAGACTTGATATGAAATCAAATAACCGAGTCAACATGCCTCCTCGACGTGCACTTGAAGTTTCTTCCGTTAACCACGTGTACATGTCCTCAAATCGTGACTCCGTAGTTGGGGTGTTACATATCGGAGGACCTCGTTAAATATTTGGCTAGTCTATCCCGAGCCCTCGAGACAACAAGCCCCCGACACCTACTCCTGAAGATGGCCGTGGCTCTATCTCCACTATATTCCCCTTCCTTAACTCAACCGCTTGTTCTCGCTCCTCGCTGGACCACAACCACTTTTTCGTATCCACCCCAGACTTCGATCCCGACTTTCACGTCGACGTCATCGTCGTCAAGTTTGCCAACTCCGGTAGCTCAAACTTCATCCTCAATATTTGTTTCTCTACCGACGCCGTCGCCCACATCAACTACTAATCCTTCCCCCGGGTCCTCGTCCGAGCAGTCAGGCAAGTCTTTGTTGGTTTGCTCAGGCATCAGAGAAAATTCGGAAATCGCTGGTCTCGGTGAATCATTTGTTTCGGCCAGTTTCTACTGTCGCTCATGATTGGGGCAGGTATCCGGATTTCTTTCTATGCGACGAGTTTCCTCGCCGGTGAGATAATTAATCGTTTACGGCGACATACCTCGCTTATGCGCTAACATCGCAGTCGTTGCCGCATTGCTTCCGAGAGCGGACATCGACGGTAAGCATACGTCGCCGGACCAAATAATTTCTTGACAATGGGTGTTTAGGAACCTTCTGGATCCTAATGCTCGCCAATTTGGCTCTCCTTGTCTCGTCAATCGTTCAAGCATCCATACACAATCTTTCGTTGTACACTGCAATTCTCATATCCTATCTGCTCATTCTCCACCTTACTTCGGCCTCTACTGTCTTGATTATCAGAGCATCACAGGGGCAGAAGGTTCACTGGAGATATACACCATTTTTGGTTCTCCAGAGTATTTTAATCCTGGCGCTGGCGATCTATGTTTGGTCTCATGCACATACCTTTGGAAGTCAGCCAGAGTGTAACCCAGCGACGCAGTTGATCTTCTTCGGGCACGCCTTTTCGACAACCGGTTCGGGGCGTGTAGCTCCTCTCGGTGCGTATGACCAGCGCTTTTTTTGTAGCCTAACTAATTCACTTCAAAAGTGCTTTTGGCCTTCATGCTGGCGACTGTTGTTGCTCAGGTTGCTCGAAGCATCCTGAATCGAAGCAATAGGGCGACAGCTGGATACGATGAACTAAGGAATAGTCCCCGACGTGCAGGGGATTATTTCGTACTGACCTTTTGGGGCACTTTCTTTTTAGCCCGTTGGCTTTACATTGTGGTTACCGTTGAGCAGACTATTCGGAGAAATTTCCTTATTCATAACAGCCACGCTTTTAACTTTGAGCAGGTGAGGCCTCCGATTTTTTTTATTGTTATAAAATTTCTAACGAATGCGTAAATGTGTTGCAGATTTTTCCGCTCCTCACTATTGGACTCCCCGTCATTGCGATCATATATGCTTACTTACCCAGGCAAGAAGCCACCACGAATCCTTCGCCGGCTCAAGCATATTGTAGGAACTGCAACAGCCTCATGGCCCTTGATAATGAGAAGGCATCTGCGTAGGAGGTGCGACCGTTGTCGCATCGAGTAATTGCCGCCAATACTTAGCATTGTAACGACGTTGATAGATGATTATTGAAATTTATGATACCTCCAATCGGTGGGTCTAGAAAGCATGTCGAAGCGAGCACGACCATCATGCTTTCGTGCAGAAAAAAAAAGTTGGGTTGGTCGGAACAGCTGTGACTTGTCGATTCAAGATTGGTGCGCATCTCACTGGTTAAAATTAAGACGTGCATCAAAAAACGCCATGAACCCGCAGCACGGTTCCATAGGGAACAGCAACAATCCAGCGACAACCCTAGGTAAGTAGAGAGACGAGCTAAGGGTACGTGCCTTATGAGCTCGAGCAATTTAAGAACCATAGCTTATGTAATTATTAAATGCGGTGCGCCGCTGAAGTTCGTTCGCTTTTAACCACTGGAATGTGTCAAATGTAGCTCCTTTCTTATATCGCAAGACATGACAGACCACCATCCTACGGATCCAGGAAATCTGGCCAAGCATTATGAATCGCACCTCTCGCCCTATTACGAGCTTTACGTTGGCTATGGAGATGGCAAACTTTCCGGGTCGGCGCGCAAGGGCAGCCTTTTCCCTGGTCCACCTCTGAATTTCTCCTACAAGTACATTGTGTCCACATTTCTCATGCAATTTTTCCGTTTCCTCTCCCTTGGAATCTGGTCACAATATCGTGTTTCTGTTGCTCGAGTGCTAGATCGCGTTTTCGATGTGGCGTCGTTACCGGAAATACTCACAATGGCAAACGAAACAGCCAATGGAGCGGAGACCTCCGCTCAACAACAGCAGATTGGTCCGTCATCTGAGCTGCACTTCATATTTTCTTTGGAGGGACGGTGGCGGTCCTTTCAGGAACTAATGAAAACTAGCGCCCTTGGGTCGCTACTCTTCTGCGGTATGGTTGCCCTGTACGTATTGGGTTCAAATATCTTTAACTCTTCCATTGAACAATATGAATTCTGCAGATTGACAGCTTTGAACCTATACTACCATCACGCCAGTTCATTTTCTGTGGCCCGAGTGCTCTTATCTTGGTGCTTTATTTCAGCCTTCAATGGAGTCTGCTCTGGTGTCGCATTTTTATACAAGTTTAGTCACATGGAAGAGAGCTTCCTGGCTATCGAGTGGACGCTTGTCAGGATGTCTTCTCCAATGTAATGGCACGTTGTTTAATTGCTGCAACTTTCTAGGCCGTCAAACCTACGTCGTTCAAGACGGGCCTTTGGTGGAAAGTTGATCTTCTTACCCTTCCTTTCTTATGGTGGATTTGGTGAGTAAGTAGCCAGGAATTATTATTTTTTGCTGAAGGCACGTAGGATGATGCTCTTTGCATTCATGGGTCTAATAGCAAATGCATTTGAATCGTCATTTCCTCCGTCACAACCAGCTAAATCCATCCATCTCGCAATTGCTATGGGCATCTTTGGCGGATGCAATATGCTACATGCAGTCTGGGTCATCGTCACGGCTGGCTATGAGAGAAAGGCCATGAGGAACGCCTGGCAGAAGCGGGCGGAGCGAATACGCAATGGAAGTGATGACTTATTTGCGTGTAACTCACTGGCAGCCACTCAACTCCACAGTGATCATGCTGCTTTGAAGGCAGATGTGGCAGATGTAGACCAAGTTGGCCCAGAACCGGGCGATGGAAAGTATGACTGAAGTGAGTGACAGCGCTGAAGGTACGTACTACGCAGTTTGGCTTTTACGTTTCGAACAGTGTGTTCAACATATAAACACAGACATCGACTTGATTGCAAGACTTGATATTTAGTGATTGGCGACAAATTCAGCATGATACGAAAGTTGCATGAGTTCATAAATTTGGATATCTTCAATTTACTTTTTATGTACACTAAAGGCCAAGCCTACGGTGTGACACTGTACTCATATCAGTAGGCTAGCCAAGAAAGTCATGCAAGACCAACGTCACTATATAAACATCTGTGACAACCGTATAATCGTCTCAAAAGAATGGATGCTGCACTTGTGTAAAATTCACGAAGTCGGGCATCAGGCTTACATAGGGCATTCAGGCTAGATCCTGAATTCCTTGCATTCTTTCCATGAATGGTAAATTCTTGGGAGGTGACTTTTGTGCAGCCAGATAGGTTTTGCGCTGCAAGGGTGTTTCAACGGTTTCGATGAGGGTCTCAAATTTCAATTTCACCGTGTGTAGATGAGATCGACACATCTGGGTGTATATCCGCGGGGATATTGATATCTGCAAGAGGGATGACATATGAAGTGGTGAAAAAATAAAACTGCAAAGAGATTCTTCGAAGCGAGTACGGCCATCGTACTTTCGTGCAGAAGAAAACAAGTTGGGTAGGTCGAAACAGTTGTCCGCGAGCAGCTCCGCGTGGCTGGAAGTTAAAATTAATAGATGCATCGAAAAACACCATGAACCCGCAGCACGGTTCCATAGAGAACAGAAACAATCCAGCGGCAACCTTAGGTGAGTAGAGAGCCGCGGCAATTTACGGTTGAACGAAACCATGAGCTTATGTAATTATTAAATGCAGTGCGCCGCTGAAGTTCGCTTTTGACCATGATCATGAGTCAAATTAATGTAACTCCTTGCTCTTATCGCAAACCATGGCTGAACATCATCCTACGGATCCAGGGAATCTGGCCAAGTATTATGAGTCGCACTTCTCGCCCTACTACGAGCTTTACACTGGCTATGGAGATGGCGAACTCTCGACGCGCAAGGGCAGCCTTTTCCCTGGCCCACCCCTGAGCTTCTCCTACAAGCACATTGTGTCCACGTTTTTCATGCAATTTTTCCGTTTCCTTTCTCTTGGAAGCTGCTCACAGTATCGCGTTGCTGTTGCTCGAGTGCTAGACCGCGTTTTCGATGTGGCGTCCTTGCCAGAAATACTGACAATGGCAAATGAAACCGGGAATGGAGCGGAAACTCCCTTTCAACAACCGCAGACTGTTCCGTCATCGGAGTCGCACTTCATATTTTCCTTGAAGGAACGGTGGGGGGCCTTTCAGAATGAAATGAAAACTAGTGCCCTTGGGTCGCTACTCTTCTGCGGTATGGTTGCCCTGTACGTATTGGGTTCAAATGTCTTTAACTCTTCCATTGAACAATATGAATCCTGCAGATTGACAGCTTTGAACCTATACTACCATCACGCCAGTTCATTTTCTGTGGCCCGAGTGCTCTTATCTTGGTGCTCTATTTCAGCCTTCAATGGATTCTGCTCCGGTGTCGCTTTTTATAACAAATTTAGTGACATGGAAGAGAGCTTCCTGGCTATTGAGTGGACGCTTGTCAGGATGTCCTCTGTAATATAATGGCACGTTAATTAATTGCTGCAACTTTCTAGGCCGTCAAACCTACATCGTTCAAGACGGGCCTGTGGTGGAAAGTTGATTCGATTGCCCTTCATTTCCTTTGGATGCTTTGGTGAGCAATTAGCCAGGAAGTTTGGTTTTTTTTTTTTGCTAAAGGCACGTAGGACGATGCTCTTTGCATTCATGGGTCTGATAGCAAACGCGTTTGAAACGTCATCCCCTTCGCCACAACCAGTTAAATCCATCCGTCTCGCAATTGCTATGGGCATTTTTGGCGGATGCAATATGCTACATGCAATCTGGGTCATCGCCACGGCTGGTCGTGAGAAGACGGCCATGAGGAACGCATGGCAGAAGCGAGCAGAGCGGATACGCAATGGAACTGACGACTTATTTGCGTGCAACTCACCAGCCACTCAGCTCCAGAGTGATCATGCTGCTTTGAAGGCAGATGTGGCAGACGTAGACCAAGTTGGCCCAGAACGGGCCGATGGAAAGTATGACTGAAAGTGACAGTGCTCAAGGTACGTATGCGGTTTGCATTTTAGGTTTCGAACGCGTTCAACGCACGTATAAACACAGACATCGACTTGATTGCAAGAAGACTTCTCCGACAGGATATCTGGTGTTTGGCGACAGATCCGGGAGGAGCATAATTTTGAGGACACGAAATTTGAATGAGTTTTTTTTCTGCTGCCCCAGTTCGAATGATTTGTATACAAGTCATGGGAACGTAAATTTGAATCTGGATATCTTCAATTGACTTGTTATGCACACCAAGCAACGTTGCCTGGCATATTCGCCCGTTATACACTCTCACATGTGCTCATACAAGTACGGGAAGGCAAAATACATCCACCTCTCCTGGATACTAGGACCATTTCATAGGCGAGCCAAGAAACCCGAAGTCAAGCAAGGCCAACATTACTAGTCCGACATCTGTGTCAACCGACGGTGGTAGCTCGTTGTTCTGATCGTCTCAAAAGGATGGGGGCTGCACTTGCTTAAAATCCACAAAGTCGGGTACCCTAACATATTGCATTCCTAGATCTTGAATTCCTTGCATTCCTTCCGTGAACGATAACATCCCGGGAGGTGACTTTTGTCCATCCAGATAGGTCTTGCGCTGCGAGGGTGATTTTACAGTTTCGATGAGGGTCTCAATCTCACCGCGTGTAGATGAGATGGACACATCTGGATGTAAATCCGCAGCAATATTGATATCTGCAAGAAGGATGATATATGAAGTGGTGAGAACATAAAATTGCAAAGATAAGACGAACCCTGAAGAGCTTCTTCAAAATTTCCGAGATGCATACGCGCTTGTGCGCGCCGAAAGTAGGCCTTTGCCTTGTTCTTTACGTTTGTGAAGAGGTCCATGTCCAATGCTTTCGATGCGAAGTCTTCTGCCATTTGGTATCTAGCCCATTATCAAGAGCTCGGTGACAATCCACACTGCATAGATAGCTTACCTGTTCTCCCTAAGAGCGCACGCCGCAACGTTGTTCATGACGTCTGGGGTTGGGAAGGTTGAGTTTGCGCTCATATAAAAGAGGAGTGCTCTGGCAACGTCGCCCTCTCGAAACGCTGCATTGCCCTTGAAGTCGCGCAACCAAGTGAGCACGGAATGAAAGGTAGTCAACGTCTCAACCCACCTCTTCCTTCATCCCAATTGCAGACATAAACATCTCAAACTCCGTCAACTTCTCGTCCTCCAATATCCAGCTCCGCTTTTCCAAATAAATTAATGTGTGTCTGTCTTCACATTGCCTTGCGTAATGTGCCGCGACTTTATCAAAGAAAATCTGCCACCCTTTAGGAAGATCAGCTGGGACCTTGAACAAGTCTGTAGTCTTCGGCGGGTTTTCTACTTCGTTCCTCATAAAATCCATGAATCTACTGAGAGCTTCCGGGCTCATATTGGATAGGTCAGCTTGAGCTTCCGGACTCATATTGGATAGGTCAGCTAGAGCCATGGCGAAAGGAGCCTAAGCGATGAAAAGATTAGCACAGTGGCTATGCCATGTGGCAGTAATACGTCATCAGAACTCCAACAACAAGGAAGTATAATTGAATGCCGTCCGTACCACATATAGTTATCACTGAGGCAAGGTCAAGCCGTTGTCAAGTGCGGGAGTCAGCATTACATTAGTCCTGCCCGAGTACAAATTCCATCCAGCCATTAAAGCATCCCTTTGACAAGCCAAACGATAATCTTCGTGGTGAAGCGCACTTTGCGTTCTTCACCTTTCCAATGTACTGTATGAGAACGGATTCTGTCAACCTCATGGGCGAGAGCCTTTCGGAGCGGCAGGTTTGGCGAAGGCTTCGTCTCATGGTCGGCCGAAGCTTCTGATGGGACGAGCATGAGGAAGGACAATTCAGTGTCCAAGTGAGCAGAGCGAGAATTCAAATTGGTGGACCCAAACAGGGTGAGGACTGGTAACGAGGAAGAGCTTGGGGAGAGCCATAATCCTATGGCGACGGTCAAACAGATCCTGAAGACATGTAGGAAAATATCGCACCTTTCGCATGGTATGTCCAGCCTTGTTTCGCCCACTCACTCAGCGAAACACCCTGCCCAGCATCTTCCGAGGTTCTTTTCCATAACCTCCCTGCTTTCTTGACGGCTTTCATAAAACGCTGCTCATAGAGGGTATACCCCTCCGGAATTCGACCCGAAATGCCATTTGAACCGAAGAATCCGTTTGCCTGAGAAATGGAGGTTAGAGAATGAGATAACCAAGGACGAGGTGTTCCTCACCTTCGGGCTCGCTGCTACAATACGGCAATCCACACCCGGGCTGCTGAGGATCAGGTCCTGGTACGGCTTATACAAACTGAAGTAGCCACTGGTTAAGTCTAAAAGTGGTCGGTGCACACTTTTCAACGTCTTCAAGTGACGGAAGAGCAGCTGGAATGTCGTTTCCTCCTCGTGGATATTGATCTGCCCAGCTTGTATGAGTGGGAAGAGGGTCGCGTCAGCGCAGTTGCTTGTTGACGATGTTTCACTAGGAGACTTCGACTTGTCAAGATAAGTTTTCTGAAATTCCCTCAGCAGCGTCTCAGCCCGCTGATGGATCTTATGGGGATGCGTTTGCGGGTCAGGCCAATGTAACGTATAATCATCCCGTGTGTATGAATGTCGGTCGGCTTGCGAATCAGAAGTGGGTATGACAGGGAGAAGCCGATAGGAAAATGTTGAGACCGTCTTTAAGAAGTCAAAGCAGTACTGAGAGAGCGCCGGCTGGGAGGAAAAGTGGAGATAACGGTCCTGCCGATCTGTAAAGTAAGACTTGTTTAGGTTGGCCCTGGAAGTAGATTCAAAAAATCGCTTAAAAGAAGAATGATCTTCCTCACCCGCTAATCATTACTTCATCGTCGGCGCCATATACTTTTGCGTGCCATGTCCCCCATCCCTCATTAAATCTCGATGGAACTAACTTTGCAAATATACCTCGGAGACTTGGACTCCTAAACATCGACACATGAACACGAGATGGAAATTCGCGAAGGAGAGGGAGGAGGATATTGGCCGTCGAAGAAGGTCCTGGGCGGGTTGAGCGATTGATATCCAATTGAAAGTAAACTTTCAAGTGGGGCTTGGTTCGAAGGGCTTTATCAATACTTGATAGCTGTCCATTAATTCAGTTAAGGGGCAACAAGCATAGTTATTCTCACCGACGAGTTCCGACTCAGTTGAACCAATATAAAGGGAGGAAATAAATATCCGATGTTGAGCGCGCTGAATCATATCCTGATGCCAGAGTAAGCTTCGAAAAAGAGATATAGCGATTGAAACTGGAAACCTACGAGCAATAGGTCATAAAATTGAGCTGGCTCCGACAAAATCCGTATTCTATGTGCTGGTACTCGGAAGGTAGGTTGATTGAGAGCCAGGTCTGCCGCGAAATGGCGAATCAAAGGATCCAACTGGTTGGTAGAGAGACATCGTCTGGGGAGAAAAAATGGTATTGAGCGGTGTGCTAGCAGTAGACGTCGACTGGGAGACCATGGAATCCGTGCGCTGAACATCATCGAAGTCCGATGGAGCAAAGGCGTGCACGTGAACGTGTTCGCGTGTCTTGTTTGGCAGCAACGTCCGACTCGGACTCTCTCGGAGAGGCGACCACCGTGCGCGCGTGACCAGGAGTCAACTCAGGCGCCACCGTCCAGCTTCATTTAGCGTAGTTCGCACCGTTCTTCACCACGGAAGCAGTGAATCAGTCTTATATTCCGTTTTCTATCTGCGATAACTTTTTCCCCCCTGCCGTCTTCAAGTAGAACTTACTTAGAACATCAATTTCCTGACTCCGCCGAGGACCTCTGCAACACATTCAAAATCAGGCGCCTTCGACGCAGTTTATACTTCTGCGCCCACGTGTCCTCAATATCCTCTTCTCTCCCCCGTCACACTCGTGAAAGGTCCTATGCCAGGAACACGCCGGAATGAACCTGGAAATTCGTGACGAATTCGAAAGATTCATTTGGATAATCAGGTCTCCCCACCCCCGCATTTCGAACACCACTCTCCTTGCTTTTTCTTGCCAAGTTGCGCATCCTCCAGCTGCTCCTCATGATGGCCTCCGAAGAACCACTATCAGATAATCTTGTTGGATTCGATTACAGTGATGACTTAGTAAACGCCTTCTACTACACTTCAGGGGAAGAGCTGGAAGAACCATTGGATTTGGATACGGAGTGAGCGCAACCCAGGGTCTCGACGTTCTTTGTTAATGCCGCTGTAGCGAGGAAGAAGATGTGGACTTTTATGACCTCTATGAGAATCTACGGCTCACTCGGCCGCCGTCGCCATTATTCGATGAGGTGTCGTCAGATGAGGAAAGCTTGGCGGATGAAGACCTCGATGAGAAGAGGCATGCACGGTATAGCACTTCAACTGTGAAGGGATTCGTTGTCGAAAGCGTAACTGCGTCGGAGACAAACAAAAAAGCCAGTGACTTGGAGTCAGATGGTTCCCCTCAAGGTGGGCGCACTGTTATCTTGCCGCGCACAAGGTCCGAGCCGCTGAAAGCGCCACACGCCGTTTAGAGAAAACAGATGCTAACCCAGAACAAAACAAATTGCCAGGAGCGAGAGAACAAGTGCTTTGACATGTATTCAGTTACTCTTTCAGTCTGATCATGAAACGATTCGAATGTTGATGAGACAGATTTTCTCGGAGTTTGACCAGATTCCCAACGAAATGGGGAGATCGGAGAAGTCCCATGCCGTACGATAGAGTAATCCTTCTGCGCCCGACGTGAGAGATCGGTCAACGCACATTCTGGACGTCGACAATGGCAAGTTCATTGTTTTTCGAGCGCAGTTCAATGTCGCAGACCGACCGACCGACCAGCCCACCGTCCGTCCACACCAGGCTCATGGCGCCCACGGTGTATTTTTGGGGTGTTGATGTCTAAGTGTCCAGTAAGGGCCCTGATGGTCGAAACTTGGGGTATGTGAAAGATTGAAGGCTAAACGCTTAAACCCCGATCTTTCGAACCCCAGCCGCGATAACAAATACGGAACAGTAAAAAAAGAAGAGACTCTTTCGAGTTGAGTGCAAGACAGACAAGAAGATCGCGTGAAGAGATCCGGAGCCGCAAGTTGGAGAAGTTTACATTTTGCGCTGTTGGACAAGTGTCACAAGCACAAGAAGTTTAGATTCATCCCTGGAAATTTTTGAGCGTTACAAGCCACAAGAGAAACAGGGCTATCGCTATATCAATCGCGGCCAGAGATCCCGAAACACTTACAAATTTATGTAGGAGGTTCAGCTAGCTCCACTCTTTGGGGTCAAATATACAATATAACCTGACGTCGAACGGCATCTGAGAGAAATGAGTCTTGGGCTAAAACGCTGAGGTCCACAAGTACTTACTTACTTCTCAGCATAAGGACGTTGTTCCGAGAATGTTTAGGTTTATCGTAACCCAAGAACTTGCCCATCGGTCTGCGGTATAGTAAGGGCGAGAGATCTTCATGTCATTATGAAGCAAGTAATAATTGGCGATGACGCGCACGAAGAGATCTGGGATCCACAAAAGGAGGTCCGTTACATCTACCATGCGTGCGTGTAGATAGTAAAAAAAAGCACAATGCTCTGTACAATTATTTGAACATAATGTGTAGTTCCCTGTAAGCGTAATCCATTATAAGGCGAAGCAGGCGCTGCATAGTACCAATATAAGAATAATATATGTCCATGGATTAGGTTGGGCTTTTTTTTGAAGACGCCAGATGCCCTTTTTCAGTAGCCGCGATACCTATAATCTCCCACCTTCCTCCATGCCCACAACAAACCCAACACCGCAAACGCCACGGTAAACAGAAGGAAAAGGAAGAGCAGGGGCCCAGAGGCGCTGGCCGCCGCGTAGAGCCAAAGGTCTTGTTGAGTTTGTATGCCAATTGACAACGAACCGATGACGGCTGCGACTGTGCTGTAAAATATCTCCTCGCATAGAAGTGAGGCGTAGCCGCGGAGTCTCCCGCTGCTCGTATCTTCTGTGATGTCGTCGGGCTCCTCAACCCCTCGTGCAAGAAGCAAGAGGAGGTATACGATCGTGAGCACTGCGCCACCCGTTGACCCAATTTTTACCCAAGTGCGTATTGTAGCGCTTGCATCAATGATGCCCACAGCGCGAAAGACCACGCTTCCAAGTATTTGAAACATCGCATATTTTGCTGGGGAGAGTGCCGCTTCCGCAAAGGCGTGTGGTTGTGATTGGAAGAGGTGTCGCCATTGAGGTAGTGACGACGCCTGCAGGCCTAAGTTGAGAGGCTATAGAGTTATAGGGGTTTAAAATTAGGATAGGGATCGTGTATGACGTACATGTGTGTGTAAGACTTTCGAGGCCAAAGAATCCGTTCCAGCGACATCGTCCATGCATGCGGGCAACGAGCGATAGGTATTCATGGAGGGCGACGAGAGTGTAGGATACAAGAGAATTTTAATAGGCAGGGCTTTCAAGCCATGGAGTTTTTATATGAGTGCAATTTCAGGCACGATGAGTTCCAGGACCTCTTCGTCTGGTAGGTTCAAAGATGAAGAAGTGACAAAGATCGGAATCTCACCAGATAAATCGGCGTGTTCATCCCCAGCGAAACTTCATCCGGAAGGATGCGCGGTCCCCTGTAGGGTAGACGGAGATCGACATGGCCCACGCCATGTCAGCGCTTTAGTGGCGACGGGCTGGAGAATAGTCAACTTGTGTCAAATGATACGGCCCAGCTGATGGGCGCTTTGGCGGTCATGACAGGCCTAAGGAGATGAACCTGTTTCCCATCAAATTCCTGGAAATGGCGCTTGATGCGATCCCGTAGGTTAAGTATATGTAGACCTCGTGCACATTTGGACCTGAAGCGATCTGGAGATTAAGTAGCACCAACAATTTTGACATGCCCCAAACCCCCCAATCAAATTTTCATCGTCTTTCGCTCAGAAAAACCTCTCATGATCCCCGATTTTAAATAGGGCCAAAATAGGGCCCTCACCCGCACCGGTTTCCGTCCTTTACCGTTATCACATCGATTACAAAAGCCAACCATCAAGGATGCAGGCTTTCACCTTGAAACTACAAAAGGGCGGTGTATCACTTTGAACGACAAGCTGAAAGGCGGATTTGCGGGGTATATGACAAAAGGTCTTTGAGTGTAGCGTCCACGTGGGCTTTGCGTGGGATGAGGACGGGTCACGCCGAGGTGAGAGTCCATTAAAATCGCCACTGAATCCTGAACGGATGTCTTCCGCGTTTCAGAGTGTGGTCTCTTGTTTTCTATTTCGCATTCCAAGGCTCACAAAGCTGTCGAGCGAAGATTTGTGGGTCGAGACTCGACTTCTTTTTCAAAGCAGGACTTGTTCCTTGTTCCTAGTGACGCGTCCAATAAAAAGTCAATCACCTTGAACCAATTGCAACCCTCCTAAGTAGCACCTCGCAAAAATTGCTCTACCCATCTCTTATATCACGTCTATCTTTTCCCTTTTTCTTCGGCTTACACAGAGCTGGTCGCGATATTATCCCCTCCAATGATTGGCAATCGATTTGGAATTGATGGTTGCGGTTGTCGAGCTCGCTTTTGCTTGAAGCTGGATTCAATTGAAACGATCCCTGATCGTTTTTTTTTTGGTGTGCAAGGACGCGGAAGGCCGAGTTTTTCGGGCAATGCCTTCGGTCGCATTATGGGCACCAGCTTCTCCTGTTTCCCCTTCTGGCCTCCCCCACAGGCCCCACTCTCGGCTGTCAATAAATATGTAATCAACTTCAATTTTCACATCTAATTTCTACCGCACTTGAGCACAACGTCACCTAAATCGTGTCGTCGTTCAATGCCTTGAAATATTTTTGAGTGGGCCACAACTTGTGTGTTCAGCTGCAAGTTCTGGACATCCACAGTGCATGCCATCATAGGAAGTGAATGCTGATCTGTGCCTTCCGAAATAACGGCAACAACACCAGGTGTTGAGGCCGCGTGATTTAGATTCTTCACAATGACCTAGCCAAACTCGGGGAAGTCGCAGGAAGTTTGCTCATCCCCTCTACAGTTAGAACTGAAGTCGAGCAAGTGACCAATATTGCGTCAACAAGTCTACGGAAAGGACCGGATGTCTAGGTTCAGGGACAACAAGGGAGAAGAAAAAAGAATTCGTGGGTTACTTGTGAAGCCTCTTAAAGCGGCTTCGTTAGAAGCACACTGCAAGCCTTTCCCCGATTTAATTTCTCCTTCCTTCTGGGTTCATTTGATCATAGACCGCGATGGCCGTAATTTGGCAACTTTTGATGGTATTGGTTCTGATTTTGGCTTCAGTGAGACGCGATTTCCGAGAATATACACTTTCATCCGAAGAACTGACGAGGCTAGACTGGTCGAACATGGGCTGTAAATTCAGGGAATAATGATTTGATGAAGAATCCAAGCCAGTTAATGAGTCTGTGCTGTCCGATGCCTTTCCGCTGCAGCCTTGGCCTCGCTCAGGGGTTTGCTCCATCTTGCCTCTGGCGGATCCCAAATGCCAAATTCAGTCTTCATGTCAGCGACGTTCTGACCCCAACGTTCCTCCCAGTAGACAGTTATCAAACTCCTGGAACTGCCTCCACACTTCAAAGCCCAGGGAACAAATTCTGCGAAGAGCCGTTGTCGCTTTTGAGGCGTGAGGCGAACGGGCCCAACCAGAGCGGACAATAAAGTCATAGGTAATCCGAGATTTGCAAACTCGAAATATTTGAGCGCGAGTTCGGATTCGACGTTGACCGGAAGGTTGCATATACAATGATAGAAATCATGGCATTCACGATAGCGCTGCATGACGTAAGCTAGTTCTGGGTCGTCGATGTAATGAACCTTGGGGCGAATGAAAATGAAATTCGCGATTCAAGGGAAGATTTGATACGCACTGGTTCTCGCGTATCTGGAGTCACCCCACACCGTTCTAGCCACGTGACATAAGCCCGCCCAAATGTCCCTTCAGGATAATGCGCTAGTTTGTTCAGGTCAATGGTGGAAGAATTGACTCTCGGCCGCTGCATTAGCACCCTGCGACCCTCTATACTGTCCAGCATTCGGTCTCTCAAACTTGGTAAGGTAGGTCCCGCTGTCGTCTCTCCCAGAGCAGCTACCATGTCTATGAAATCATATAATGTAAGTCCGGTTATGAAAGAAACACAACACACCACCTCGACGAGGGTCCGCCAGGGACATAAAAGCTGACCCCACAGCCAGAACCGCGTTTTCAAACCAATTCAATGGGATATGGCCTTCATACGCCGGTGTCGTCCTGATTGAACGTGTAGGGTGTGTACGACCCGGTAGGCGCTGCCACGTTTCTTGATATCGCGATAGTGTATTAGGCAATCGCGCAAATGGCAAAGAAAAGGAACAAAGTGAAATTGGAAGCCTTGCACGGGCAGAAGACAACATTGGAGGACAACACGAGAAAGAAAGTCGTCACACCTGAGTCACACTCTTCTATCTCACTGAGCACTAACTTCGTTTGCACCCAATGCCCATCCCACAATTCACGGTCATGATCAATAAAACTGCGCCGGCGAACTTCTATTATACAGCGCGGCCACTGGTTTTGACTGGTTTCTTCCTATTAAGGAGAGAAATTAGGACCCCCCGAACGTGCAACAAACGCGTTTCATTTCTTCTCGGTACATCGCATCGCAGGGTCCGAATTTTTGTTGCATAGAAGGCGCTGCGGTGCTGGATAAGGAATTCGATCTATTTGTTTTCTCTACAGCTCACTGCCCTGCAGATCTATGCCTTTGGCGTGATGAGTTGCAATCTCTAGGGCTTCAATCTAGACGTGGCCGAAACGTGTTCAATAGCTATTAATCAGTCTGGACGATCTCCTCTCCCTCCTGCCATGTCCAACCATGAACTATACGAACCCTTACACGAACCCTTATTTTTTGATAAGGGTTCGCTTCTGCGACTGTCTTCGGAGACTGGACCCTGCGAAACATAGGCCAGATTCAGGACGCGAAGAGAGTACCTCTGAGTACCTGCTATCGATTAAGGGCCCAGTCGAAAAGATCTAAACTTGGACCAAGTCGTATTATTGGGGCTGTTCTCTATGCTTTCGAGATTTCCTAGTTGGTGGTTTATCCGCTATCTGCTGTTACCTCGCTCCATTGCATCATCCGACCATATGAACCGGTTTTCCCCGACTTGCTCGTGTTCAAAGAGTGGCTGGACGTAAACCATATTTTTTGGATGCTACCAGAGGCTACCAGGGTGCATTTTGATATTTCGACTCTGTGCGTAAAGGCACATTGTATTTTGTTGGACTTGTTTGCGATAGGAACTTCTCGAGGTAGTCTCAATTCTTGACGCGCTCCTGTTGATCGAATTAACTGCATCTCTGGCACTATCGCGGTACTCGGAACCTTTGGTGGACCCTGAATTCACGAGGCTACAATGCCTTGAGTGGCCATAGCAATCAACAATCTGAATTGCAACCGAACGTGGACAATGCTTGTTTGGCTGATTGAGAGTGGCCAATGTCCTCATACGGCTCACATGAGGTGGTTGGTGGCTCAGATGCCACAAGCTACTTAAAGGCGGATTGTTTTGTTAGTGCTTAACCCCCTCCTTCCGACACGAACACCATAATTCGCCTCTCCTCCCTCTTCAACATTTCTCCATGGATCGTCGCCCCAACAAGGATGTCTATCGCCACACTCTTTTTGATAATTCTCAACTCGACACTGTTGTGAGGTCTTCCAGGACAGCCGATAAAACGAAGCGCTATTGCGTGTACTTCCCTGTGGATTTTATCCTTGAAGATATCCGCGCAAAGGAGGAAAAGTACTTCGAAGATGATCTTAGCACTTGGGAATATTCCGCACCACCCTCTCGTAGTGCGAGCAACAGGTCTTGTAACACCTCATGCAGCACACCTGCACAGGAAATTGCTATGCGTTTTCGTGCTGGTATGCCTATCGACTTCAACTCCAACGGCGCTCGACCTATCCCTCCGTCGTCCTCGGACTCATGTTCATCGGAGGGATTCTGCGATGAGCTTGATGAATCTGACTACGTTCAAATCGCCCCTGAGGGGTCCTGTAAACCATTCCCTCCTATTTCACGGATCCCGGCCCTGAATGACGCGGTGGGTGTGGTCATACTACTGCACCGTCTTGTGCTTATGTGGTTTTTTTTAGTATGAAGAAGCGGTCAGTATCATGAGGGTCCACGATAAGAGCGATCGACTTGCATGCCGCCGAGCAGGCTGCCGCGACACCGTCAAAAACGTAAAAGATCTAACGTATCATATTACTGTCCACAATTTCCTTGAAGGGTAAGCCTGATGATGAAATTCGTTGAACCTTTTCCTAAACATCATTAATTCCCGCTTAGGAGTTACGCATGCCCCAAGTGCGACTTAAGTTATGAAGATCGGCGCCAATTTGATATGCATCCCTGCTGTCGCCGTCGCCTCTTCTCTAATCCTTCCTATGCTCTCAGAGGTGAGAGTTTTCTATTTGTGAACCTCTTCGTCCACTGACAGATATTACCACTCAGAGAGTTTCCGCAAGCTCCTCACCAGAATCATTTTTCAATAATCTATTTTTTACCCGCCCTAATTTTCAACGATTGGAAATGACCACGACATACCCACTCACTGTACTTCTATGCATCCCCCGACCCCAATACCCTACTAGTCACTATACGCTCCTTTTTCATTATTATACGTTTCTGTCATCCCTGGAGGATTTTCATTACTTTACTGGCATCACATTCAAAAAATCGGCAAACTGTCGTGAATATCAATATACATTTGGACCAAGACACGTAACTTGAAATTTCGACGACGCCAAAATTAAAATCTTACAGTAAGAAAGTCGATCGTCAGGATCATCCTGAAACTGAGAGTGGCCGAAAAAGTCTAGGGAATGCCTACGGTATTATGTAGCGCTTCGCTGAACCCGATTCAATCTGACCAAACCCTCGGATCCCAGTACCCCCCTACGACGAAGGGATCGCGTTGAGATAAAAAGCTTAAGAGAAGATGAAAACGTTAAGTAGGCAATATGCGGCGCAGTCCACGTTTCACTCTCAAACTGAGCACGACGTCGCGTAGAAAGACTCCCGAGCCACCAAAAACATCCAAAATTTGTGATTCAGGAGGGTTCGGCAAAAGCGATCAAGATCGTGGATTGAACAAGAACACGTCCGTATACTGTAACAAGCCAACTGATAGCGTTTACGATTCATTAGCGTTGCAGTACCACGATTAGGGTTACTTATCGTTACTGTGCCCCTCGGTTTTTTGTTGACACATTGGGGGTTTGCGCGTTGAGGAAAATTTGAAGCCGAGGCAATCGAGCGGCGCCGCAGAACAAGTCGTACAAGGGGGAAGGAAGAGAGGGAAGGGAAAGGCGAAGGCCGAGAGTGTTTGTGTCGCATTTACCAAGTTGCTCGATAGAGATAGGCGTATGTACTTGGACCGCTTCCTGCCCCGACTTGGCCCCGACCCCAACCCGACCCACTGGCAGGAGTCAACTCTTCCTCTCATTTGCCTCCGTAGAGGTCGGCAAGAAGCCTACGCGGCGGTCTCGTCAAGGATGCGCCAGAACGAATTGCAATGTTTCATTTCCTGGAAAACTGTGTTCCTGCGAACATGGAAGGACCTGACAATTGTTGACTACGTAGACCTTGTCGCCATCCTTGTCCTTATGCTCGTGGAACTAGTTCCATTTCTGCGGACGAGAGGGGAACACCGAGATGAGGAGAGTGGAAGTCGATGGTGGATCATAGTGGCAATCAGCGACTTGACCCATAGGCCATAAGAGGCAGATTCAAGAGCTTTGCCGGACCATTACACGACAACATTGTTAACTCCGTGCTTCAGCAAAGCGTCAGGATCAAGTCAGGATCTCCTGGGATTCATCGTGTGCAGCGCTTATCAGAAGAGGTACAGCCAGAATGACATACACCCACATGACAACGGGACCGAGAACTCTCGAGTTTTCCTCCTCTCTCACAGTCACAGGTCTGGTGAGGAATTGTGGAAGCAGGATCGATGGCCAATCATTCTCTCGTTGATACTCCCTGAGAGGATGGGTGAGGCAAGCTCTCAGGGTTGAACATCAAAGAGGATGTCGAAACGATAAACAAATTTTGGGTGGTCGCCGTCGTTGGCAACGATTCCTATGATCAGTACGAAAAGTTCTTCTAGTCCTCGTCGGAAGCGCACTGGACCATTTGCACCTTGTTTCAGGTGCGACGTGCCCAGGAGCGTGGCACATCAAGAGGTTGAGCCCTCAGGAGTGCGGATGAGGAGATGAAGTTGGCAGTCCGAAAGCCAAATAATAAAGTTACAAGACAGAAACCTACAGAAACACTACTGAAAAACTACTTGTTACACAATAAAACGGTCAAAGGGAATTTATATCACTCTGAATCGTCAGAGCCCGTGGCAGAGTCCGGGTATTTATTCATTGACTCCTCCCTGCATGCTCTCCCGCAGAAGTAATCAGTCTCGCTTTGCGGCATGACAAGGCACATAATGCATGGTGAAACGAGGCCCGAAGTAACTGCCTCCCTGCGAATGAGAACAAAATCAACAAAGTTGTCGCCAATTTCAGTACAAAAACACTCACTCCCGATGCCGCATCGAACAGTATTCACTTGCTTTCACTCCTTTTTCGTCAACATGGACAGGCTTCCCGCAGCCAGGGATAAGGCACTCAATATTATCGGCAACTGGCTGCGTGCTAATATGAAGTTGAGCGGTGGGAAGCGTGTTCGATGAAGCTGCCAAGGTCACACCGTTCGTTACACCCTGCGGAATAGCCTGAGTGGCCGGCTGGTTGGTAAGATTAAGGAATGGGTTGTTGGAATGTGGGTTTGGTACAGGTTGTACCGCAGCTACCAGCCCTGCCTGGGACGCGGGTAGCTGGGTAGCGATCCCGGGAGCACTTGACGCGAGTAGAGCCTGTACTTGAGGAATTTGCTGGACAACCAATTCTGGTCAGAAGCAGGTGAGTCTAAGTTTTTCAGAATCGAAGAAAACACGAAACTGGCGATTTGAACAGGGTCGAAAGCAGGAGGCGCTTGCTTCGGGGCGTTAAACCCGCTGCCTTTGGGGTAAGTGGGTGCTTTCCCTGCTGTTGCCTGTCCCTGCGCCGGACCTGTCTTGCCGCCGGGGTTCGCCAGGGAAGCGCAGTTCTTGCCACAATATTCAAAATTCGGGAATTTTGGCTTCTTGTGGCAATGCTGAATGATGTTAGTCGGCTTCTGTCAGCAAGAAACAAAGAGGCTGAATCATTACGTTACAGAGTGTCGCTGCTTGACTTGCACAAGTTTTCGAACAGTACAAGTGATTCGAGAATTTGGGTTTCTGGTGACAATACTGGCATGGAAGTCAGGAGCGACGCTATACGATGTATCAAGAGGAAACATACGCCACAAAGCTGAGTGGATTGAGCGGGTAGTGTAGGTTGAACGATTGGTGCGCGGGTGGCCATCTTGGACTGGTCTGAGAAGAGTATCGATCTGCGTCAATTCGGGGGTGATCTTTAATACCTCGTTCAAGCACCTAATCCTCGAGGATAAGCAATCAAACATGCATAAGATTTGGCAACCTATCGCAAAATGGAAATACACGTGTTAAGCGCACTACGAACAGACATGAAACGGAAGTATCACAACGAGGCTGCCATCGATAGCAACCTAGGGAGCCTCGCGGAGTTTGGCCCGTAGCCGCTCTAGAGCCTTCCCAAGTTCGTTACGTCCCCTCCGGTCAGCTCCTACGCCCCAGAATGCATCCTTGTCGGAGTCCTACGGGTAAACGAATTAGTGGCCGGATGAGTTTGACATGTTCGTATGAAATCACCTCAACTAGTTCCGCATCGCCAGTCGAGAGGAGTTCAGCTTTCAGATCGGAATGTTGCGTAAATTTGCACCACAATGCTTCGTCCATCTATAAATGTTTAAGAACGGAGTGGCATGAAAAGGTCAGTCAGTATACCTTCTCAATATTGACTTGTTTCCAGTCCGTCCGAACTTCGGGCTGGAATCGACGAGCTTCAGAAAATGCAACACTTGGCCTTTCTGAACAAGTGCGGATGTGTTCGGCGAGATTTGGGCGATGCTTCTGGAACTGCGGTATGGTCAATAAATAGAGGGCGAATCGAGGATAAATGTAATTTTTACTTTGAAAGATTGGAATAGGTGTTCGCTAGTCGGGTACCTTTTGCCTTTGTAAACGACGGAGTGAGCAGAGAAATTTGTGAAGCCATAGTGTGGGTCTGATTTGTTGTAGAACAAGATACGGGGCCTTGTTGTGCTGACTTGAGGGGATAGCCGTTGTGGAGGAGGAGATCCAGGTGGTGTATTTGAGTTCGAAGCGTAAAGAGTAGCGCAGTTCTTGGCACCAGGCCGTCGAGAGCGGTGTGTGCTGATTCTAGGCGAGTTTTCTCGCGAATCCTGAGTTCCAGGAGGCGAAATGTCCTCAGTAATCAGGACCTGTGTTTCTACGTAGGATGGGGTGCGACTAATGGGTACCTGAGCATTCAACCCCGCTTCCTCGTTTTCTGGGACTTCGGTCAGAGAAAAGATCGTGTTCAAACTATTCGGGTCCCATTCAGAGGGTGGAGCGTCAGACGTCACGTAGACGGTACGCTTCCGTTCCTCAATGCGATATTGCACGGGAGCCTGCTTTGTCGTAGGGGATGTTCCCATCGAGAGCGCAGGTAGTGGTTTGTTCTTCGGAGAAGGCGAGGTGACGATGGTGATTGTTTTACGAGAGTGCATCAAGGGTGAAGCTAGACGATCTTTTGGGTGATAAAAGGGATCTGAAAGCAAAAAGCGTCTTGAATCAGATTTCAACATTTCGTTTCGTGCAACCATGGGTGAAGATATAACTTGGCTCCGGAGTCAGACATCATGAGTCCAGATTCAAATATCAACTCCGAATCAGACTTGTGGCTTCAGACAGGCATTCCATGGCAATGCTTCGTGTGGATAACGCGAGTCCGGAATCAGTGTCAAAACCGCCAATGTCACGGGGTGAACCTCATGTGGTGTCACACAATTGTCACATTCCTCCTCACCATCAACATGCGCTTCCTCTCAATCTGTATAGAATGGACGATTGCAGAAAGTCCTGGATCTATGAGCTTTTAGACTCACGCAGTATGCAAGGATGCTTTTGGTACGCGGAGTGTGGCGTTTTCTAGCTTGGTCGCCGCCAGCATGCGCGTCTACTATGGATGAGAGGGGTGAGCATCATCATTATCTATTAGCTTCAAGGTTTACGTGAGTTAAACCGTGAAGGTGAAACCCTAAAGATATCCAAGTTCTCTCTTGACGACAAGGGCGCGATTATGAACGGAACATGAGGCGTCAAGGAACGTGCCCTCAACACGCCTTTCTGGCATGCTATTGCCCAATATGCAGCATTATGGTAATCCGAGCTTTCACAGCATTGTCCTCCCCGCTGATGCGGTGCTGTTTACTTGCAGGGACACAATTCTAATTCCAGTATAATATTCTGTGGACGCAGAACTTGGCCCTTCGCATTCCCGACGCAATTTTCGAGATGGCTTCAATCATCGACGAGTTCAGTTTTAACCACCCTCAGAACCAGGGTTATAGTAAATCGAAGAGGCTGGTCCTTCTCCCTCAAAACGATCCCAGTTATATCATGTGTGAGTCGCTCACCTTGTCATTTTAACATGTCAACACAACTCATCGTACGACAGTGGAGAAGAAATTTTTGAAGGGCTGGAAGCATCCCAATAAGCAGAAACCTGCTGTCCACGGAATCTTCAAGATTCTTTCGTTAGAAACGAGTCTTGAACCCTTTCATCAATACAGGTTAGTAACCTTGCAATATCAACCAAATGTCGTTTCTGATCCAGCTACCAGAGCTCGTGTCGCAGCCCACCCTTCCCTTAATACTCAGAAGAAGAACCCTGCAAATGAACAATTATTGTTTCATGGTACAAACCGATGTTGTTTGTTAGTTGAGGATGGGAATAGAATCCGTCTTTGTGGTCTTCCGCAGTGTCATCTATGTTGTGTGGTACGCAACTCATTTGACGTTACTAAGTGTGGTAAGTGCCATTTACCACCTGAATGGGTGACAAGCTTAAACCATTCGCCAGGTACAAAACACAAATTTCGGCGGTTTGGGAATGGAATATACACAACCGCGTGTTCGTCAAGTGGGTCCCATTCCTATTCTTACTCAGTGTCTTCACTGAACTATTCTCAGAAGCCGATGATTATACGAACAATGCAGACAACAATTGCAACCTTCGGGTGCTCTTAGTGAATCGCGTCATTGTTGGGAAACCTCACAAACGGCGTCAGAATGCTACCAATCTGACCGAACCACCATGCGGGCATCATTCTGTAAGTAAATTCTCCTCGCAGACGGATCCATGCTTACTCGTGCAGGTCATCGGCGAGCCCGGTGTTGATCTCAACTACGAAGAGACTGTTGTTTACTCAAACGATGCGATACGTCCAGCATATCTCGTTGTGTATGGGGATGAACCACCTCGAACTCAATCTACAATGCAAACTCTCATAAAGACATTATTCAAGACACCTTTGGCACAATGAGCACATTTATTCTATTATTTATCGCTTTCTAGGAGTAACTTATAAAGATTTATTTCCATATTGTTTTCACTGCAATCAATGGTCATCCACCTGATCCCCTTCACGTTTCTCTTCATCTGGTATACATGATCACGAAGACGGGGAGAATGGCGTCTGCGCTTGGAACGAACAAGGATTCTTCATCAGCGATCTTGCAAAAACGCCTTAGGATGCTAGCGAAGATGCTTTGACAGAGAAACGAACCTCATCCAACATTGGCTCGACAGTAGCATCGCATGCGATCACGACGCGATAGGGAGATGAGGTGCAAGATGTTGCGAAGCGATCGGCAAGTGCTGGATTCCGGTAGGAATATATTCCGTCTCCAAATCTAATGTGAGGTTAATATCTGCCCTATTGCCACTGCTAACTTCCTCACCTCCCCTTGTTGGCGGGCGCTCCGAAAGCGAACGACTTGAAGGAAGATTTGATTGGACAACAGATACCACACGATTTGAAGCTACACAGCGCGGAATCCTTGAAACCCAGATCGCATATGCATTGCGAGCTATGAAAACTCCGCACTTCTTCGAATTTGGGATTGCTCGAACTAATGACGTTGGACGTTAACCGTGACAACATGACGGATAGATAAGCTCACCGATACTGGTCGTGTCGGATACGGACGTCGCGGGGGAGGATAATTTCGTATGCTTTCGCAAAAGACGGAGATCCCTCAGATGATTCCCACTCGCTCAAAAATTGGGCTCGCACTGCAGCATAGGTTAGCCCTTTCCTCCAACATGGCAAAAGCTACGTACAACTTTTGAACGTTGATCCATCAGCATTCAGCTCTCGCAGCCGAGGCCCCACACTCTCTCGACGATCGCAAGGAATGCATAACGGACCAACGGTTCGAGGCTGGATGGCGCATTTTTGACAACCTTCTACCTGCCCCAAACGTACGCCTTCTCTGCATCCCATGTTCAGCGTGTGTCGATTTTAATAATCAGGATACATACTTCGCGTGTGACTCTGAGCAGAAGTTAGAAAAGGCAGGTTTGCCCGTCGCACGACATCCATGAAGCACACATCCTGTTGGACTCGGACCTTGTCCATTTCTCGCGCAGCTCCTGCTGCAATATGGATGCTTGAAACCCTTGTCGACGAATTTCGGCTTCTTCCCGCATATCTTGGAACGGACTTGAGTGCTTCTCGGTACAGGAATTATCTGCTGGCTGCTTACCTCGCAGAGATCGAGCTGGACGGGTGGACTGGACGTTCGATGGCTGGAGCCCCAGTGAACGACATTCTTGACTATGGAGGCCATGAAGGTGCGGATTCAAGTTGGTGAATCGATGCATATCGGCTTGAAATCAGGTTTCGTGTACGATCTGGCAACAACCTCGTGAAGGACACGCTGCAGCCTCGTTTTTACGGCCAACATCTGATGCGGCTGCCAGCATGGTATCGATTTGGTGGCACGTCCGTTTAAAAACCATTCTAATTCATTCTCCCCTTCACATTGATCAGCAACCAGCTCCCGAAGAGCCCCACATAGGCGAAGATGACATCTCATATTCCTTTTGCTCTATCGCTCCTCGGCGCTGTCGCGTCAGGCCTTCAAGGCTCTGGGGTCGGGTCCACTCTTAACCCCCCACCTCCGCCCCCGAGCACTGCATCTGCGCCTCCCTCTGCTCCCAAACAAAACGCCTCAAGCTTGCCTGCCCCATCTGTGCCAGTCAATGTCCCTGGATCGACTCCCAATGCCTCAGCTAACGGATTAGGAGCGAGCCCTCCTACCAACAATGTAGTAGCACTATGTGTTGTTCGTACGATTTCATCATTCCTACGATCCTTTCGTCCTGATGATTGTTGCAGCATTGCCAACTTCGACCTAAGTATTTTGATGGGACCAAGACGCATCCTTACTGCAGCAAAAGCTGTGCCAATAAGATCAAGGCATCCAATCCAAAGACTGGCTCCGGCGCGACGAACGGAAACTGCGACGTACGTCTCGTTCGTCCCATTCTTCTAGTTCAGTGAATGACTATTCGCGACTCTCCAGTTCTGCCATAATCGACCCAAGTATAACGACGGCACGCGTACTCATGATTTCTGCAGCAAGGCCTGCGCTAGGAGTGCGGGTGGACCCCAGCGGAGATCGACAATGCCGGGCGCAGGTGCCAATAGCAAGGGTATTCCTCTTGTTCATCCGCCGCTTCCAGTAGCTGAGAATTAACTAGCTGTATGCCAAGCACCAGGATGCCAGAATCCTCCACATGGCGGTCCAGGTAGCGATTATTGTTCGATGGCTCACAAAACGTCAGTACAGCAATATTGTATTACTAGCTATCATTCACTCGCTCGCGATAGTCTCGGAGAAACGTTGTGCCTCATGTGCCTCCAAGCTCCCAAGATGGCGAATTCCCATTTTTGTTCTCAAACATGTATCGATGATGTTGAGGCGAAAGGACCGATGATCCTGGAGGTTCCACTGGGTCATGCTACTTTCAAGAGCGGTCTGTCGCCTATATATATCATCCAGTATCTGTCCTCAAGGATTTTCTCTAGTCGCTGAACAGTTCAAATCATCTTGGAGACATTTCGGCAGCGCGTGCCCGCCTGTGCGCCGTATCTATAAGATCGTCTCGCCTCCAACATCACTGGGCAACTACAACGCTTATCGGTGAGTTAGGATTTGCGCAATTCGGGTCAAACCTTCGGATTCACGCGATGCTCAGAGCCGCAGTAGAAAGTCGTGGCCAGTTCCTATCTGCAGGTCGAACCGAGGGAAATGAAAACCGCCGCTGGCATGGGACTCGAAGAGTGTGTAACCTTGGGGACAAGGGCCACACTCAGTTCTGTTCTTCGGCGCAGTGTTCCCTCTGCTGCATTACCCGAAACTCATTCGATCTTTCACTGTTTGGGAAGAAGACCGGTTGGGGAAGGTGACCTTCCCACCTCCTACATCCTTGTATATGTGTAACTGATACTGCAATGTCAACAGATTTGGCAAGGGCATTTATACTTCCTCGACGTCTTCAAAGTCAGTCTTTTGCTCTTCTATCCTTCCTTCATGTGTAACGCAAAGTGTAGGTCAAATGATTATTCCCACAACGACTGCCAGTCTTCCCTGAAGGCGATCCTATTGAACAAAGTCGTGGTCGGGAAGGGATGTAAGCTTTTACAGGACAATACAACACTAACTGCCCCTCCATCGGGCTTTGATTCAGTAAGTACCACCCTACTTCCCAATGATCATGCTCTCAACGTCTTCGCAATAACAAAGGTGCTAGCTGAGAAAGGAGGAAGCCTCAATTACGATGAACTGGTTGTCTATACCAATGACGCCATCAGACCGTCTTTCCTTGTAATGTACGAACCTTGAATCATCGCACTAAGTTATGCAGTAGCGCAGGTGCTGAAAAGAATATGGAGCGAACCATAACGGGGTCGTTTATAATAATAAGCAGTAAACTATAGTTCGCATTATTGTGTACTGTACAATCTGAAGTCCAATCACTCCGAGTCCGCGTTATTCCCTTCAAGTTCCGCTTCCTTCTTGGCCAGCACGGGAAAGCTGCCTGGAAACAACGTGTTGCGGGCGGACTGCCAGACCAGCCACGTCAACGTCACCATTCCGCCTGTTAGAATGAGGCTGAAAGGAAAGGGTGTCAATTGTGAAACTCCAACGACCACCAAAAGAATGTTCGTCACCTCTCTAACACGGCTATAGCTAGAGGAAGAAGATATCAATAATGAGGCAACTCGATGCTTGCAGACGAGGAGTTACATACCAAATAAAGCGCGAAGCTGCCCACAATAGACTACACCCCTGCAGCTACCCTTGACCAGCAAAGACGGAACCGCAGAGTTGAGTATTCCGGAACCAACGATCCAGAAGAGCCAAGAAACGAATACCCAGATGGCTTGGGCACCTATGGACGACACGGGGTGCTTCGACCACGTCGGATGGAGGAAAAGGAGCGTGTATGTCCCCGCTGTCAAGACGGTCCAGCAGGCCGAGAAACTAGTTATGATGTTTGCCTGTCGTTGAGCAACGTATGATAAGTATTAGGGAAGGACGTACAGAAGCATCCTGGCTCCGGTGCGTGTTTGTACATTTGGATAGTTGTGGTTGAATCGGTATTGAAGTACCAACCAACTGGCAATCGCAACCTACCCACAACAATAACACATCAATCCACCTTCACGTAGTAGAACAAAATCCACCATACCTCGATCAGACTGCTCAAAACCAAGAATATGTACACAGCTACAATCAAAATCAAAAGCAATGGGTGAACAAAAAATCATCGCCTCCAAACTTGAATGAACGCACGAGGGGCATATCGTTGCAGCCGAACACCAGACGTCTTATTCAAGGCCTTTGGGTTATTCCGTGCGTACTTGTACGCCCACGAAAGAGCGACGAGGTACGAGAGGGCAATCATTAGAGTAAGGCATGCCGTTAGACTTGTCGTCGTGCTTGTGAGATACGACGTTCGAGTTGAAATTAGGGCTTCTGGAATGGGGAAAGACGATGGCCTTGGGAAACCGGTGGAAAAGGAACCCGTTGCCAGCAAAGGTGTTCCAGACGTTGAAGGGGTTGACGTTGGCGCCGGAGCCATATAGGGAGGGGACCAGCCAGGGAAGGGGGTATGATGATGGAATGGGGAGAAAAGGAATGACACAACCAGCCGATCCAGGCTTTCAAAGAAAGCACGAGCTTGAAATGAGGTCGACTAGCTGGGTCCGCTGCCGCGTGGTATGTTCGGAAATGAAAACATCGGTCCCTGGGGGGTGGCGTCCTAGTGTCGTGACATTGATTGACAGACGAACAACAACGTGAAAGATGAATGTTGTTCAAGGAGAGCTGGAAATCGAGGAGTCAACTGGAACGAGGATCATCCCTCTATTCAACCTCCCTCTTTAGTAAGATAAAAAAGTGAGCTCGAGCGGTAGGAGAATAAGAGACATACGTGTTCTACTTCGTAGCTGCGTCTTGAATGGCTGTTGAAAAAGTATCACGATAAGTGCTGCAGACTCGGAATGTCAGCTACTGTCAATATCTCTCATGGAGATTGTGAACTCTTTGCCTCGTACACAAGGAGATCGAAGAATAGCTGGGGTCCTAGTGTCGTCACATTGACTGATAGACGACTGGAAGTTTGAGTAGAGCTGGAATTGAGGCGTCAACTGGTACCTATTCAACCTCCCTCTAGAAATGAAAAAAGTGAGCTCGAGTGGTTGGATTCGAAGGTGTATAAGAGGCGTACTGTGTTCTGCTTCAAAAGTAAATGGTTGTCGAGTAAGTATCATGATGAGTGCTGCAGAATGTCAGCTACCATCGATATCCCATAAAAATCAAAAATTCTTCGCCTCGCACACAAGAAGAACGAAGAAGCCGGGATTGCGCACTTAAAATCACCGGCTCACTATAACCAATCAGAACTCATATATGTCTTTTGAATGTATGCACAGAAACATAGGTGGTGAGGGGCGTGCAATAACAAATGGGGCCATAATCCTAGTCAAGCATAACACATACACAGTCCCCATAAGTTCCCAAGTGGTTCTTTCTTTTAAGGAGCAAAGAGGTTGTCGAGGAACGCCTTGTTGGCAGAGTTGGGCTGCTTGGGCTTCTTGGCGTCCTTCTTCTTCAAACGCTCCTGCTTGACTGTATTAAGGGGACATGGTCAATATATGCGTGGAAGAAAAAGAAGAAAAGGACGTACGGATCTCTTGCCTGCGCAGGGTCTTGGCGTAGGGGTTGAGACGGAAGAGAACGGCCTTGTTGACGAGGGGGTTCTTCTTCTGGGTCCAGGGGCGCTTCTGGACTTTCTGGCCAGCGGGGCGGACGACGGATTGGATTTCATCGCTGTTGATGAGACGGGTGACATCGGGGTTCGAGATCTTGGCGGTGGGGAGGCTAGAGATCCAGGTGAGGAAAGAACTAAAAAGATAAGCATAGCACCTACTAGTAATCCTTCTTGTGGACCGAAACCTTGTCAAAGGTACCAAAGACTTCATCAAGAAGAGCGAAAGCACCCTCAGTCCAGATAACGAAGCGGCCAAGGTGACCACCAGGAGCGAGCTGGAGGAGGTTCAGTCTCCTCACGTTGACCAGCTCGACACCGGGCAAGTTGCGGAATGCCTTGACGATGCCATTGTCCTCGTTATACACAACAAGGGGACCACGGCGCTGACGGTGCCTGCGGTTCCTCAACTTTCCTTTCCCAGCACGGAGCTTGCGGGAGTTGGAGACCTTGACAACGTCGGAGTACGCATGAAGGGCCTTGAGGAGGGCGACGGCCTCCTTGGTCTTGGTGAAAGACTCGGTGGCAGAAGCGACGACCAAGGGGACCTCCTCGATCTGCTCGATGCGGTGACCACGGGCGAGGACGAGCGAAGGAAGGGCAGAGGCGGCAAGGGCAGAGACAACAGCGAAACGGCGCTGGTTCTGGTTCACCTTGACGTGCCATTTGCGCCAGGTCTTGGTGGGTGCGAACATGCGACCTCCACGGCACATGTTACCGAAAGCAGCCTGAATTCGATGAGATGAAGTTCGCTAGATGATAAAAGATGAATGTATGCACCTGGCCGGAACGGTGAGTTCCTCCTCCTCCAACACGGGGGATACGGGCGACGGCACGACCTGTACCCCAAGATTCTGCGCTAGTTTGGTGGCCAGCCTTTTCGCTGACGGCGTATGCCTGCCTTTTGTTCTTGGCGATGCTCTCTGATCGACAAAAAGGTCAACGAGATGAGGGGTTTCATAGATCGTCGTTACGCACTGTGCACCTGTTGAACGACATCGAGCCTGATGGGGGCGGTTAGGACCGCGGGGAGGGGAAGGGAGGTTGAGGCCTCTGCAAAGAACGTTTAAATTGTATTGTCATCGTTATAGACGACGAACATACCGCCAGTCGAGGATCGAACGTTGACGGTGGGTCGGGAGGCCATTGTTGAGTCTTGAGGTCGAGGTCTTGATGCTCTGCGCGACGATATCCACACAATTTCGAGGCCGATCAATTTAGGCTTTTGCCGAACCAACTGTATAGTTTGGCGTTGCACAACAAATCAAAACAACTCCTTCTGAACTATCTTTAGAACGGTTGGAGTACTTACACTGCCAATGGGTGACTTCCCGTAACATAAATTCGCTAGATTTAAATAAATCGACGAGATCTAGGGTCTTTTGCCGGGATGCCGAGTCTTGTAAGGGTTCGACTTTGATGGAGGCCCTGGTTGGCACCCAGTTATAAACCTTAATCTATTCAGAGGGTACAGACCCCTCGAATAGATTTCAAACACTGGAATCAACCCTGCCATCATGACACCTTTCCTTCCTGGGTACGTTTTCTTCCCACCTAGCTTAGTCAGCTCTACCTCATCCTCTCTACTCTCCTACGGCTGAGGGCAGTCTGCTCTCTCGTTATAATTTGAAGCCATTACAGAGTTTATTAGTAGTGCCAACGTCCTCTGGTTCCAAAATTCCCTCTCCGAAGCTGTTTTTCCTTCCACAAACAATCTTCTCAGCACATAACTCACAGAACCACAGCATGTTCAGCTCAAGTTGACATTTTCTCGGCTTCATTCATTGTGTGTCCTACTTTATGGCTGATATGATTGAGCATTAACTATAATACACCCATCCATGGGCCTGTGTGTCCTCAAAACAGCTCAGATGAGAGGGAAGTAAGTTTATTCATGTTAGGTGAATAAATCTAATCAGCTGGCGTTACGGTTTATTTGCTTGATTAAATCGCAAGCCAGGGTACCCATTTCAAACTCCGATAAGGGTCAGATTTATTCGTTTATATAGATTTATGTTACGGGAAGTCACCCAATCGTACAACACATTGCCCCCAGATTTGACTTTTTTCTGTTGTCCATGTTTGGTTTCCAGCTTGACACCAGCCTTTGCCGACCAGCTGGAAAAAAATGTGGGCACCACACCCAGGGAGGCTCGATCTGATGTGATCCCACTGTCGTCGCCACGTTGGGATCTCCCTAATGACACTGTGTGACCAGAGCGATTCAGGGTCTGATGGGAAGCGAGAATATTCAAAGTCCAGTTTCCGTTGCCTCTGTTGCACAGGGGAGAACCGGCTATTTGGCCAATGGGCACATGAGTAAGCAAATGTTGATTGGAGGCATTAATGCTCTCCCATATTCTTCCCATATGCCTACCATGCACATTTGAAATTTAATTCAAGTAAGCTCCAAAATGCAAATATCATGGAATTCCTAGCCACAGAAAAAATATGCCCATTAAAATGGGCTATCATATGTGGCTGATTTGTTTATTTAATATGTGACCACAATGTGCCCAATAGGCGGATTCTGGTCACATGCTTGATGTATCACCATGCTAAAGTAAATATGCACACACAAATGCAATTAACATGGGACTGCTGGGCACATGTATATGACATATCAAATGAAATGCATCCGATGTAATCAGGGGGCAAATTGAAAAGCCACAGAAAAAATGTACCCATCATGCAGGCAAGATGTGGTTGTCATGCACATGCTGGAGAAATTTATCATGAGAGCAACATTGAAGTGATGGTAACATTCTGATTATATACAAAACATTCTTCAAATTTGCCCCAGCAGCACATGAAAGAGATATTTTGGTCACATTTAAAATGTAATGCTTCCATTTGCTTCAAAATGAATCCAGTGTTTTGTTGGCAGTACCATTTATAATAAGCCTGGTGTAGCCATGCAAAAGTATAGTGAATGATCAAAAAAAATCAAAAAACTTGGCATTTGCCCAGGAAACACATTGAAAAAGAAAAAAAAAATTATTAGATGAGGTAAATTTTAAATTTTTCAAGAAAGAATGCAGCTGTTATAGTTAAATCTGGTAGCTCTATTATTAAAGGTTAGAGAAAGGGGGTGGCAGGGTAACTTCCAGCCAACCTATCAATAGACCGGTTCATTAGCTGTCAGTGAATAATTATTAATAATGGACATTAATATGTAATATAATAGTTGTTGTTGTTAGCTGTAGATGACATCATGATAGTAAGCTACGCACTGTAGCATAATGATTGTTGTTATCACTACTAACTGTGATAGATAATACTAATTATAATAGTAAGCTATTGGATAATTATTAAGAATGCTAATTTATGACATCGGTCAACGCTGACTATGATAATAAATGATGTTATCAATGCTAACTATGGTAGATAATAGTGCGATAGTGATACAGACACTATACCCTAACGAATTTAACGACATCAATCCTCGACTATTACCGTGGACTACAGTCCCCCGACTTCCGTGTTTGTTGGATTGCACCAGCATCAGTATCGCACGGAAGTGAGTACTTTTCCTGCAGCCCTTCTCATGCAACTTTGTTCAGCAACTATCTAGGATCTCCCCATGGTGCTCAGCTCCAGGAACACCAGCCCGAGTCCCATGTCCGAATTTGATATAGAAGGTGATAGTTCCGTAGGTTCTTTCACTCCTTTTCTTTCTCTTTATTTTGTCTCATGGTCTGTTTCCCTCAACAGGAGAGCGATAATTTGGCGGAGACGATGGCTTCTCTTACTGAGTGGGTACAAGAATTATCAGACTCTTTACAAGGGGTCATAGAGTGTCTCGCATGCAATGAGGATGAACAGCCCAGCAGGGTTATGGAAATCAAGATAGATGGTTCTACCTTGTGTTCCATTGCTTTCAAGTAGATTGTTAGTAGGATTGTTATGTGTTATAAATGACGACTTGTTTCGCATCTTCCACCATGGTAAGGAAGGTCGCGAGTCCGTCGTAGCGTGGATCTTTTCATCCCCTCAGAAGTACCATTTTCAGGAGGGTCTAATTTAAAGGACTTGCGGCTAGAACCGAGGTGAACAAGCGTACCAGATCGAAGTGACGCTACCAAGGCTGCAAAAGACGGGCATTGTCAGCAACGAAACGATAGNCGGACAGATATCACAAGGATAGAATCACTGATGTAGTGAGCACAAGTCGAGGGAAGCAGCTAATCAGTACACACCGCCCCACAGATCGCTGCACAAAAAGCATGTCAGCGTGAAGGCCTTGAATATGAGGTCTGCGAGGTCGGTGGCACCAGATTTGCGGTTTCGTGAGTGGGGCTCAGAGCGCCCTTCAGCATCAGCCTCTTTCCGTTTGAATGCTTTTGGAGTGCACGGTATCATTGTACTATAATGCCTTACATCCTATTTACCGACTTCACCAGCGTACGTCTATTTAGCTGTCACCTAAAATGGCGGTAAGATTCGAACAAGGGAATGCAGGAGAGCCGTCTTACCTCTCCGCTCTGTGAGGGGTCGTACTCGTCCACCTGAAATGTTGGATTTCCAGTGCTCGCCTTGTTTCCGACCTTTTGCCATGAGAGATGAACGCACTGGATTAAAACCCGCCAATCGCTGACGCCATGTGTCGACGTCTTTTGGTTGACTGAACAATATAGATCTGAAGTAGCATGAGCAGAGTATGACAGAGTTGATGGTGTGTTGATTCCTTACATAATTACGTGCAAGCGGTTCGTTGGCACCCATCGCGAACTCCTTCTGCAGCGCTCAACGGGATGACCAAATCGGGGAGGCAGTCTCGCGGATTACTGTCCTTTACATTATGACGAAGTAGGTAACTGTCTTCTTGATGGGCTTGTCCCTTAAGAACATTGCGGTCGTCAATTTTTTGATAAAGTGAATGAAAACGAGAGACCGGGTGCTGAGAGATGGACTCTTTCAGCAGCGTCTTCGGGACATCATGCTGCATGTGTTGAGTCGTGGTGCTACAAGGAAGGTCGGGCAATTGGCTGTGTACCGATTTGACCTACGTGGTGCATGTCAGCAAAGAGAGTGTACAGGGGGGAGAGTGGGGGATAACAAACGATGGCCTGCCAATTACTTTTGACGGGTTCCCATTGCGATAAAGGCAAAGGGAGGAGCGCGGAGTTGGATGCTGAGGTCTCCGACGCCGCTGGGAGAACTCTGGAGAGTTGGGGCGCACCTGGTCCAGCACGCCTAATCGGTGTGAAGCGACGAAAATGATGTAAAGCATCGAATTTTCGAAGCCCTACCCCAACTCACTCGTCCCTCCGTATCACAATGCGCCTTCCGCCGTTCCATCGCCGGCCGTGGTCAAGAGCTGGATGTCCACCTGGTTAGCAGTCACCAGTCAATCGTCAGTGGTTAGCAAATGACAAAGCCTGGACAAGACCTCGTGTTAGATCTTGTGGAATGACTCAATATCCTTCTTTTTGTCAAAATTCTTCGTCCCCTCGGTTTTGAGTGTGTCGAGCACGGAATCAGCAGCACTCCGAGCGCAGTACGCACAGAGGAAAGAATAATTTCGTAAACTGCGCGTGTTTCCCCAGTCTGTGGACGATATGTGATGCCTTCATGATCAACATCTTGCGTCGCCTCAACGACCGATGACACCATGGGGAACAACAATCTTGAGACAAGCATTTCCCTGTACTTATTACCGGTTGCCCTCTAACTTCTAAGTCGTCAGGTAAACTATAAGGTTGCTCTTTATTATCCCTCATGAGGCTAGCAATTACCCTTGAATTACCCTCTACACGCATTGACGAGACTCTTACCGAGGATCTAGAAAAGTCCTCCATCTCGTCGTCGAGGATCAGGATAGATGTCAGTATAGGTGTCGTTAAATAGGTGTATGTCGTTAGGGTACCATAGTTAGCATTGATAACAACAATTATTATCATAGTTAGCGTTGATAATGATGTCATACTTAAATTAGCATTCTTAATAATTATCCATAGCTTACTATTATCTAGTTAGCATTGATAACTATGTTATACATAGCTTACTATGCAATAGTTATCACTAACACTTTCCATTATCAATAATTATCCACACTTGGACACTGACAGTTAATGAAGCTGGTCTATTGATACCTTGTTGACCCTGCCACCCCTTTCTCTAACTTTTACTAGAGGTACCAAATTTTACTATAATATCCAAGCCAACAGCTGCATTCTTTTTTTGAGAAATTCAAAATTTACCCCCATGTAATAATTTTTTTTTCTTTCTCAATGTGTTTCCTGGGTAAATGCCAAGTATATTTTCTTAAATTATCATTCACTATACTTTCACATGGCTACACCAGGCTTATTATAAATGGTACTGCCCAGAAAATACTGTATTCATTTTGAAGGAAATGGAAGCATTACATCTTAAATGTGACCAAAATATCTCTTTCATGTGCCACTGGGGCAAATTTGAAGAATATTTTATATGTAATCAGAGTATTACCATTACTTCAATGTTGCTCTGATGATAAATTTCTCCAGTATGTGCATGACAACCACATCTTGCCTGCATGATGGGTACATTTTTTCTGTGGCTTTTCAATTTGCCCCCTGATTACATCGGATGCATTTCATTTGATATGTCATATACATGTGCCCAGCAGTCCCATGTTAATTGCATTTGTGTGTGCATACAGTCATTCACCGGTCACTGAGTCACACTAGTCAATGAGTCAAAACACTTTTCTGGGGTCAGTTCTCAAGCTATTTATTTAATTCTTTCTCCGTTGTGTGCGCATATATAGTCTTTATAGTAATCCCAAGTTTCTAAGGTGTAGCATGTTTTGATCTCTTGATATCTGCAGATAAGTGCTCATTCACCATAAAACTGAATATTATCTGAGTGATCTTGGCCTTAGATTTCGGAAAAGAGCCATTTTTGTTTGATAATATCTCAAGGCATACCATAAATATTCAATTACAAGAGTTTTGAGCTGAGCTGATGCTCCAGTGAACCAAAAACCACTGAATGGACCAAATCACACTTGAAAGGGAGAAGGTCACATTCTGTCACACGTGCCACAGACGTCTGATGAAGCGATGGGAAACTGAAGTGACTAAGCAAAATGCCCAAATTGGGACAGCGTGACATCTGCCTCATTGACTGGTTTTGCACTGATCTTCGTTTGCAGCACAGATAGCATGCGATATATTATTCAACAACGTGAATTTGAGTTTGTAACTAGATATTACATAGGGTACGATGTATGCGCACACTTCTCTCAGTTTATAATGTCCATATCCCTTGTATTTAAAATTTCTGACACCATTCTTTATTTGGGTGCCTCATTGACCGGTGAATGACTGTATTTACTTTAGCATGGTGATACATCAAGCATGTGACCAGAATCCGCCTATTGGGCACATTGTGGTCACATATTAAATAAACAAATCAGCCACATATGATAGCCCATTTTAATGGGCATATTTTTTCTGTGGCTAGGAATTCCATGATATTTGCATTTTGGAGCTTACTTGAATTAAATTTCAAATGTGCATGGTAGGCATATGGGAAGAATATGGGAGAGCATTAATGCCTCCAATCAACATTTGCTTACTCATGTGCCCATTGGCCAAATAGCCGGTTCTCCCCTGTGTTGGCAGGCCCTGTGATCGTTGTCATAACATAGTCACTTTGATATCACAATTTATTAAGGAACGATAACGTAGTGGTTATGCTGGTTGGTTCAAATCTGTGTCCGAGAGGTCTCGGGTTCAATCCGAGCTTTTGCCTCTTATTTTCGCAAGCATTTCTTGCTGACTCCACGTCGGCCGAGATAGCTGGCCACCACATAAAAGCTGGCGACACTGTGCCATTAGAGCGATCCCAACCTGCACTCTACAGCTGTTCTACATTGAAGTCACATGTAATGATGTTGGTGTCAGCTCAAAATTCCCAGCTGTCCCCAATGTTTCGTACAACAGGCGGTGTACAGTAAGCCAAAGCGAGCGGCGAGCAGCATCCTAGGTGAGTGAGGCTGGGATATGCTTGCACGACTTTTGTTTCATCTGAACAGTCGAACTAGTACATTGTCAAACTCAATTCCGAGTTATGCGACCTATGTTATTTTACAAGGACCATATGTGCTCAATATAATCCTTGATCCACCTGCGTACCCCACTCCCGCTTTCCTATTACTCTCCTGTGCCAAACGTCGGTGCGTAGTCCTCTTGAACGTTTTCGATTCATACGACTGAATTGGCCATAAGACTGCAGCAACACCCAAACCCCTTAGAAAATGCCCAGGGCAATTGTCGCCGATGCAACGCCTATCGAGGGTGAACAGAAGGCTATTGTAATTGGATGTAGACCTTCAACCCTTGCCAAGATACAAGCAGAGCTCGTACGCAGCCGTCTTAAAGTCCTCTTTCCTGCCTCCCGTTTTGAAATTTCCTCCAAAAAATTTCCCCAGCCGGAGATAGGGACAAGGTTCTTGCCTTCCGCTCATTGAGCCAGATTACGGAGAGGGGTGGCGCTTCTTTGTGGACGACTGAACTGGAGGATGCACTCTTCGACGGCGACATAGATATACTCGTGCATAGTCTCAAGGATGTCCCGACCAAGTTGAAGGAAGGATGCGAGATCATACATGTGCTGGAGAGAGAGGATCGTCGCGACTGTCTAGTGGTGAAGGATGGTCTCCCCTATCGGACCTTGGAAGAGCTGCCTGCTGGCTCGGTTGTAGGCACAGGAAGTGTTCGAAGAGTCGCACAAATGAAGCGAAGATACCCTCTGCTTGTCATTAAGGATGTGGTAAGCACTTTTTTAACTGCATTATCCAGCATTATTTCGTACTTGCCCTGCTTTAGCGCGGAAATATGTTCGTGTACCAACTACTTGAAATTTGACTTGCTGACCGAACCGTTCATGTTCGCAGCGACACACGCCTTCAAAAGTTAGACTCTCCCGACCTGCCCTACACCGCTCTCATTCTCGCTTCGGCTGGGCTGCTTCGTCTCTCCCTCCATGACCGCATCACCTCATACCTATCGCCACCCATATCGTATCCAGCCGTCGGGCAAGGTTGTCTCGGCGCTGAATTCCGCTCCGCCGACACGAAAGTGAAGGCCATGGTTTCGAGATTAGAAGTTTGGCAAGATGGCTGGGCCGTGAGAGCCGAGAGAGCGCTATTGTGGGTTTTGGAGGGTGGTTGTGCCTTTCCTGTTGGAATATGGAGCTCCTGGAGCGGTGACAACATCGCGTCCGAGTCGCTGGTCCCAAGTACTGGTTCCCAGCTCTTACTCAAGTCGGTGATGACATCTCCGGATGGTTCGGAGGAGATTACTGTTGAGACAACGGGAGTTGTTGCGTCTGTTGAAGAGGTATTGGAGTTGGGGAAACAAGCAGCCAGATCTCTATTAGAAAAAGGCGGGCGTGGAATCATAGTGGACCTTAGGGCTGAGATAGACAGAGCTGCCAGTGAGTATTAAATAACTACATAACCCACAACTCATTACAATTTCCTTGCACCGTTCTTCCATAAACCTCATTCTCTGAACTGCCGAGGAGAATTGTTTCTTGATCATGGCCACTGGGTTTCGGGCACATTCCCGGCACAACTTACTCTGCGCATGACAAATTTCCGGCAATCGTACACCACAGCTGCTGGCCTTCTATGTCTCGTCGCCTGAAGTCACAGGTTTGGTGACGATGCGTATCTCAACCGATTGCTATAAAGACATTAAGAAATCCTGGTACCTTGTCAACAGTTGAACCCACGTCTACCTCGACCAAATGGCAGAAGGCATTCTACGTTGAGATGCTTGTAATGTTTGTGTTCAAATTCATGAATCTCAAGAAGCTGATTTGACCTATCTGTCAACAGCCATGGTCCTGGAGGCCACTTTTTGTCCAGCTATATGACCAACGGGAATGGCGTCGTTTAGTCATCGCCGAATCCCGGACTTCAAGTGCCCGAGCCACCTAGGAGGGCACCCAAACCCCTTCCAGTAAAACAGGACGATGGTCAAGACAGCAAGGAGGATGGGGACGGCGACGATGATGTCAATGAGGAGGGGAAGGCCTTGCTGGTGAGCGCATTTTACACCCCCTCAATACTCAGCGAAGTATTTACCTTCTATCCCTTGCAGAACTTCGTGCTGGGCGTGGGAAAGGGATCCACACCGTCCACGGAAACGAGTGAAGACTGAGGATATACAGTCATTCACCGGTCACTGAGTCACACTAGTCAATGAGTCAAAACACTTTTCTGGGGTCAGTTCTCAAGCTATTTATTTAATTCTTTCTCCGTTGTGTGCGCATATATAGTCTTTATAGTAATCCCAAGTTTCTAAGGTGTAGCATGTTTTGATCTCTTGATATCTGCAGATAAGTGCTCATTCACCATAAAACTGAATATTATCTGAGTGATCTTGGCCTTAGATTTCGGAAAAGAGCCATTTTTGTTTGATAATATCTCAAGGCATACCATAAATATTCAATTACAAGAGTTTTGAGCTGAGCTGATGCTCCAGTGAACCAAAAACCACTGAATGGACCAAATCACACTTGAAAGGGAGAAGGTCACATTCTGTCACACGTGCCACAGACGTCTGATGAAGCGATGGGAAACTGAAGTGACTAAGCAAAATGCCCAAATTGGGACAGCGTGACATCTGCCTCATTGACTGGTTTTGCACTGATCTTCGTTTGCAGCACAGATAGCATGCGATATATTATTCAACAACGTGAATTTGAGTTTGTAACTAGATATTACATAGGGTACGATGTATGCGCACACTTCTCTCAGTTTATAATGTCCATATCCCTTGTATTTAAAATTTCTGACACCATTCTTTATTTGGGTGCCTCATTGACCGGTGAATGACTGTACCCGTCGAGTGACGAATATTTCACAAAAAGAATCACCTCCAACTATTGGTGGCCCTATGCGATGCTCTTTTGTGTTCTTCGGTAACGTCATTCACAACTGAGCTTTTACCTCAGTTCAACTGACACCTTCCGATTACAAAGTTGCTTCCTAAGCCAGCGCCAGTAGCTTACCAACTTCCCCATCAAGATGGTGCAATTCGATGAATGATGGGGAAACCAAGGGGAAACATAAGTAGCCTCAAAACATCGTAAACTCCTTACCTTCCTACATCATTGTTTCTGAAGCTCACGCATCCACACCCTAGCAATAAGCTATGGCCACACAACAGAAAGCTCTTTTAGTCCCTGCAAAGTTTGCCGACTTCGTCGTTGGATCCAAGTCCATTCCCAAGCCAGGTCCCGGAGAGCTTCTGGTTAAAATCCGCTCCACCTCGCTCAACCCAGCTGATTGGAAGATCCACAAATACGGGCTCTTTATTGAGGAGTTCCCCGCTGTCCTGGGGTTGGACCTTGCAGGAGACGTTGAGGAGGTTGGGGAAGGCGTCACCACTTTTGTAAAAGGAGATCGAGTGTACGTCGTTTTCTATTTCCTCCTGTAGCTGCATCTTAGAAACACTGAATGTAGTTTTGCTCAAGGTCAATACAAGCCCGATTGGGCAACTTTCCAGCAGTACGCGAAGACTGACGCGGCTACCACAAGCAAGGTTTGTTTCCAACGAATTTTAATCCTATGGTCCATTGACGCTTATCCGTTAGATCCCTCCCAATTTCTCATACGACGATGTCGCAACTCTGCCTGTCGCACTCTCAGCGTCGTACGCAGGCCTCTACGGCAATAAACCAGCTGGTGCCGCTTTCGATGCACCTGTCTCTGCGTTGGCCGTCGGCAAGTACGTCAACACACCTCTGGTCGTTTTAGGAGGCTCAAGCAGCGTCGGGCGATGCGGTTTGTTAATCCTCATTGTCCAGTCATACATTCTTTTCTCTTACACAATATCCAGTCATTCAGCTTGCCAAATACTCTGGTTTCGATCCTATCATTACCACCTCCTCCCTCAAACACGCGGACGATCTTAAATCCCTTGGTGCGGCACACGTCATTGACCGCGGCGCGTCCGTCGTCACAGAAGTCAGAAAACTTACTGACAAGCCCATTTTAATCGTGTACGATGCCATCTCGAGTGCGGATACTCAACAAGTAGGCATTGACATTTTGGCGCCTGGGGGGAAGCTCGTCACGGTGCTGCCTCCTAGTGCGAAAGTGGAGGGCAAGGAGATTATCCCCGTTTTTGGATCGGTGTCGGCGCATCCCGAGCTTTTGACATCTCTTTATGGCAAGGTCCTGTATGGATTCTTGGAGCGAGGTGTTATTAAGGTATGTCTACAACCTCGATGATTTTGGACGACGATTGACTCATAATTTCTTGTATGTCAGCCCAGCCACTTTGAAGTTATTGGCGGCCTTGCAGCAATCCCTGAGGGTCTAAGCCGGTTGCAGAATAACCAAGTGTCGAATACGAAGCTTGTTGCTCATCTACAAGATTGAAAGAATTCTCTGGTAATTGATTTCGTGTTGTTTGTATTTTAAATTTCGATTATGATTTGGGAACGTTGAAGATGTTGACTATGTATGTCAAGTTGGTCTGTCTATTACTGGACTTTTTCATGTCGATCAAGGGAAGAGGCAACAAGCGTTGAACATGGAATATTGAGCGCTGAGTGCTGAGGTCTCTTTGTTCTCGATGATAAAAGACATAAAGTGTGCAAGAAATGAGTAGAGTCGCGATGGCGGGAGAGGAGTCGTCGTCGAGGACACCATTGGCCAAGACATTGCAGCGGGGGTCGTGATCGCGTCGTTGTCACGTGGACTCCAGACAAAGCGGACAGGTGTAAGTGGAACTTTCTGCTTTCATCTGCAACACTCCCATTGAAGTTTCATTGTCAGTTCATTCGCCCCTCTGTACTCTAAGCTACGTGTAAACTAATCTGCATTTCATTTTTTACTAGAATGGGACATCCGAATATCGAACAGCGCAAATTCAACTTTTGCCCAAGTCTCGCTGGCCTCGACCTGGAGAACCTCATCAACCAATGTCTTGAGTGCACTCGCTTCTTCGGCGCTTGCTGTCTCCATCAATCCTACGGTGGCGATTTGGCTGTACCCAACAAAGACGTTTGCCACCACTTCCAAATTGTCTTTATTGACGGCGCGTGTTCCAACAATGGTCGGGAAGATGCTAAAGCTGGGCTGGGTATTACCATCGGCGACGATGAATCCTATTGTTGGAGTATCGCTGTGAACGATGCGGCAGACCCAAATGGACCCAGGACTAATCAACGTGCCGAGTTGTTGGCAGCGATAGAAGGTTTGCAGCTATTGGCGAATGTGAATCGACTTAACGCGATCCACGAAGCAATGGGAATGGGGGATGAACACCACAAGCCAGCCAGACGCAACACTGACGAATTCGGTCCCACCTACGTCGTCGTGGCCGATTCTGAATACGTCGTGAAAGGGATCACGGAATGGCTTCCCACGTGGCGTGTATGTCTTTCATATCTTACTCCCCAGATCGCTCATGAATGTTTTTTTTTTACAGGTCAGAGACTGGCGTACGGCAGCTGGAAAACGACCCACGAACTTGGACTTGTTTTTGAAGCTGGATGAGGTTACCATGAGCTTGGAGAAGGATGGCATCACAGTTGGCTTTTGGCACATTCCAAGGGCATATAACCACAAGGCTGATCGTCTGGCGAAGCTTGCAACTGTTTAATAGCTTCTCGTCAATAGCTTATTGTAGTGTCCACCTGAAGCTGGATTAATGATTCGTTCTATTACAAGTGTAAACTTATCTCCGTGCCTTCGATGTCCTTGTCAACGACCAACGACAAGCTAACCACCCTGCGCGCTGCGCTCACAAACACCGCCCTCTTCTGCACGGGCATCGCGCCTCTCGCCGTTGTTCTATCGAGATGCTGAGGGCACGGGAGCCAAGTGCGTTCTTGATTATTGTTGCTGTCCGCTGCACGAGCTGACGATGGTATTTGACTGGACTCTTCATAGGTTACTGACGAGCTTGAGATGCTCGTGAAGGCGTGTCGTGAACATGGAACGATACACTGACAGACGCGAGGCACGCGAAAGTCGCGACATGTCACATTATCTTCTGACGTGGACGCGTCTGGTCACGTCATCGTGACTCTTTTCTTATGATCCTCCTCCTCTGCTGTGCTGATCAAAACGGACGAAGTCATCGATGGCAGCAACAACAGGGAATCGCCAAAGCGAGCCACAAAATTCTATAGGCTGGAGCGCGTAGGCGCTGCACGGCATACAAGTATATACTTCAGTAAGATAGTAAAATATATCATAGAAAGTAGAGCTTTATTGGCCAGGAAGTGTCAAGAACCTTGAGGAGGATCTACTAGCACACGAGCGTGCTGCTGCTGAGGCCACCACACCGACTTCCGCCCCATCGACGTCGTGATGTGGGAGCAACCTGACTCATATTACTTATTCTTAACATATGCGAGGCCCATTTCTTGATCTATTACATTCTATGTCATCAATAGCTTTACAATATCTTATTGTCGTTGTATTTACGACTTGAAACCAGAGCAAAACGAGTGTCGAGCAACGGGTGTTGCCCAGGAAGTGACGCAGTCAGGCCAGATTGACCGTTTGTTGGCCGTTTTTGGCTGACCCCTGGCCTGACCGGTCATGCCCAGTCAAAAATGACTCGGGTTATTCCGAGGTAGATCTGATTGCCTAGAATTGAAGCGATGTAAGGTGTCGTTTTATCGACAGAATTCTATACAAATAGATTTGAGTTCGATCCAATTCGATATTACACGATGTAAGCCATGTACGCAGTGCGGTTTTTAGTGTGGGTCCACATATATCAGTCACTATGTCACATACCAAACGTAGTAGCCGGACATGACAATGACTCGTAATGAACGGGCCAGCCGGTCCCGGCCGGACTTTCCAAAACATCCCTTTACCAACGGACCAGCCGGATGCATACAAATGGCTTGCGGGCACGGCGTCTCTTGCCGCGGCAGCTACCTACGGCAGCCTTCTGGGTGTCCCGTCGGCATCACACCATAGTTCCCCAATCTTTACTAGAACAACTGTAATACTGTTACCTGCTTTGATGTTGTACTGTTTGCTTCTATCAGTAGTAGCTAATTGTAAACCTCCACCCTAAGCTACTTGCTCTACCACACAGCTGCTGGTCAGCAAAGCATGCTGTATATACCCCAACCTGCTCCAATGGTAAATTACCTGTGTCCATAATATTAATCAATGACATCTATTGAAATTGAATATGTCAACTCTGGTTAAGCATTTGATTGACTCCAATGGGGTGGTTATTTCAACTCCCATGGGGCATTTGATTCACTCTGGCAGAGAATTTACATCTGAGTATGTCAACCACCATGGGCATTTAAATTTGACTATTTTGACTCCATGAAGAATTTGATTGACTTGAGGGGTTATTATGTTTAATTGTAAATGTATTGCCAGAGTTGACATACTCAATTTCAAATGCCCTGGAGGAGTGAACCCAATGCCCCATGGGAGTCAACATATTTGATTTAAAATACCCTGTCAGAGTAAATAAAATGCCCTGGAGGAGTAAACTACATGCGCCGCGGGGGTCAACATATTTGACTCTAAATTTCATGACAGAGTGAATAAAATGCCCTGTCGGAGTGCCCTGTGAGAGAACATATTTAATTTTATATGCCCTGACAGCATGAATAAAATGCCGAGTGAATTAAATGGCTGCGGGGTCAACATATTTTATTTTAAATTCGCCGACGGGGTCAATAAAATGCCCCGTCGGAGTAAATAAACTGCCCCGCGGGAGTTAACATATTTAATTTTAAAAGCCCCGATGGCGTAAATAAAATGCTCCGTTGGGGTGAATTAAATCGCCGCGGGGTCAAAATATTTGATTTTAAATTCGCCGACGGGGTCAATAAAATGCTCCGTCGGAGTGAATAAACTGCCCTGCAGAAGTTAACATATTTAATTTTAAATGCCTCAATGGAGTGAATTAAATACCCCATGAAAGTCAATCAACTGTCTCCCACCCAATTCAAATTTTATATTCCCCATCGGAGTGTATTGAATGCTTTGCAGGAGTCAACATATTTAATTTTACATGCCCCGACGGAGTCAATGAAATGCCCCGCCGGAGTTGTGGGGGAAAAAAATGAGCTGTACTGTTATAGCTTCTCAATACATCTTTCCAGCATACTACAACTGTTGTAAAATAGGTTCAAGTTTACTTTGGAAAAGAATTTTGGCACATGGTGGAGAAATGAGGTTGAATGCATGAAATATCTCGCAACATGATATTGTTGACTTTTCTGTATACTTTGCTACCAAATCTCAACATCTGAGCCTTTCCTATACATAGTTAACATATGGCAGAATATATATCCCCTGCTCCGAAGCAGTTTTCTGATGGTTTGGGGGAGCTGGAGCTTGAAAGGGTGAAAATATGACTCTAAACATGAAACCACATTCTTTCTTATTTCCTTTCACTATCTAAATCTTGTTGAAATGCTCCCATACTTTCCCCAAATATAGCCTACATACTTTAGAATCAATTCAGATAGGTGGGGGAAGCAGTTGTGAGGGAAGAAAAAAAAATATAACTTGATGTATGCAAAATGGCATGTTGTGCAACTGGTTTGTATAAAGATTCATGCACCAAATAGCTCTTTCCGAGGTCTGTTCACAAAAACTTCTTCAATCACTGAGAAAACTATTCCAAATGATTCTATTCCTTTCTGGGATCCCCCCAATGTCTTTGTTTTGTTGGCGTGTTGCATTGCCAATGAGCGCGGCACAGTGCGTAGTTTCAGATGGTGTGTGAATAATGCGCTCCTTCCATATTAGGTTGCCGCTGGCCCATATTTGGTAAGGCGGGCTGCCAGAGTTGTTCTACTTCTAAAAACTAAATGGTGCACACATCAACTATCTGACCTCCAATTCAGTGGATCTTTCTTTTGTATTATGAGGATTTGTCATGGCTACTAGCAGGACCTTTCATCAATATTGTGCGTTGATTTCTTGACAATATATTTCTTGTTTCTGCAAATCACATATTCCAAGCCATTGCATGTTTCAGTTCACATGGATGGATGATCTGGGCACCAGCTTAAAAATGCTGTAGTGGATTGACTCCTCTATCTTGAATAAATGCTTCGCCAGAGCTGACATATTGAATTTTGAATGCCCCATTGGAGTCAATCAAATGCCCCGCGGGAGTCAACATTTTGAATTCTCAATTCCCTGTCAGTGTCAATCAAATGCTCTGCCACAGTCAATAAAGTGCTCTGCTAACTTGACGTATTCAAGATCATGCCACAGATGACCATATTGTGGAGGTCATGTTTTCAATTTCAATGTCAAACACCCTGATGGGGCCATTGCCAACAGTGCCTTCAATCTCAACCTCAAACACCCTGATGGCAACATCCTCTGTGGTGCTTTCAATTTTAATGACAAACACCCCAACGGAGACATCCCCTGCGGCACCTTCAATTTCAATGTCAAACACCCCAACGGTGATATCCCCTGCGACGCCTTCAATCTCAACCTCAAACACCCCGATGGTGACATCCCCCCGCAGCACCTTCAATTTCAATGTCAAACACCCCGACGGTGACATCCCCCGTGGCACCTTCAATTTCAATGTCAAACACCCTGATGGTGATATCCCCCGCGGCGCCTTCAATCTCAACCTCAAACACCCCGACGGCGACATCCTCCGCGGCGCTTTCAATCTCAACCTCAAACACCCCGACGGTGACATCCCCCACGGCACCTTCAATTTCAATGTCAAACACCCCGATGGAGACATCCCCCGTGGCACCTTCAATTTCAATGTCAAACACCCCGACAGTGATATCCCCTGCAGTGCCTTCAATCTCAACCTCAAACACCCCGATGGTGACATCCCCTGCGGCACCTTCAATTTCAATGTCAAACACCCCAATGGAAACATCCCCTGTGGCGCCTTCAATCTCAATGTCAAACACCCTGACAGAGACATCCCCAACAGAACCATCAATTCCAGTTTGACACCCCAATGGAGCCACAAATGAGTAGACAAGGTGTGAGTAGCTAAATGAAAAGCTTTCATTTCTTAACTACAAGGTGAGTGTTTCCCTGTTGGGACAAAATTCAGTTTTTGGTTTATATGGAGACTATCTTGCAGGAGTTGGATGAGATAAAGATTAAGATACATTATGCTACAGATTTAGATGGATATAAGTAAGGGGAGAGAGGCCCCAGTTAAATTTTTTTGTAGTTCCATCAGGATGGGCTGAGAGCCCGTCGGTTGAAAAAGTGGTTCCGCTGCGGGAGCGTAAACCCTGCCAGGGTCAGAAACCGGCCGCTTCGTTGCCAATGGAACAATGGCAATCAAACCGGCCGCCCCGGCTGACCTGTTCACTACGACTGATTGTCACGTCCGGCTGTTCCGTTGTTATTGGACCCATGTGACTGAACTAACTAGTGGGTCAGCCTTGCAAATCGCCTGAAATATATCTAACTCGATTGATGCTCACACATGCCACGCAAATCGACCATAGTCACTGTGACTCAGCCTGATCGGAGTTGATTTTCACTGGGGGTCATGACCCGGGTCATTGACACCACTGGGTGGAACCTTCCCAAGACTTCCTCGAGACGTTTACCCTGAGGTAGCCAACACCATCTTCCTCGCCGACCATCTTCGACCCAAAATCCCAGCCTGTGCAACTGTATGTGAGTCTGACCGTTAACACAAGTCGCTTGAATGATGCCCAGATGACCAATTTATTGCCAAGATCTCGCGGTACGAGGTTAGATGTCGATGATCGGTTGTCATTGTCCTACTCTTTTATCATTCTTTCACCACTTACTCACTTCATCATCCACCATTCTCCCCTTCCCCTCCTCCTGTTGTCTTCGTATGCTCGTATTTGCTTACACTGTTTCCTTGTTGCTTCAGAACAATTCTATCTTAAATGATGAGCATGCGTTCATCAACTTCCGACCTCAATCATACCCACCTGTTCCCCGCCATACGTTGGCAGCATTCCTAAGCCTCTTTGATGGTCGATCGTGTGCTCGTTCACCAACAAAAAGTAAAACCCGTTTTGGAACAACGAAAAGACAACTATAAAGCCAGCTCTGAGAAATGTGAAGCAAACTTAAGCCGCTCGAAGGGCGTTTGCTGACAGGTGAAAGGTACACAACCAAATCAGAAGAATTTTCCCCGACGACGCAAAAGTACTCACGATCTTACAAAGTTTAGATTCAGAGCTTGCTCCTCCGACTACTGTGAGCGCACCCGAGTTCTACGACTTGTGGATAAGAGCGTCCCGCATCTCGAACATGTAATGAGTACCTTCGAGCATTGTCGGGCTGAAGTTGTACGAATTGGTGGGCGTTCTATAAGAGCAGATTTCCAATGGCGTGGTTATCGTTATCATCCTTGAGAGAATTTTGGTAGTTAGTACACAGATAATTAAGAAATAAATGCCCTACACCTTTCTAACCTGCAGAAGTTTGATGTGATGGTCGTCGCCTACAGTTAGAGACACAACTCTCCCTTTCTTGGGCGTAGTTATGTAAGTCCAGCTAATACGTCTAGAAAACGAAAAGACCTCTACTATGCCCTACCAGCACCTCGGTGCACCCTACGAGTCGGCGGTCACTGATTGTCATGAATTTTGGCTGGACAAGTGTGATGTTGCATGACAACTTGGAAAACGAGAGTCACGCTTGTCCAGCCAAAATATGTGACAATCAGTGACTGCCGACTCATAGGGTGCGCCGAGGTGCTGGTAGGTCATAGTACCACAAGAACCCTGCCCAAGACATTGGTTCCGAGTGCCATAAGCCAAAGCGAGCGGCGAGTAGCATCATAGGTGAGTGAGGAAGATATAAGTCGTCAAGGGATGTGGGAGGCTAAGCACGAAAGCTCAGCATAAATGGCTTTGAGGCCTCTGCAAAGAATTGGCAAAGGACTTTGAAATTATGGTATCATCGTTATAGACAACCAGCATACCGCCAGTTGAGAATTGAACGTTGACGCATGACGTGTGAACATTTGAACGGGGGGCAATTGTTGAATGTTGAACATTGAATTGTTGATTCGGTCTTGTGCGAGGTCGAACAATTTAGGCTTTTGCCTAACCAACTGTATAGTCTGACCTTGCACAACAAATCAAATCAAACATCCCTTCTGAAATTGCACAGGAACCGCACAACACGTTCATCTCCATAAAACATCTCACTCTAACTTCATTCCATTGTCAAGGAGAGCTGTTTGTTGGTGGGCCATGGCCACTGGGTTTCTGGCACATTCACGGCACAACTTGCTTTGCGCATGACAATTTTCTGACAATCGTACACTATAGCTACTTTACTTCATTAACAACTGCGTGACTTCTATGTTCCCATCGCTTGAGTTCACAGGTTGAATTCCTTTTGCCGTGATTTTTCAACTACTGATATCCATCAGATGATGATGCATGTCTCTTGACCAGCTCCTATGAAGAGATTGGGGAAATCCGACTAAGACCCGACCAAGTTAAAGGTACATTGTCAACAGTTGAACCCATCTCCTTGCATGAACGTTCAATAAAGTGATGGCACACAGGGTTGGGTTACTGGCTTGCAATCTATGCCCCCTTTCTATTCCAAGGTCTGGAGAGGAAATGGTCCGTCTACCTCGACCAAACAGCAGAAGGCATTCTACATCCAGATGCTTGTAATGTTTGTGTTTAAATACATGCATCTCGGAAATTGTATCTGACCTATCTGTCAACAGTCACGGTCCTGAACGCCACTTTTTGTCCACCCATGCTCAAAGCATTTAGTTATCGCTGGACCCCCGACTTCAAGTGCCCGAGCCACCCAAACCCAAACCCCTTCCAGTAAAGCAGGATGATGCTTAAGACAGCAAGGAGGATGGGACGACGACGACGATGATGAGGAGGGGAAGGCCTTGCTGGTGAGCGCATTTCACACCTTCTCATCACTCAGCGAAGTATTTATCTTCTATCATCAGTCCAGGCCAGAAATTCGTGCTGGTTGTGGGAAAAAATAACAGGGATCCACACCAAGAAAGTAAAGAAACAAGATATACCCATCGAGTGATGAATGGAAACATTGAGGAGGTCGGGGAAGGCATTACCACTTCTGTAAAGGGAGATCGAGCGTGCGTCGTTTTTTATTTACTCCAGCAGCTGCATATCAGGAACACCGAATGTAGCTTTGCTCAAGGTCAATACAAGCTCGATTGGGCAGCTTTCCAGCAGTACACGAAGACGCATTCAGCTACCAAATGCGAGGTTTGCTTTCTAACTGATCTTAATTTTATGGACCATTGACGCTTATCAGTTAGATCCCTTTGAATTTTTCATACGACAAATCGCAACTCTACCTATTGCACTCTCGGCGGTGTACACAGGCCTCTATGGATGTCTTCTTCGATGAAATCACTCTCTTCGCGAAGGATTTTAGCTGCGATTTCCAGAAAAAAGGAACAACTAGAACTAGCTTGATGGCCACCCTTCTCGGATTGCGTATTCTTTTGTCCTGGGCGACTTTTGTGGAACACTGGGAAGGACGTAGCCTGCCTGAAATATACCCTACTGTACCTCTGCGCGTGTAACACCAGATCTTTCTGTCTTTAGGCTGCCTCTGTTTACTATATCAACCCTTACCTCAAGTTATCTCATCTGGTTGTGTAACTTTTGCCCGCCTCGGTCATAACCTTGTCACAAAGCAATCTCCTGGCTTCACCACCGTCGTCTCACTCTCGAAGAAGCTTTCACGTAACGTGTTGCTGGCTCCTGTTGTTTCAACCAGAGTGGGGCATAGCGTTGCACTGGTAGTTGGTGCTGGTTGTGTAACTTTTGCCCGCCTTGCTCAATACCTTGTCACAAAGCAATCTCCTGGCCTCGCGACCGTCATCTCACTCTCGAAGAAGCAACTACAACTTTCACGTAATGTGTCGCTGGCTCCTGTTGTTTCAACCAGAGCGGGGCATAGTGTTGTGCTGGTAGTTGGTGAAAAAAGGAAGTATGGTGTTCTTCTTCATGCTCACTGGCGCAATGAAAGACTTTGAAGAGGAGTATCGCGAGATTGGTGGGGACATCCGCCGGGTTCTGCTCGCTCGAGATGCAGACAACGACTCATCAGCCCACAACTTTCTGGAGGCGGATGACCCTCTAGCAGATTACATGTCTCCCACAAAGCGGCTACATTTTGCGTGGACAAACCTCATTAACCACAGTGAATCCTTCAGGCATTTTCAGCAATTTTACATTCCCCTGTTTATCACAATAATGCTGTAGGTCTTATCCTTCATCCTTTTATCAATTGTCATTTCTCACTATCTATAGGTGTTCGTCGTCACTGTGGGGCAATACCCCGACGGCAGATGCCACAACGTGATTTCTCGCGAATATTGTAGCGCTTGTCAATGGCGTAATCCTGCTTTCAACAATGATATCATTTGCTTGCATAACGGCATGCTTCCGACGGCCTCTCTACTGCAGTGTAGCATGGGGACACATGAGTTTCAATGTCAAAACTGTTCAAAGCCCTGACATCCTGTTTTAGGCATTAACTACACCAAAAAAACATCGTCTTCTCAACCTCACTATCACCATTTACCTTCAAATCATCTGGTGGCCGCTGTATGTCTTCAATGTCAAGTTGGTGTTGGATCAATTCTCATTGCTTTCTTATCTAGCCTTGTGGTCTTGTTTCCATCCATGATAGTCTCCAGCCACACCTATGTTGAAGATGGGAATTGGCCACTCAGCCTCATACTCGCCACAGAAATAGTGATAGGAACTTTGGGTGTTTTTTCACTCTTGTATCAACTGGCAACCTTCAGCTACTGGTTCCACTGGATCTCTCTATCTGATTTTCGAGATGCAATTGAGGAATGGCGGGAGGCGGCGCAGGACGAGGCGTTGATGTTGCAGGAGGAGCAGTTGTGGGAGCGGAATCGGTTGCAGGAGGAACAGTGGTGGAGGAACAGTTGTGATGGCAGGAGGCGCTGGTAGGATCATCGGGAGTAGGAGCAGGAAGTGCAGCAACAGCAGACTAGAGCAGATGCAGCGATAGAAGGCATGGTGGACTACAAACACAACATAGAAGGCAACATACAACTGTGAATAAAGGACCATGCATGGATTAAAATCATCTTGAGTAAAAGCAAATTGACTTGAGTAAATTGATATGAATAGTATAGTCTCTCTTCTTCAAGTTATCCTGCATCACATTCCTATCGATCCACTTGGCCATGTTCGACATTGAGAAGATGCCCATAGTGTTCGCAGGTCCAGTCTACAGGACTGAAAATATACATAGGACTGAACTGGACTGAACCACAGTCTGGTCTTTTCCAGTTGCCAGTTGCCCACATTTGTGATCAGTCCAGTTGCCAGTTGCCATGTTTTTGTAAATATATAAAAACCGAAAAAGACCGGTTTAGACCGGTTGCAACCGGTCTTTCGTCTCATCACATATTGTACCTTACTCGTGCACATTTTACTTAATTTTCGGTCCCTGAATCATCAAAAACGGTCAAGAATTGGTTGAGATATGGCCAAAAACATTTTTATATGCAATTTGAATGTATGTTCTCTCCGTTTTCACCATATCTCAGTCAAATCTTGACCGATTCGCTTCAAATCTTGGCCAGCGTACGGAGAATTAAATTATCTATCTACGCATGCTATGTACGTGAGGTAACATTTAATATATCTGGCACAATAAATTTTTCAACAAAAGACCGGTCGCAACCGGTCTGGACCGGTTTTTTTTGCGTTGTGGACCGAAAAAGACCGGTCCAAAGCGGTCCGGTTGCGGTCCCTCAATATTTGGATCGGTCTAGACCGGTTGCGGTTGCCAGTTGCGTCGTTTTGAGGTAAAAAACTGGACTTAACTGGACCTGCGAACACTAGATGCCCAACATCTTGTCCTTGGTTCCGGCGGCTTGGAGTTGGGTGTTGTTGTGTATGACGTTATAGCCTTGCACTTGGGACACCTTGTAGAAGTCGGTACCACTTGGGAGCCTTCTCTGGCAATGAATTGCTCGACGCCTCCTCTTTTCCATCATGAGCCAGCTTGTGTAGTGGAGTGAGAAGACTAAGGCGTACCCAAAGATGACATTTGGTCCTTGGCAACTGGTAGGCCATGCAAATATTGAGTTGAGTGTAAAGGTACTCGGTGACGATGGAGGCATATTGACCACCTGAATAAATTATTAAATGCTGATGCTTCAACTCAAATGCACTCACGATCCCCAGTGTATGAGCAGAGGCTAGCTGTGGAACAAGTCAGATTCAGAAAGAATCCATCTGACACACCGAAAGTCACGTCGGCAATGTAGGCAGTCGGCACAATTCCAAGCACCAAAGCGATGACGGAAAAGCTCAGCGATGGTTTCAACTTTGGGGTCATCAAAGGAGTTCTTGGACTGTGGGTATCAGATGAGATGGTTCATAACCATACAGAAACAGACTCACACTATCGACGTAAACGCCCAAAGCGTTGACCGTCAACTTCTTTCCAGTGTACAGGGCAGTCGCAGAGTCGGTGATGAACGAATTGATGGAATGGGTCATTCGGCTTTGTGTGAGGCACATCAGTTCAATCAGGCACAAAGAAAAGTGGAAGTACATACAAGCCAAGATTGTCCATCTGATCCATCTGCATGAGGAACTGGTACTTGCCGTTGATGGACTTGTGCACAATGAGACGAGCAGCGGTGATCATGGCCTGGGTCATGCCCAAGTAACAGTTCGCAAGCGACTGGATCATTCAGATTGACATACCCACCATCGCCAACGAAGAAGAGAACACTCTTGGCTGTGCGTTGAGTAGCAGGTTTATGAGCGAGTCAGTTGGCGATGGTTGGGCCTCCGCCACTGTAGGAGACTTTGATAAGGTAAGTGACATGTGTGAAAACAGATCGAAAGACACGAAGAGGAACACTGATTGACTGATTTGAGACGAAGCTGCAAACAAAGAAAGCCAACTTGAATATAGCATGATGTTCGACGATAACCATTGAACATACAGCACGGTACGCCTTCGAAGCGACATTAACGACAGTGGAAGTCTTTGGGTCTCTAGCAAAGAGATCTTCATAACCTTGCGTACAATCAGCAAAAAGGAACGACAACATACGAACAACTGGAAGGTCCACTTCTCCAATGCAGGCTCCTTCACCTTCAAGAACTTGGTCACGTCCTTGCACGGGCCGTTCCCACCTTGAATGCAGAATGTAAGCTTTTCATCGGGAACCCGCATTGTCGTCACTTCGGAGCCGTTCACGCTGCACGGGGGCAACAACTGCCCCGCACGGAACTCACTTTGATCAGAAGGGGGGGAAACGACACATCCCAGCTTGGGACAGGTCCAAATCCGCTGATACATTCAAAAACCTGGCTTGTCCTGCACATAAATCCTTGTCAGACTTCTTGTCAATGAGAAAGTGCCCAAGCTGCTGAAAGATGGAGGGTATAGACATTGAGATGATGCAGATGTTAAATGATATGGGAAGTCGCTTATAAACCGTTCGCTCTCCAACTTGCTGCAAGGAGTCGACGACCGGTTCGGAAAGACATCAAGATTCCATGGTTTCCATGAGTAGGGCTGAAGGGAATTCGAGATTTGTGAGGCGCCAGCCGCGCCACATGTTGTGAAGACCTGTCTTGCCACTTGCGAAGGCAAAGGTATTAACCATGTTCCACCGGTTGGCGACAACTTGCCTTCGGCTGTGACTAAATCACAGGCCGTTGGGGGTGGAGATTCTGAAACTCAGAAGGAAAAACAGGTCAAATGTTGCTTGTTTTGAAAGCCTGGGCCAAACATGTCGTGATCTCTCCGAATTCGCTTCTCCGTCCAATACTTAGCATGGAAAAAAAGATGCTTAATGGGTAGAGTGCAATGATGATGATATTCTGATGTGGAGTTCAAGTAATCGAATAGCCGAACTTCAACTGATTTTTTTGTAAGTTGTGGTCGAAGGGGAGGGACATCAAGATAGTAGTGCCGCCTTAGGGACCCCAGGGTTCTTTCTGACCGTTGCTGATTCATAAGAAGGATTTGAGCAGCAAGACGTTGCATATTTCACCAATCATAAAAGCAGAGTAGGAGCTCCGTCTGTGAAAAGTCTTCGAAGTTCAAGGCAGTCCGTGAATGACTTGATCATTGCCACAAGCTTATAAGTTGAACGTTGAATGATCATGTCTGAGCACGAGCCTTACATAAGTGTTCACGAAACCCTCACTAAACAGCACGCGAAATCTGAACGAAGACTCGATTGTAACAAGCCAGGTTCAACCGACAACACAACACCTGCCAACGGCCTCATAGCTCGAAACTCCATTTTTGAAAATTTCTTCAGCATTCGCCACGTTCCCCCCAGGACAGCCGGGAAAATACTTTTGGGCCTACCCACAGCTCTACCCTATGAAATATTCATTCAGGCTATCGCAAGAGTCCCTTGACCTTTCTTCAGTGGTGCGACTCGAGCGTGCAGAAATTGACCAAGGGCTTGAAAAACTTCATGGTCACCACCTTGTTAGCCAGTTTCTGTATCCTCAGCTTCCCACCATAATTTTTCTGAAAAAACAATGAAACAGGTCCATGCAGAATAAAGTTACATCTTGATAAGACGGTACACAAAACAAATCTGAAGTCAATACAAATCCCATGGTTTAGACCCTGCAACGATTTTCTTCGCTTTACCTTCCCAAGACTTTGTCATTGCGGTGTTTCTCCATTTAATCACGCTCATAACAAAAATAAAGCGGCCTACACAAAGTACCATCAGGGCCATTAAAAATTTGAGGAACTTGTAGAATGGGTCTGGTAAATCTTCATGAAATTCGAAATGGCGGTCACCACTACAGAAGGCAAGAAGAGCACAGATAGCAGTGAAAATGATCCTTGGAGGTTGTGTTCAGCTGGTCAATGACATCCCCTGAATACTCACCATATCCTGAAGTAGTAGGGCAAAACAAGAATGTCAACATTCCACCACACCCTTGGTGTCGGATCAGAGGGCCGAATTGCCTAGAGCATGAACATTAGCTTAGTGTGTTGACCAGCAGAACTGCTACTTACCAGAACCCATTCAATAGCATTAAAAGTTTCTTTCATGCTGCCAAATTGTATGATTTGTGCAATAGAAATGATCAGGCAATTGAACGCCACTGTAAAGCAGATAGCTGCAAAAATCCATGACAAGCAGAGCCACCTTGGATCATGAAAAATCAAGAAAGGGAGTGTGAGGCTAGAAATTGCATTCATCTGGCAAACTGAAGAGCTTGATAAAATTTGCAACTTACATTATGGTCAACGCTGACCACATAATCATCCGGGTGCATTCTCAAGTCCTCGATCTCCAAGAAGCCGCCCATCTTCTTTCCAAGGTATACATATGCAACACATCAGTCTCTCTGGCAACAAACGAATCATTCCGCCGTGGATTTGAGGCCACCCATTCTGCACGAGCTTTCTGGAACCCTGGGCAGCTTTCTGTTTCCATTGCGATCAGATATATTTCTTGCCTAGACCATTTATCAAAGACCCGGTCGGCCACCAGACAAGCATTATGGCGAGCATAGTATGGGAGGCCTAACGTGAGAATGTAGAACAGCAAGTTCGTTGATGTTGATACGAAGACCTTGGCGGATTCGCAGGAAATAGATGGTGCTTGTTCGGCTTTTTCGTAATATTGATATTCCGAACTCCTGAAGAGCAATACACCCTCATGGAAACCCGAATGCCAGGAGTAAGGCGACGGCCAATCCACCTCATTCATCAAGTTGGGAGTTGAGTCGGACGATGTGAAAAACACATGTCTCCAACATGTCTCTCTTTCTCTTGTAAGTGTCACTATGACTCATGTATGATGTAATAAGCTCCACGTGACACGTGATGCTCAAGAGTTGCTTATGCAGCGTAGTTAGCTAATAACCAAATAGCGCGCCTGTGGGCGCAAAGCCCGCTACGGGTTTTCTATCGCTTTGTAACGAGTTATATGGAATGATGTTTGCTCCGTATTTATTGTTAGTGTATAGATGTCAATCAGCGAGAAGTGTCAGTGTTTTTAGGGTTGTGCCACTTGTTTCATGTAAGAAACTTTCAAGGTTTAGTGGTTTAGTTTTTTTACAGCCATTTGCATAAAGGTTGGCGGTTCCCGATCTGGGAAGTTTGGAAACAAACAAAGTAAAGTAGACCCTAGCATAGGGTTTAGCGTGTTTTAGCCATCCTGCAGCCGTCCACAACCTTCTGCAGCACAATGCCATACCGGAAGACATCTAAAAACATCAAAATTGCATCTCTACAAAGATGATATCATCTTAAAGCTGGCTAGTAACAGACAACGCAAGAATTCATAATGGGGTGGAGATTCATTAGGGATGTTGGCAGAGCATGAGTTTTTGCAGTTTTTTCTGTATTTTGTGGGTGGATTTATGCATCTCAGGTTTGTTAACATAGAAACGATGGGTTTACAAGGGAGGCATGAGAGGAACAGAGACTAAACCCTATGCTATGGTCTATTTTACTTTGTTTGTTTCCAAACTTCCCAGATCGGGAACCACCAACCTTTTTGCAAACGGCTGTAAAAGGGAAGTGGGTCTGCACATACATTTTGATTATTTTGCAGACATTTTTGATATCCATTTCATTACAATCTGCCACTTGGTCATCGTCACTGTTCAGTTTCTTCCCCTTCCATGTGAAATGGTATTCCGGGGCGAATGACCAACAAAGGCAGTTGTTAAAAGCTGCAGAGCATTCCTGCTCCTCGAATAATATGGCATAGGTTGGCTGTAAATGTACAAGGTCTGGCGAGGGTCAAACTATATGATGCAGTCTATGATTTGTGTGATTTGTGTGATTTGTGCCACCAAAATTCGGATAACAAGTATGGGCAACCCAGTAGTTGGTCATATGTGAGGGAGTGATCGCACTATTGGAGATTTCACTTGGATTTCACATTGCATTATGAAACAACTGTAAGAAACTTTGTAGCCCAGGTCGTGGAGTTGCAATACTATTGAGGTCATGGGGAGCCCAACTGCTACTGTAGCCATTCAACAGGATCTTCAGCACTGTCGAACCAATCACAGCACTATTGGAAGCAGTAAGGACCGCCACAAACACACTGATATGCTCTTAGTCTTAATCAACATATGTTCAAACAATGATAAAAAACTAATCACAGACCATAGCCTATAAACGGCGACAGGAAAAACCACAACTGTAGGTCGAGATACTCCTGGACAGCTGGATGACACAGCTAACTGGTCTGACCAAAGGAGGCAAGGACGTCGAGAGGACAGCATTCAAATACAAATGTCCTCATGTCCCCTTACACCAAAGAAAAAATCCGAGAATGCGTCAACTGGCTTTGTAGCTTGCATGAGGAAGGTAGAGGTGAATCAAAATTTCACTACAGAAAGGGATATTTTTTATATAAGTAGAAAGGAGAAAGCTCCTATTATGCCTAATGACCCCTCTCCCAAAAATCAGGATGAGGCAGACAAACAGGATTTTTATAAGGGAAACAGATGTTTTTTAAATTTATTTTTGATTAAGCATTGATTGTTACAAAGAGATTACCCTTCATTCCAACAACGAAAACAACAGAGGACCAGAAAGGGTGCATGGCGGACGATACGTGATGGTGAGAGTTTGGTCATGTGATGATCACCTGACATCACAAGAATCTTTGAGTGGCTTTTTCTTAATCAATTCGCACATGGACATCAAAAACGATGCCAATGGGTTCAACCTGACAAGGTCTGAATGGTTTTTAATGTTTAAAATTATGATATTGGCTCCTAACATTACAGTATGGCATACTACCTTTCTCCTACCTGGTGAGACATGGATAATTATTAACATGCTCTTAGAACGTGATCTTTTTTAAAATGTGACCTTTCCACCAGCTTTCCAGTGAAGAGTGTGATTACATGTGATGAGAAAATTTGGCATGTGACATTTGGAATGAACAAGGCTGCCATGGAAGACCCACTACTAATGCAGTGGGAATAAATAATTCTAATTCTAATTCATACCACCACCACTGCTGTACCGCCATAGGCATTTCTATTGGTGAGGTTTTTTTCAGTGAGATAACTGCCACTACAACTCTGCCACAGCCCAATCGCCCACTTTCAGCATCATTTCAATTTTCCTCAATGCCCAGCCTTCCGGACCCAGTAAACTGCGCTGCATGTGCCCGCTTCAGAATTCGACAGCGAAAGGCAAGCGCAGATGCTACATAACACAAAATGGTGAGGCTCCTCTCTCAATGTGGTTCCCTCATTCCCTTATTCATTGCAGATCATGTCGAAAAACAAACGAACCCTGCCCTGGAAGCCAGAAGCTAATGTGATATAGGATTGGAAGGGAATGCCCAGAGGCCATAGTCAAACAGTGGTATATAGCTAGATTTGGATATCTTACATAATATATTGATCTTTTGTCTTGAACCACCATCTTGTCAGCAGTCTTGCCATCCTCCTGCACTACATGTAGTGCTTTGTATATCTGTACTTCCTACAGTATGCATAATCATGTTGGGCCAGCTGAGTATCTTGTAACTGCTCATTGCTCACTCATGGGTGTTGATCCCAGATCCACCCATTCTTGCCTCCTCCTTCCCTCTTGGCTTCAGCTATGTGAGAAGTTCAGAGTGAACGCTTCACACTAATGACATTATTATTCTGTGTGTTGCCATCTTAGATATTCACTGCTCCAATGGAGATCTCGGGAAGAAGCAAAAATAAAAGGATCAGATTGAGAATAATGTGAGGTGTATGTACCAATGAGTCGGAAGGCCAATCGACGAGCAGCATTACTTATTCAATGTATGTAACATTATAATAAGTATAAACAGATAAAACAAAACAACAGTTGAAATGGGGCATAGCAGGCCATGCAGCTTGCTGCCCTACATCTTTATGAAAATGAGAATGAGAATTATTTATTGGCTAACTATGCTGCATAAGCAACTCAGGTAACTACCGAAATAGCAACCTCGCTAGCTAAGGACTAATCATAAGATCATTACAAGGTGCTACAAGGGGGACGTTGGCCAGACTAGCACTCCCCAAACTGTAAAAGCTACCACCAGTGTCATAACACCAGGTTGAAAGGAAAGGTCTGTGGAGTAAGGAATGGGAAAGTAGCCAAGAAAATAAAAACCCCCCTACAGAACATCAGGATGATCATTAGTGTTTGAAAGTCTGGTCTGGTCTGGTTATTGAGCCCTTGAGGGCTCTAACCGAGACCAAGACCGGTTACCTTGTGCCACGAAACCCAAAATAACCAAACCGGACTGCTACTAACTGATATAATTGGTTAGTAACGGTTAGCGGTCAATTACATGACTGGTCCTAACCAGTTATTTCCCTGTACTAACATAATTACAAACCTATATATTTCTAATACAAGCATTATGCTGCATGCACCAGCGAGGCGACGTGTAGGTGAAACACCGCCTCGCACGATGGCCCGACGTGAAGTCACATGAGGGGAAACGAAAAAAGAGATAAACGAGGGGAAGAAATCCCCTTGTTCATCTGGAAAATGGAGGAACAAGGGGAATTCCCCCCGTTCATGTGAGTACGGCCACACAAGGGCCAAACCTTGTGCTGGTCGCGAAGACTGGCTCCCCCCATCCTTGCATACACCCTCGTGCTGCCTCACCCACTATTGCCTTCCTGGTGGACATGGTGGACATGGTGGTGCAGGGTCGATGCGCTGTGGTTTACGCAGCTGGGTCGACATGGCATGGGTCGACACAGCTGGGTCAATGTGGCATGAGTTGACACTGCTGGGTAGATGTGGCCTGAGTCAACGTGGCTGGGTCGATGTGGTGTGAGTCGATATGGTGTGACATGGGTCGACGTGATGTGGGGTCAATGTGGTGAGGTCAACCTGTGATGTGGCAGGCTGTACAGGCAGGCTCGAGGTCTCTGGGTGGGTGTCGTGTCGGCAACTGGTAGCAGTTGTGGAACCTGTACCTGGCTGAGTCCTCTCGCCATCTCCTATGCAACCCCAAACTTTCGGAAACGCGAAAATGCGGCCTACATCCCTCATTGGAGGGGAGAGGTGACGAAGGTAATGAAGAGAGAAAGAGAGTGATTGCCATCATTGTATCAATGTCACATTATCACACATGTGATGACAGGAAAATAGTCACTTAAATTTCAATTCACCGTAAATATGTCAATTCTCCACTAAAAAATATGATTTTTGGATTGTTAGAAAGTGTTTAAACAGGGGAATATTTGTGTGTAACATTAGGACACAAAGACCAGTTATAACCGGTCCTAACCGGTTTTTGTTCAGTCTTGAATATTTTGGGATGACACCTAACCGCTAACTGGCCCACAGTTATGGTTAGGATCGGTTAGGTAATTTTTGCAGTCCTGATCAGTTATGGTTCGGTCCAGTCTCAGTTAATTTCCGGTTAACTAACCTAACTTCTAAACACTAATGATCATGTTGAATGACGATGGATGGGCGAAAACAAAAACTTGGTGAAGGTGGAGGATGTTCAACAGTGCAATTCATATTCTTGGATGATGGTAAGTGAAGATGTAGGGGTGAAATTGCTGAGGTTGAATGAAGGGAGGGTGGTTGGCTTGGGGGAAGAGCAGCAAATATACATCATGGTGTCGTAAAGAGTAGTGTTCAAAAGTCCAGTTAGGTCCAGTTATTGGGTGCCCAGGGGCTCTAACCGAGACTGAGACTGGTTAGCCTTTGTCCCGAAACCTAAAATAACCTAACCAGACCGCAACTAACTGGTTACGGTCGGTTATTTGCAGTTACTAACTGGTTAGGACCGAAAAATAAAGAATCAGTTATAACAAGGCAAATATGCTCATATGTATCTTGATAGATATTATCTCTGCATATTCTAGCTTTAAAACGAGCCCAAGAACGCTAAAATCGGTGAAGAATTGACATATTTATGCAATTATCCTTGAAAGTCTACACATTTGAGTGATATTTTAGAGATTTGACTGTAACTTAGTCAAATTTTAAGTGTTTTCGACATTCTCAAGTGTATTTTGAAGGTGTATAATAGGGCTGGTTATAACCGGTTATTCCATTTTCGAAATCAACTAACCCTAACTGCGATTAGGTTAGTGTTGCGGTTAGGTCCGGTTATTTTCCGGTTAACTAACCTAACTTTCAAACACTAGTAAAGAGAGAGGTGATCACAAAGAGTGACAGCATACTGCAGAACGGACTTCTGTAAGAAATTGAGCTGGCCACAGAGCTCAAGAGCTGTTTGTTGCAGCTGGGCAATGGTGGAATGACATCCTGCGTGATGTGGGCAAGGAGCTGCACCATGTGTGCAAGAGGGCCGCTGCTCCCTTCAGCCGGCTCCTCGCAACGGCATGCCATGTTTGCAAAAGAGTGCATTTGTCCCAATCTTTATGAAGGCAAAAAAGATCAATGTTTACACAACTCGACCTCGCTAGACAAAGTGAACTGATTACGCAAAAAGTAATCCACGACCCATCAGGGAATAGGCTCATCCCCAGCCAGCTTTTCGATTACATAATTGACTTGCATGACTCCTCAATTCGAAAAGCCGGCTGGTCACTCTTGTCACCATTTTGAGAGGGCAAAAATCTCCCTGCCATTTCAGAGGAGGTCACTTTGTTAAAAAAAAGTGTGTAATGATGAAAAAAAGTGCTCGAGAAGGGTATATAAAAAATGAATTTTGAGAGGCATAGAGTAAATTAGAGTATGTAAGGTTTTGTGAAATTTTTCAAGGTAACTTTGTCGTCGTCATTGATGGGTCTGTGCACACAACCTCAGTCCAAGTCCTTATTGCTATCTCCTTCTTTGTCGCTATCTCAATCCATCCCAGAGTTATCCAGTACCATCTCCAAGGCCACGAGGATGGAATGAGAAGGTTGGAAAGGAAGGGGCGGAAGCGTGCAGGACATCAGAGCTATGTGCACAGACCTCAAAACGTCGAAGTCAACAAATTCATTCTTTTTGGCAAAAAAGTTGTATACTCTTTTTTGTTCTACTCATTGTAAAAATCAACTTTCGTATACTAACTTTGGGGTGTTTTTTTGGGAAATTGCAGCCTTTTTTGTTCAAGTCACCCCTCTGGTTTGGCGGGGAAATCGACTCTCCGCCAAAAGGGCGACAAGAGTTTCCAGTCCGCTTGCAAGCTCGCCCCTTTCTTGTCATGTGCCTCGTAAGTAACGCATAACATTATTGTGACATAGAGCTTGCGAGCGTGACTGGCTTGCGAGTCTAATCAGGGAACAGCGAAATTTGAGGAGAAATGCGCATGTGATCTTCATTCACATGACTGTCCACGTGAGCAAAGTTTCCTAGTCCCACAAAACCCAACGTAGCGGGAATACCCAAGGGAATACCTCGTTTGCTTCCCCGCTATAATGTCGCACTTGAAAGCATACCTTGCTGAAAATTACATGTCGGGACCAAAAGCCGATGCTATTCTTTCCCGAACATCAAAACCGAAGAAGAAAAAGCGCAAGGTCGACTCGGAAAGTACACCTGGCATTGCCATGATTCGCGACGAGGATGGCGGCTGGGGGGAACAAAACAACGAAGAAAATGAGGATTTGTCAGAAGCTGTTATTGAGAAGGATAGAGGGTTCAAGAAACGCAAGGTTGTCCAAATGGAAGCGGAATCGAGTTGGGTTACTTTGCAACAAGGCACGGGGGCTGCCATTAAAGAAGAGAGCCCGCCTCCAGCGGCGGACGAGCAACCGCAAGTCGTTGAAACACCGTTTGTTGGTGGGCTCGTGAGCGCTGCGCAGCTGAAGAAAGTCCTTCCTCAAAACCAGATGGCCAAATCTGAAGACTTGACGGTCGATGAAATTGCGCGTGCTCAAGAAACTATATACCGTGATGCGACCGGCAAGAAAATCGATACGAAGGCGGCTAGGGCGGAGGCTGCGCGTCTGAAACGAGAGCGTGAGGAGAAGGAGGCGCAAAAGATGGAGTGGGGGAAAGGTTTGGTGCAAAGAGAGGAGCAGGAGAAGCGTCGGTTAGAGCTGGAAAGGCAGAGGGGGAAAGCGTTTGCTAGGCATGCGGATGACAAGGATTTGAACGAAGAACTAAAAGCGAAGGAACTTTGGAACGATCCAGCTGCTGCGTTTCTGACGGTTTGTTTCACGCTTCAACAGTTTCGTTCTTCAGTCCTGATCATTTTTCTCTGCTTACAGAAAAAGAAAGCCAAAGGTCCTCGTAAACCACAGTACTCCGGCCCTCCACCCCCGCCGAACCGATTCGGAATCAAGCCAGGGTACAGATGGGACGGTGTTGGTGAGTTGCATCTTCAGGCACATCATCCTTTGCATTAAGGTATCCTTCTCAGACCGAGGAAACGGGTTTGAAAAGAAAGTCTTCCAGTCGGCGAACGCTAAGAAACGATTGGGCGCCGAAAGCTACCAGTGGAGTGCGGAGGATATGTGATTGCATGCTGAATTGCAAACTTCTCATCTTACCCTGGTTGTAAGCCTTGCTGTAGATTTCTGTCGAACGATGACATTTACATTTAGACAGGACCAAGCTGAATTATATCAGATTCATTTTACCTGAACTTTGGCTCTCTGCATAAGCGTTTCTACATATCCGCCTCTGACGGACGGAGGCTGGCAGCCACGCGAGTGCCGAACATGATTCCTTCTCAAGCGAGGAATGGTGAAGCAGCATGGCTAAGGAAGTCTTCAAAAAGGGGGGTTGCTGAGTGAGTTGTATAAATTGAACGGATATCTACGCAGTACAAGACGGTCTTGTTCTAAAAAGTGATAATGAAGGCATAGTGTCAATTGTTTGGGCAAACTATTCCAAGGCAGTAAGAGTATCGGAAAACATACTACCGGGCACTCGTGGTTGTTCTGAGGTCGCCCGAAGAAGCACAAGGTGTGAGAGGTGCAAGACCCGGTGGTAACTTCCTGAGAGGCACCGAAGAAGGTTTGGTGGTTGACCCAACAGGGGTAGCTGCAATGTTGGTCTGGGATCGATTGTGCGCCATGTGTGCGCGAATGAGGTGCCCTGCGGCGAGGGCACTAAGAAGAGAAAGTTCCCCAGCCATAACAGCCGCAGCAATGACGCGCGCAAGCGTCTGTGCGTTCTTTCCTGGCTGGGAGGGATGGGCACCCTTCACACCAAGGAGGTCTAAGCAGCCCTGTTGTGGAGCAAGGACGGTACCGCCTCCAACGGTCCCAACTTCTATGCAGGGCATGGAAACGGTCATAAGAAGATCTTCGCCACCGTTGGTGCTGTGCAATACATTGATGAGAAGCTAATAGAGAACGAGATATGAGACAGCTTACGGTTCCATCAACGTCATGCACATCGAGCTCTCGACGTTCTGTGCAGGATCTTGACCAGTGGCTAGGAATACCGCAGTCAGGATGTTTGCTGCATGGGCATTGAATCCTCCAATGGATCCAGCCATCGCACTACCAATGAGGTTCTTCTTCGTGTTCAAATTACAGAGTGAGTCCACTGTCGTCTTAAGTACGGTCTTGACGACATTCCCGGGGATGACAGCCTCTGCAACCACACTCTTCCCTCTCCCCTCGATCCAATTGATCGCAGCAGGTTTCTTATCGGTGCAATAGTTCCCTGACAATGCGAGAACGACCATCTGGGGGAATTTCAGCTGCAAGGCCTCAAGGGCTTTCTCCGTGCCCTTCGAGATCATGTTCATTCCCATTGCATCCCCAGTTGCCGTAGTGAATCGGACGTAGAGTGTGCGTCCAGCCAGCGCCGTCTTCAAGCTTGATAACTTGGCGAAGCGTGAAGTAGATTCAAAAGCTGTTTTTATGGTAGCATATCCCTCTTCAGAGGCGATCCAAGCTTTGGCTTCCGCGGCAACGATGATGGATGGGAAGTCAATGGCAGGCCCACGCGTCATTCCGTCGCGGGTGACAACAGTTGTAACACCACCACCAGCGTTGAGAGCTTTGCACCCTCGAGAAGTGGATGCGACGAGGGTACCTTCAGCAGTGGCCATGGGTATGGGGTAGAGGGTGCCATCAATATTCAAAGGGCCAGCAATGCCAAGTGGGATAGGAATGTATCCAACAACGTTCTCGCAACATGCTCCAAGGACACGAGAGTAGTCGTAGTTCGACAAAGGAATGTCGGACGATTCGAGGGTCTGGCTATTCGATGCACGAGCTAGAAAGCGCGTCAGTCTCTCTTCAAGCAGGGGAATAATAAAAACTCACATATTAACGCTCTGCGGATCCTTACGGCCCTTTCCAGTTCATCCGTCCCCAGAAGTTTCTCCAGAGCATATGCGGCAATTTTACCATGGTTGGCCAACAAGATAATTTCTTCGTCAGAGAGCAGTGCCAACGATAAGCTAACGGGCTTAGGACCGTTCTCGAATATGTCAATGCATTCTTTGATTGACCTCACCTCTTCCTCGTTTCTAGATGGAGGAGTCTGGGGTTCCAGAGAGGATGTATCAGCCGGGGAGGATGTATCAGAGGGAGTAGATGAGCCGGAGGATGACAATGGGGGGGTAGGTGCAAAGCCCGTGATGGCCAAAGCTCGTTTTGCCCTGAGGTTACGGTCAACGTCCTCCAGGCTGAAGGTTGGTCGATGAGCGGGCACATAACCGAAGGGAAATCCTTGATCCGACATTTGATAGAAGTGTATGACCTCTTTGAGGGACGACTTCTTGGAGATGAAGGCGCGATTATTCAGGCTGAATCCTGAACTGGAGAGATTCTTGTGACCGGAGAAGTGCAGTAATAAGAAAATTTGGCATCAAACGGGCTGGAGCTGATCCGGAGCAACGACGGCAGTCAAGAGCTCGGCTGCAAGCCATTATGCTAGGAAGTCCAGAGGTATGGTTTTGCATTTCTGGAGTTGCCGACATTGGAAGGGGACGCCGAGGGTGCATCACCGAACTGTTGACGCCTCTTCCCCCGAATACCGCCTGGAATTCGAATACCACACAGTTAAACCCAGATAGCAAAGATTGGAGGTTTGTTGCAGAGCCCCTCGGATGTTGATTTCCATGGGGTGTATCTGGAGGCGCGTCTTTGGTATCTGACGCGTTGTCGTTATTGTCGTGAGCAAGCCCAGACAAAGAGCACAGTTTTAATTCAGACTCGGGGTAGCAAATCGGCCAATGACCATGAAACAAGGGAGAGAGCGGAAGATGAGAGTCCTACATCCAGGAAGCTAAACATGCATCGAAAGGATGGGCTGATTGCCCGAATCCCACTTTCGAAATAAGAGGATCCAGATTGAGCACGAAGGAGGACCAAGGTAGTGGAAACAACATCCCTGCTTGAACTACCTTGAATCTTGAGGTGTTATGAAGAAAAAATCTCACATACTGCGTATCCACCCGTCGAGATACCAGGCATGAACCAAAACGGACGGTGTGGCAAGATCGAGAGGTTTGGCAGAGAATCGACCACCTAATTATATTATGTAAGCTTTCTCCTTACAATATTGGCCTTGGACTTCGAACAGACGGAAGGAGTTCCTACCCTACTTTTACGACTGGTGGAATATGGGACGCCTTGCTGCTCAAATGTTCCATATGAACCGGCAACGGTCAGAAAGAAATCTAGGAGTAAGTACTTATATCTTGATGACCCTCCCCTTCGACCACAACTTACGAAAAATGTAGTTGAAGTTCAGCTATTCGATTACTTTACATAACTCCACATCAGGAAGTTATCATCGTTTCCCATCAAGCATCTATTGGACGGAGAAGCGAATTCAGAGAGTTCACGACTTGTTTGGCTTTCGAAACAAATGGCGGGTCTTTCCTATCAAGCTACAGAATCTCTACCCCCGACGGACTATGATTTGGTCACAGCCAAAGGCGAATTGTCCCGAACCGGTGGAACATGGTTATTATCTTTGCCTTCGCAAGTGGCAAGACAGGTTATGACCTGGGGCGCCTCACGAATCTCGAAATCCCTTCAGCCCTACTTGTACTTATGAAACTTACGGAGTCTTGATGTGACAATGATGTCTTTCTGAACCGGCCTCCCTCGACTTGCGGTAACTCGGAGAGCGATCTCTGTTGCGAACGTTTTATAAGCGACTTTCCATGTCATCTAACATCTGTGTCATCTCAATGTCTACGCCCTCCGTCTTTCAGCGGCTTTGGGCACGTTCTCATTGAAAAGGAGTCTGCCAAGGATCCATGAGCAGGACAAGCCAAGTTTTCGGGCGTCTAAACTTTCTGGCTGTTCGCCACTCCGTCATTCGGATGTCGCGCCGCGTTCACCACAAATACTTTCGACTAGCCTCTCCATAGAAGGCACCAATGGTCGTTTAGATTATTCAAAAGACTTCATGGTTGAAACGCTGACAACTCCGAGACTCGTTGACAAATTAAAACTCTATTGCCAAGTCCCCGGCCAAGAGTGCTATAAATAGCAATCCGCTGGGCGGAATCTATTAGGCCAGCATCTTGCCAAGCATCGTCGTCATCATTTACGATTCCCTTCCATGACCGTCCATGTGAACACCGTCGTTTGATTCCACCAACCGACCCACGTTCGTCAGGTTTCAATGCTCATCAATCACTGAAAGGCAGGCAGCTTTCGTCGGCGTCGCTAATAACACAACCCAAGCCTCGATACCAACGAAGGCAACAGCACGGCGAGGAACAAAACGACTTCGCATCTGATTTAATCCAAGTGTGGTTTTTGTTGAGCAAGTGGAAAGCGAACGAACGTGCGGAGGTACCTCGCGGGCGTAACAAGCGTCCCTGTGCGGCTCTGGGTGGTGGCTTCTCAATTATCATAATTCTCGGCACTCGACAGGATAGGCTTGCGCGCGTCAATTTCATCAAATCAGAACGTGTCCATCCCGAGGGCTGATTTTACTTGAGTATATAATCTAGTACGAATGGAAACCGTCGCCTTTCCTTCAAGTCGTCGCAGCGCCTAAGTGACATCCACACATTTTTCCTCAACAAAGATGCGTAGATCTGCGACCACAGCCACCGCTCTCTTGCTTGGGGCTGCGACCCTCGCCTCCGCACAAACGTATCAGCGGCTCGGGGCCTGTCCCAAGCTGGGGTGCGTGTTCCCCCCCGATCAGACTGAGTTCCTCGCGGGACAGTTGTTCGATATTCGCTTGGAGGTCCATGCCCCCGTGAACGGTTCCGAAGCGACAAATGGAGTTCCCGATGAGAAGTTTACATTCTGCATTCAAAATGGGAAAGGCCCATGCGAGGACGCGAACAAGTTCTTCAAGGCGAAGGAGCCTACGTTGGAAAAGTGGACCTTCCAGTGAGTAGCAGTTGTTCGTACGTTGTTGTTCTTTTTGCTGAATCGTATGCAAGGTACTATGAAGATCTCTTTGCCAGAGACGCAAAAACCCCCACGGTCGTTAATGTCGCTGCGAAGGCTTACCGTGCTGTATGTTCAATGACTATTGGTGGACGTTGCTCTATTTAACTTTTGGCTTTTGTCCGCAGCTCTCTCTGTCCCAGGTTAGTAAATCAGCATTCCTCTTCATCCTTTTCGCACTGTTCTCACACACGTCGCTTATCCATCAAGCCTGGAACCTACGCGGCTAAGCTCACCTACAATGGTGGCGGCCAGACTGTCGCCAACTGGGTCGTTCGTAAACCTGCCACCCACCGCAAAGCCAAGAACGTTCTCTTCTTCATTGGCGATGGTGGGTATTGACAACCCGAACGATCCAGCTGCTGATGAGCTGTTACCCAGGCATGACCCAGGCCATGATCACCGCTGCTCGTCTCATTGCGCACAAGTCCATCAACGGCAAGTACCAGTCCCTCATGCAGATGGACCAGATGGACAACCTTGGCCAGTATGTGCTTCCACTTTCCTTTTAACCCGATTGAACTGATGCATCTCACAAAGCCAAATGACCCACTCCATCGACTCGTTCATCACCGACTCTGCCAACTCTGCGACTGCTCTGTACACTGGAAAGAAGTCGACGGTCAACGCTTTGGGCGTTTATGTCGATAGCGTGAGTCTATTTCTGCATGGTCAGGAACTATCCCACCTGATACCCCACAGTCCAAGACCCCCTTTGACGACCCCAAAGTTGAAACCATCGCTGAGCTTTTCCGTCGTCGCATTGGTGGTGCTCTTGGAATTGTGTCGACCGCTTACATTGCCGACGCAACTCCTGGTGTGTTAAATGGATTGATTATGAGACTACCTTTCTGAAGCTGACTTATTCATCAGCTGGCCTCTGCTCACACACTAGGGATCGTGAGTCCTTTTGAATTGAAGCATCAGTTTTATACTTATCAATCTACTCAGGTGGTCAATATGCCTCCATCGTCACCGAGTACCTTTACAATGCTACTTTCCTCAATTCAACATTCGCATGGCCAACCAGTTGCCAAGGTCCAGATGTCATCTTCGGGTACGCCTTAGTCTTCTATTTCCGCTGCACAAGCTGGCTCATAATGAAAAAGAGGAGGCGCTGAACAATTCATTGCCGGAAAAGGCTCCCCCAATGGTACCGACTTTTACAAGGCATTCCAGGCGCAAGGCTATAACGTCATCCACAACAACACCGAACTCCAAGCCGCCGGAACCAAGGACAAGACGTTGGGGATCTTCTCGGTCTCGAACATGGCCAAGTGGATCGATAGGAATGTGATGCGGGATAACTTGAAGGGGATGAAGGATAGCCCTACTGGAGATGGCACTGATGCGACTGATCAGCCTGGGTTGAAGGAAATGACGATCAAGGCCATTGATATTCTCCAGGCTCGTCAGAAGAAGGGTAAGGGTGAGGGTTGGTTCATGATGTCTGAGGCTGCGAGCATTGACAAGGTGTGTAACGCGTTTACTATCTCGTCGTTTTTTATGAGTGCTGAAGATACTATTCAGATGATGCACGTATTGGACTACGATCGTGCCCTTGGTGATCTTTTGGAACTGGATGATACTATCCGTGCTTCTATTGATCGTGAGTTTACTTTCTGAGCAGGTAGATGGCATCTCATTGTGCTTAGATCTCAAGAAGATTGGTGAATACAAGAACACCTTGATTGTCGTTACTGCTGATCATGGACATGGCTTCGTAAGTTTCAAGTAGCTTTCTCCAAGGACGGCACTGACATGATAATTCTGCAGGATGTCTTTGGTGGTGCTGACACCAAATATCTTGCTGCGCAATCCACTGACCGCAAGAAGCGTGACGCTGGTGAGCACGTACCATCTTTGAGAAGAAAGCCGCTAACGTCAACTTTTGCAATTCAGTTGGCGTCTACGCAAACTCGGGTTTGAGTGGTTACACAACTTCCCCCGGTTCTCTGCCCAACAACCAAACCGTCGTCTTTGGCACCGAGGGACCCAACTTCCCCGTCCAATGGAACCCCCGCTACACCTATGCTGCCGGCTTTGGCGCAAACCCCGACCATCGCGAGACGTATGCCATCAACACCAAGGGCCCCCGTGTCCCTGCTACCGCTGGCACTGATGGCACTTACGGCGTCAACCCTGCTGACAACCAGGCTGGTTTCACAGTTGGTGCGTACAAGTGGCTGATTGTGGAGAGTAAATTTTGATTATGAATGTTTTTAAATTCGTAGAGGGCACCCTTCCCACTGACGAATCACAGGGTGTTCACTCGCTCACCGACGTATCGGTCTTCGCTAACGGACCTGGCGCAGAGGCGTTTAAAGGCGTTTGTAAGTCTTTTGATTGTTCACCAAAGTTGGAGTATATCTGATGACTTTGTGCAGACAACAGCATTGATATCTTTTTCAAAATTGCGGATGCTTTGGCGTTGGGTAGAACCGATGGGCATTAATTATTCGATTAATTATTACTTAGATCGCACTAGCGAGGATTGCGCGTTGAAAGGCAAACCATACCGTAATGTCACCCATGTCGTATCTCGTTCTGTTATAAAAATGAAGAGATACGATTGCCAATGGGTTGTTCTGAACATCAGGCACGAAAAATTGCGAACAGGTTACATATAACTACTTACCCAACGAACGTTCAACGTTCAACTCTTGCTTCAACTGCCATATTCCACGCCAATGATATGCAACGCGAGGTAGCATTTCGGAAATTGATGCGGTATACTTTCTACTTCCAACCAACTTCCAACCCGGCCGCGATCATGCTCAATTAGATCTCCGTCTCGTGATCAACGTTTTGACTCTCACCACAACCTGTTGGAAGAATGTCCTCTGAACCCCTCCCTCCTTCAGTCTCCCAGCTTCTCTCTAACCGTTCAAAGGTGTTCAATCGCTTCTCACTACAACGTCAGATAGATTGGCGACACTCTTTGCTACGAGTGCCTATCTACTGCAGACCGTTTCCATTCACCTCATCCCCATTCCTCCCCGACACGCCTTCAGCCTCATTCTACAGACTCTACCAACTCTTCGTAGTCGATTGGACGATCCAATTTCGGAACGAGCTGGAATACTTCTGGAATCGGGCTTCTTGGGCGCTCGCTGACTTGCCTGACCCTGGGTTGGGAGACGACGGGTTACCCGAGAGTGAAGCCAAATTGCGCAAGGCAGTTATGGCTGGCTTGACACGCATTATGAAGCTAGCTTACAATCGTCTAATATCCAAAGGCTTGCCGAGAAATGCACCGGCCGTTGTTATGGACTGGGAAGAGCTCAAAGCGCGGCCTCGCGTGCTGGAGGAGATACCAACCTGGGCAAAAGAGATGGAGAGGCTTGATCCTGTGGTAGAGCTTCCCAATGCGAAAGGAGAATTATTGGACGTGGACGAGCCGGGCGACGAGGAGTTCGCTGTTTATGGGATCAAGGTTGCCACTCCACACTGGGTTTTTGTGTGATATTTTGAAAGTCATGATCCTTGAGCACCCCTGCTCTTGATCCATCGATCTCCCCCATCATCTGCAATGCGCTGACTCGGGAATGTCCACCCGTCTACGGAACTTTGGCATCGGGGTTACTACATAGTAGACACCGCCTCAGCAAAGCACACCAGCATCCCTCGGAGTTTGTAGCAGAGGCCTTGACTCAACAGAAGCGGCGGGTAAAAAAGATTGGGTTTGCGATATAACGACCGATTCAACACTGTCAATTTGGCCACAGCGGAGGCGAGGAAGAATCCTTAGCTATCCGTAGCCACGGTACACGGGAACTAGAGGACTGTCTAGGAAAATACTACGGTTGGCGACCAGGAGCAGGTCTGTATTTTTAGTTTAGAAGCATGATGGGAGGGGTGTTAGGGAGTTTTGGCACCGCTTTTCTGGTGCGTGACGACTCCTTGCAATATATTTCGCATACTTACATAGTAAAGGGTACTCTTCTTCGCCCATTAATTTCTGTGTCATGTTGTCCCTGTCATTGAGTCTGCGTTCGAGTAGTGCCAGCGGCGTCGGTATTTATGATCCTATCTCCCGCAGATTAGAATCCATCTTTGGTCCTTGCTGATCGAATCATGGTAAGCTCTGTCGCGCGGTCAACTTTGCGTTCCGATATCAAAAATAACAACTGTTGACAGGCAACGGCAAATTGAATCATTCTCATGCACATCTGAATCACAGGAAGTAGTGTTGGACAGCCCCTCATTCTCCCTCATTTCGCCGGGATCGCACACTGGGACATCTAAATTTATCTAAAAATTCGCATGACCTCTTGGCTATCATTACGTGTCGCCAAGTCCAGCACGGATGGATTGCTATATAACGGGGCTCAAAATATCCGCAAAGTACAACGAGCTGGTCTCTTTCATCCCTTACGACGAACTTTGTTGACTCATTTGTTCATCGCACTATTCAAATCTTGCTAATTTCACCTAACACAACGTCATGACCTTCCCGTACATTGTCAGTATCTCTGCGTCTACGAGCTTACAGCCTGTTTGCTAACTTCGTTTGCTCTGATCCCAGCTTTCAGTGCTTTTCTGTGGCTTACAGCTTGCCTCTGCTCTACCAGCCAGTAAAAGAGCAGGATCCGCAGATATTAATCATGTCATTCAGCACACACACGAGGACTCGTACTACGTCAGAGGCAACCCATCAATATACGCAAGAGGAGCGTCAAGCTGTACCCCGCTAACGCTAGAGCAGGTAAAAGCACGTGAGCACATCAACAATGAAGACTCATAAAATTGTCTGATGTTGTAATGCTCTTGCAGTACCAGGGTGGTCTAAAATCCAACAATATGCCACGAATACGTATGGTGACGGCGGTGTGAATATTGTAGTTAACCCACCAGAGGTCTGCCAGCCCCAAAGTTTAGGATTGAATTTTGCTCAGTTTTTTAAAGTATCCCAACGCTCCCGCAACTGTCTGTTTGCAGGATGGACCGATACCAATCAAGTTGCAAGGTAAGAATCACATGCCGTCGGGGTGACATTGTGTGAAGTTAGTTCTTTTAATCAGGCCCGCCCAGCTGCACTACAAATAGTGGCGAGATTGGAGGCACGATCACCGGAACGACAGGCTCATATCAGTTGTCCTTTCAACAGGGGTATTCGAACAGTGCGACTTGGACCGTTACCCGTAGGTCACATTATTCGATTCTAGTTCAAGCCTTTGATAGATCACATCAATTACCGCAGAGGAAAGCTCTTTAGCAGTAGGCGTCACGGTCAGCGCCACGATTGGAATTCCTGAGGTCGCCGATGTATCAACGAGCATCAGCGCGACCACAACTTTGACCAATTCTCTTTCCAAAAGGTAGAGTATACCCCACTAATTCCGAAAAACATTATAACCGTAGTACCGCAGCTTCACGACGACTGTTGACAACCAACAGACGCAAACGATGAGCGTGAACACTGTGGACGGTAAACCATGTAAAGGAACCGTACGTCTATTTACTTTATCTGGTAGGAGAAGAGGTGACCGGGACACCGAATTTACTCTGCAGATGACAACAAAAACGTGTAATGCCCAAGGCACCGGATCTGCTCGCTACGTTGCAAGCGGCTACGTGTGGTTCAATTATGACGATGCGGTATTTACCAACTCTATCCTTCAAGTGTTTGAGCCGCTAACGGTTCTCATTAGCGACCGCCTAAAAGTGACCCGAATGGGGGAAAACATTTTAAATGTGGGCTTTGTATACGACGAGTTGAAGGGCAATTCTAATTTCAGTTATAGATGCCGTTGACATTGCGAGTGTGCTCACGAACATCGATGATCGGTCTTCCTCCATGACGTTTTCTGGGGCTATGCAAATAAGACAAATTTTAATGCCAAGTGCTCCTAGGGATTAGTGCTCGATTACTAGTGCTCGGGTACACCATTGTCGAGGGATTATAATGAATTCAATATAAATTACGTGCTCTTTTTATGACGCCCGACACCCTAAAAGCGATTGAACTAACTTAGAATCAAAGTTGAATGATTTCTGAAAGTCAGGCGACTTCAATTTACGTGCCACTAATATTTCATGAAGGGCGAGCAACATAGACAAGCGGCGGGTCCCTCAATACCACGACGTTTGCCCTCAGGATGGTGCCACTAGTACGCTACCCCTTGTCCGAGTCTGCAGGCCGCTACTAATTTCCACCTCTAACTTTCAAGTTATCTACCAACCCGATTTCTATAGGCCGTTGCACTATCTCCCCATGACATTCGGTAGTCGGTTGGTCTTCTTGCACGGTCTGTTTCCTCGCTAAACCGCTGCCAGAATCAGCTTCCAACATCACATCAGGTGGACCCGCCAGAGGTACAGATCCCACTGTGCCAAGAAGGTGCCTCCCATCTCTTCTCAGAAGCCTGGTCCTTTTTCTTCCCTCGTTAGTGTCTTTACTTTAACTCATCTTGCGATTGAGCATAGGGAAGAGTACATCGCTCCAATACCCGAATCGGACCGGCACGACATGATCCTAGTCTCTCCTAGACAGACTTCGATATGATGTGAAGTCGAACCTCGATAATATGAAACTTCGTCTAGGGTTTCATGTGTGACGGTCAACTTCTACTATAGAAAAGCAAGAGATAGACAAGATGTAAGTGAATACCTGACTAACTTCTCATGTTGAAATGATAACCAAAATGATAACAGACAACAACGGCATACGCCTTCAACTTGAAAAAAGTATTCCCCGAACTGACACTTTAAATCGTTCTGGATGAAGGCCACTCTTCGCGAGAGCCGGGGATAGCGAAGCTTCTTGTTGAGGTGAGGGATTTGTTCTGTGTTGCTTGCGTGACGTCGGTTGGGTTTCACTCAGGCGACAAACAAGTTTGCTGATTTGTGACTTGTGCTGATGAAACCATGTAAGGGACTACTGATTTGGTCGATGTGTATGATACCTTGTGCAATGAGATGTGTTTGAGTGCATGTTGGAGATGAAAGAGCAGCAATTTGAACGACAAGCCTTCTGCAGTGAGGTCCGATTTGTCCAGAAACCAGTGATCCGAGTGCATGTGATGTGATCTAAATTTGCTCAACACGTACACGCGGACACCTTGATAACCTGCGTCGTATTACATCCTCAGGCCTCAGCTTCGGCTCCGTTCGATGTGAAAAGCATTTTTTTAATGTGAAAACAGACGTGGCCATGAGTAACTTGTTCAGTTCGGGTGGCCTTGACGATTTGCTCCATTCTCGACTCGCTCAAGACAACCAGTCGCCCTTACGTCGCCTTTATGCCCAGTCGCCGTCACTCGCTTTCTTCGTAGCTGCTTCAGCCTACAACCTATTCCGTCACTCTTCATTTCCAGATAGACTTCTACCACCACCTACAGATAGCAACAAAGTGCGCGTCGTCTGCGTTTCAGACACTCACAACCATCTGCTACCCTACTCCTCCATTCCTGACGGGGACATTTTCATCCATGCTGGCGATCTCACCAACTCTGGCTCTGTAGATCAACTCCGGCTCACTCTTGATTGGATCCGTGGCCTTCCTCATGCGCACAAAGTGCTCATTGCAGGGAATCACGACACTGCATTGGCAGACAAGGCGCAACGTGAACAACTGAATTTCGCAGGGTTAATCTATTTACAAGACGAGGCGGTCGAACTCGTTATCAGAGGTCGAACGCTGCGTGTATTCGGCAGTCCATGGACGCCGCAGTATGGCAATTTTGCGTTCCAATACCCCCGAGGGGACGCCGCAACGGAGAAATGGACCTGCATTCCGATGGGTGTAGACGTTCTGGTCACACATGGTCCGCCGAAGAGCCACGTTGACAATAATGGGCTTGGGTGCGCGGCGTTGCTTGATGCGTTGTGGAAAACGCAGCCGTCGGCGGTGGTGTGTGGTCACATCCACAGTGGTCGGGGTTTGGAGACACTCAAGTGGGACGAGGGACAGAGGCTTTGGGAAAGCATCGTCAAAGCGAGGAAAGCTGGGTGGTTTGATGCTATCGCCCTTGTTTGCAAGTTGGGCTGGGCGTGGATACGAGGAATGAAACATCGGGCCAGGGAAACAACAATTCTGAATTGTGCTATCACCGGGGGAATGAGGGATCAGTTAGTGAGAAACGCAGTAGCATTGGATATCTGAAGTTGTACAAAAGTTTCTTATTTCTGCCACCTCTTTAATCTATTACTCCTGCCGTTCCGTACTTTGCATTATAAGTCGTCGCTAACCTACTAACAGAACCTTCTGACACGCTAACATTGAACTCCTTCGCCCACATCTGTAACTTTGCTTTCGTCACAGGCCCAGAGGTTTGTTTAACCAGCTCGTGCAGGTACGCCGCCGCATCGTCAATATCATACGCCTTTGCACCTGACTTTCCAGCTTTATCCAATTTAGCCACAAGGCAATATCTCCACGGTGCAGCTAAAACAGTAAGACCGGGTTTCTTGAAAATGATGATGTTGTCGTTCACGGCTTCCGTGAAGAGCGAGTTGATTCGATCGTTACCGATAAAGAGAGCGGTGTGGTTGTTCAGCCAGCCTTCGTTGATGCCTACGGATTTGACGGCTGCTTTAATCGCGTCGTTGAAGCCGGGAGGGAGCCTTTTATCTACGCCGAAAAAATCGACATCTGCCGTTGACGCGCGGGTTTCTGTGGAACGTGAGTTGCAGGATGAATTGAATGTTATCGCACCCCAACTTACTGAGGAGCACGGTGTTGATGGCCCCACCGACAGCAACGATAGTTACGGACTGCTTTCGCTTTGAAAGTTCCTTTGCGACTACTTCGAGAGCAGCGGTTATTTCTTTGGCTGTCAAATTCGGCTGCACCTCGTCTAAATGTGAAAGTTGAGCCTTTCGAAATTAATGCTTGAGCGTCCGTTCGGACTACACACCGGGGCGATGAAAGAGTTCGCGCAAGTTAGCTGTGTTACTTTTGTTGCCGCTGAAACAATTTCCCATATTTGATTCTGACGATGTTCGTTAGCACCAAATATTCATCGCGGCACTTGGAAGAGAACAAAATTTGTGCAGTTTATTTCACGAATCTTCAAGAAAAATGAACCAAGAAGTTTGACTCACCAAAGAAAAGCGTAGCTGGGTGGATGACGGTGCACGAGAGAGCGGTGGGGAAGAGGAAGGAAGGAAGGAAGGATAGGGAGGACTGCCCCAGATTATATTTGCATCTGGGAACTGCCGCAGATGTTGGATATCATGATTCATGACATAAAGTAGAAGACGTCTGGTCTCCACTGTTTGCATCTGACCTGGAGACTCGGAGGGTGTACCCAGAACGCGCCAAATTGGGATATAGCGCTCCTGGAAGAAGAGAATATCGCCATAGTCATTGCATCGCCATCGCCATGTCCACAGCATTAGAAAGCGGGGCAGAAGTCCAATACGCTGGTGTCCACGAACTTCCAGACACGCGTCATCTCATTTGGGTGATAAATCAACTTGTCTGCCAGTGCGGTGTCGTGGTTTCTCTATGAACAACTGTATCGAATGAGGTAGTAATGGGACTATCCTGGAACTCATCGACGTCGGAGCCGGATGAAGTGAGGCACCCTGCGTGGATGAACAGGGCTCTATCGAAAGACAGATTACGGCTGATTACATACATTTTACGGGAGGATGTCTGTGTGTCGGAATTTGAAAACGAATGGCGATACACAGTCTCCCTTGTTATGTTCAACAATACAAGTGACTGGGAAATTCATGGCGGTAGCTACTACAACGTAAGTGGAGATGCTAGTATTTCACTTGGAGGTGGCGAACGAGGTGCGTCACTAGCACCTGCCAGTGATCGTCTTTATCTTCACCGAAACTCATAGGATTTCAGCTGCTGGCCAAATCCATTGTTGCAAGCGCGTTTCATGATTCGCAGGAGCGCTTTCCTCCTCCGAAATGCCACCCCGATACTCGTAAGAGTATCTTGAACAAATTAATGGCATTGATTACATCGGACGCGTCGCCACCCATTCTCTGGCTTTATGGCCCTGCCGGAGCTGGGAAGTCTGCAATTGCTCAATCTATTGCAGAAAGATGCGAACAGGAGAACCCTAAAAGACTGGCGTCCAGTTTCTTCTTTTCTCGGAGAACGTCCGATCGAAATTCTGAAAAACATTTGGTGGCTACCATCTCGTACCAGCTCGCAGTAAACCTTCCCGAAACCAAGCCAATCATCGAGGAAATAGTCGAAAATGATCCATTAGTATTCTCGCGTTCCGTCAAAGTACAATTGCAAAACCTTGTGGTCGAGCCGCTCCGACGAGTTTCAAACGAGTATAGTCCTCAAAGGTTCATTATTATTGACGGGTTGGATGAGTGCATTGGTGATGGCAACCAATGTAGCATTCTCTATGCCATCTGCGAAGCGGTCAGCGGGCAGAGGCTCCCCATTTGTTTCCTCATCGCCAGCCGTCCAGAGCCCCATATCCGAAACTTCTTCAACAACACCTCGTTGAAATTATATCGACATATCCCACTTACTCAAAATCTTGAATCCCATCGTGATGTGTCGATCTTTCTTCAGAAAGAGTTTGAACGGATTCGCAAGGATCGGGGCCTCTCCACAACATGGCCATCTTACCGCGACATCCAGACTCTTGAGGAGAAGGCTTCAAGGCATTTCATATATCCGTCAATAGTGATAAAGTTCATTGATGACCCTCGACATTACCCTCCTAGCAGGCTCAAAATTGTTCTCGGTATTGGCTCCCCTTCCAATCAGTTACCCTTTGCAGACCTTGACTCGCTTTATCAAGAGATTCTGAAATCGACACGTGATCCGAAGGGTACCTTGCGCATCATAGGGCTGCTACTGTTCATGACAAGGGAACGTGGTGATATGCCTCTAATTCAGCACCTATTGGGCCTTGAACGTGGAAATCTTGAGTCTTTGCTGTATGACGTCCATTCAATCATTGATGTTGATATAAAAAGACATTCTATTCAAATAGTACATGCATCACTAATTGACTTTTTTGTGGACCACTCACGATCAGGGGACTACTTTCTGGACTCGAAGGATGTGCATGCTGACATCGCACAAATGTGCTTTCGGGTCCTGTTTCCTGATGCTGTCGTTGATGGTGCCCACCAATGTGAGCTCTTTTCTGTATATTCTCATGACACTGATTCTCAATGTACATCTGAAGCGAGCCAATATGCCAGCCAATACGCCTTGAACTTTTGGTATCACCATCTTCAGAACGCTGCACCTACCCAAGAACTTCTAAATTTTTTAAATAAGTGTGCAAGTGAAGAAGCGGCCCTGGATTATACGGATAAATTGAAGCGCAACATGCGACATTGGCTGGGCAAGTTAAATGTTCAGGCCCTCATATTGTCATGGTTGAAGAAAAATGTGAAGCTGCCTTTCTGTGCTATGTTGTTTTGGCATTGTGAACTCACCTTCTTGACTAGGACATCCAAAACACTTGCTTAGAACTCTATCTCCACTATCGCACCCTCTTTGACTGTGAAATTGCTTCCATAGTGAATCAAAGTCCTTCACCTGAACGTCTTATCATGTGGATTGCGATGCTCCCTGAAATATCCGCATATCCCGCCGTATATCCCATGACCCAGGCTTTGGCTACGGTATTCGAGATGCCCGCTGAAGACGGTGAGCCCAACTCAATTATTCCGCTACGTGATTGTCTTGTCAGTCTTTTTGAAGCTGGCATGGGAAGCCATCCCCATCTTTTTGGAGAATTTTTTTCCGACTCAATCCGCTCTAGAAAATGTTTCATTGGGTGTGATGTACACACCAAAATTACATTGCTCTTGTTGAGGCACATCGATAAATGTATCTCGGAGCCTGTGTTGGATGATGGCCTACCGGATGCTGCTGCATGGCATTGGGAATCTCTCCGTCAACACCTGCACAGTTTGAAATGGTGGCGGCACTGGTCCTTCCACCTCTCACAATCCTCGCCTTCCTCGGATGAACTAGGAAAGTTCCTTCAAAGATTTTCGTCAAACTCATTTCGACCTGTGATGGAAGTCCATGACGGTGTTGATTTTGGACATTTTCATGGTCATCTCTCAACCCATGATATGCAGAAGTCTGTTACACATTACCTCCTGGTGTGTCCTACATTGTTACTTGATCATCTTGACTCAGTCCGACTGCTCCATTAGCGAAATGCACAATATTGTGAGGACAACATACTCTCCTCAAAGGATACTTGTGTATCGGTCAAGTCGCATAGTTGGTTCAATATGTCAACCATTTTCGAATTATTGTCTTTCAGGTCAGTCCATCATGATGCTTTATGCATGGATAGTAACCACTACATTTCCAGGTCATGGTCGAGATTGCGTAAGGCGGAATAACCGCCTCATCTCCCTAGGTTTACCACGAGACGCTCCAGCCATAGTTGCGGAATGGGACGAGCTCGAAGCTAGGCCTGTCCTGGAAAAGATATTAACCTGGGCTGAACAGACAGAGAGGCTTGATCATGTGCTTGACCTCCCCAATGCAACAGGCGAACTATTAGCAGCGGATGAGCAAGACGATGACTGCGCCCTGGGTCTTTGTGTGAATTTTCTGTTTACTGAATCCGTCCTGGATACCTTTGCTTTTATGCACATGAATAGGACTTACACCGAAGTCAAAATTTGCGCAGAAAAAGATTTCTGCAAGAAACGGGTATATCTGATTAAGCGTACTACATACCTAATATCTATGAAGGTCCATGGGTTTTGCCTGGAGAGTTGGAAAACATTCTAAATCGCTCACTCCCCTCCATCCGCACCCCCAGCATCACCTCCAGCATCACCACCATCTGCATCTCCGTCGGCATGTGCATCTCCGCCCACAGCCGTGGCATGTGAGGGATCAACGTCGTGTCCGGGTTCCCAACCCAAACTACCGCCAATGACGGTTGTAGACTCGAGAACATAATTGACGACAGGCGGGGCGTCAAAGGTCGATTTCTCATGGGAGGGTTCATCGACAACCTCTGTCCAGTCGTCGTCCACAGCATTGGGAGACGTGTCTTCGACCTTCTTTTCCTCCTCGATAGGCAACAAGGCGGTGGCAATCAGGACGGGGTCAGAGACAAGCTGCTTCTCCAACCCATCAGCTTGATCTGCAGCCGGGTCCTTCTCGTCAACCAAAGCAACTTGCTTGTACTCCCATTCGCTAATCCCCACCTTTGCACCAAGCTCCTCCCATCTCGTTCTCCACCTCCCTGTGCGCTCCTCACACATCCCCACAAGCTCGTTCCAATACTTCTCGTGGACGTACTCGAAATCCCTATCCCCGCCCCACCACTCGCTCATGACCATATCCTTGACGAATAGCCCATCTTTGATGATGTCTGGGTTAAATTTGACTTTTTCTCGTGTAATTGGGTCGACGAAGGGCATTATTATCTTGAAGAAGGCATTGACAAGGAAAGGAACGTTGATTACCAGTGCTAGGCCCAGGCGCTCGGGGTAGTGCTCCTGCAGAATGTTGAGCACCGTTCGGGCGGTGCTCAGTGAGGGATTTTTTGCTTTATCGGCGAAGTTTATCAAGAGGGCGAGGGTTCTGTAGGAGAAAAATTGGGTTGGTGTATGTGAAGGGATTGGAAAGGGAAAGAGACTGACTCTACACCGGGTTCCATGAGGTCAACGCCTCGTTCTAGCATCCAGACTGCGAATTGGATTTGGCGAGTTGGCTCAGTGGTGTTTTGGCGGCTGGGCACCATGTAAAAGGCGGGTTTGCCCTTGACGTCGTAGCCGAATAGAATCTCTTTCCCTGTGACTGCCTGTTTTGAATATGAAATGTGAGCTTGAGTGAACACCTGTGAGAACTTGGTAGGCGTCACACACCTCAGGCTCGACGTGGGCAGCGTTGACGGTATCGTAAAGACCGTATTCACGTCTCCATTTCAGTGTTGCTTCTAGTCTAGTTATCGCAGGTTGTACTTTCCATTTCGTGGCGCGTAAATAACTACTTGCGAGTTAGTACTCGCGAGCGTGGCTGGACGAGGAGCAAGTATATATACCGTAATAGGCACTCGCGAGAAAGCCAGAACTTCTCAGCTGGCGTCAACTCTCCGTTCTCATCCACGTTTGGGAGGACGTAGGAGCCGGCAGAGAAATGCTCTAGCACGGTGTCGTACATCGCCTGCTCAGCGTCTGATACGGTCGCCCTAGGGTCTTCCTGAAAAATGGGAATGGGGACGACGGGGGTATAGACCTTTTCCTTCTCTGAAGACATGGTGAAGTTGGGTGTGGGTTGGTGGGGAGAGAGAAAGAGAAGTGAAATGCTGGCACTTCGTGTGTATATGACCCTGAAGCCGAATTAAAGTCCATAATGCCAATAAATTTGTGATCGGCGGGGGTACCCAAAAGGAAATTCAATTATCATGCAACTCACATGGCAAGTTCGACGCTTCAAGCTCTTGCCACCATCGTTCTCCCATTCTTATTGTCATCGTCGTCGTTACACATCGGCAAACCCTCTTAGACTGTCAGCTATGTATCCCCCCATAGAACCCTTCGCCCACGGCAACCTCAAGGTCTCTGATAAACACAATCTCTAGTGAGACGCCAGCCTCTGGGCTGAAATACCTCACTAATCGCCACCAGCTACGAAATCTCTGGAAATAAAGAAGGAACTCCAGGTATGCTAGTGCTTTATGTCTTGGGATCAAACCTTTACGCTCCCTTAAATCTAGTCGTCTTCTTGCACGGTCTGTCTCGCTGAGTCGCTGCCAGAACGAGCTTGCAACATTACGATCAGGTGGTCCCGGAGGAGGTACAGATCCCACTGATCGTGGGTTCTTCAACCCAGAAAAATACAAGGTGAACAAAGGCACTATCATCATTACTCCAGCGATTGACAACTCCATGACCAGATCATTCTCTTCGACCAACGGGGCTCAGGCAAATCAACCCCGTGAGTTCCATTCCTTATTTTAATCTCGCGTTTATCAACGACCAGTTTATTGCTAGGAGCGCCTCTTTGGAAGAGAACACAACCTGGGACCTTGTCAAGGACATCGAGAAACTCCGGATACAACTCGGCGTTGAGAAATGGCACGTCTTTGGGGGATCTTGGGTGCGCATAAATCTCCTGAATATGTCATCCCCTCGTTATGGTTCTGATCTTTCATTTTTGTAGGGCTCGACCCTCTCCCTGGCTTACGCTCAGGAATGCCTGCCTATTCTCTTCCAACGTTACTGACTGACAAAGTTTCATTAGGGACACCCAGACCGCGTGAAGAGTCTCGTTCTCCGGTCAGTCCTTTCAATGTCGCTCGAGGCTAACATTCAACCCTTACAACATATCAGTGGGATATTCACCCTGCGTAAAAGCGAACTCAAATTCTTCTACCAAGAAGGCGCCTCCCATCTCTTTCCAGAAGCCTGGTCCGTTTTCTTCGTGCGTTTACTCCAGCTCACCTCGGAATTAAACATAGGGAAGAGTACATCGCTCCAATACCCGAATCGGATCGACACGATATGATCCTGGCTTACCACTCCCAGTTGAACTCTATCGATGAGACCATAAGGAACAGGGCTGCAAAGGCTTGGTCCAAGTGGGAGTAAGTCGTGGTGTTCGCTCTTTTTGGGAGTCTTTGCTTAATCCACACAGAATGGTTACGTCGAAACTACACGTAGACCCCGAAAACATTGAGCGTGCCTCGGATGACAAGTTTGCCACGTAAGCTGCTTTCTCTGGACACATTCGGTTTCTGAAAAGTTGGTCAATGTTCTTTTCTCAGCGCATTTGCGCGGATTGAGAACCATTATTTTATCAACGACGTGCGTGATTCCTGATTCTCACACAATAGATACATAAATTGAAAGGATTTTCGTCTAGGGTTTCATGCGTGAAGGCCAACTTCTTGAAAAGCAAGAAATAGACAAGATGTAAGTGAATACCTGACTCCGCCCTTCCTTCCGCTGAATCATTTCAAAATCGCAGTCGACACATCCCCACCATTGTTGTTCAAGGTCGATACGATGTCGTCTGTCCTGTACGTGGTTGCCCATCAACCTCCCTCGTCTTGCTTCTCATGTTGAAACGATTACAGACAACAACGGCATACGCCTTGAAAAAAGTATTCCCCGAACTGACACTTCAGATCGTTCCGGATGCAGGCCACTCTTCGCGTGAGCCGGGGATAGCAAAGCTTCTTGTTGAGGTGAGGGATTTGTTCTGTGTTGCTTGATATTTCGGGGTTGCTGATATTGGTTGGGTTTCAGGCGACGAACAAGTTTGCTGATTTGTGATTTGTGATGTGTGGGGGAAATGAAACCATGTAAGGGATTGCTGATTTGGTCAATGTGTATGATACCTTGTGCAATGAGATGTATTTGAGTACATGTTGAAGATGCAAGAGCAGCAATAATATTATAAAGACAAGCCTTCTGCAGTGAGGTCCGATTTGTCCGGAAACCAGGTTCTTTCGGTCGGCCTCTTGCCACCCTGATCCTGAACAGTGATCATATTCCCGCGCCTATCTCCCTCACCCCCTCGTCTACTGCAATGATGGAAAGGCTCCTTTACACCTCAATTTTATCTCTGTCAATCTATCTCATGGCTATAGAAAGGATTCGTTGGTTGTCAATAACCACTACTTGTTGGCCAGCCCAAAGCAAAATGCCAACAAGATGTAGGCACCAACGAGACTGTTCATTTACCAGGAACACGCCAAGTCGAAATCCTTGAAGCCCTTCCCCTTTCAAGTTGTCCCCTACCACAATGGTTTTCCGTTTACTGCAACCCTAAAACACAATTTACAACAACTGGGACGCGCTTTCAGACAACCGTTTACTAGATGACGAGTACTATGAGGAGGACTCGGCCCAACCAACAATGTTTCTGCTCTATGGTAGCTGTAGTGAGATATGCATGCTTACTCTTCCGTGGCGTGTTACCTCGGCTTTCCGACGTATTCGTGCCCGCCGAGTCCCAGGGAAGAAAAAATCTGTACCTGCAGGTCGAAGATTGCAGCCCCCTTGCCCTCGATTTTTCTTTTATGACCAGATGGTTCTGGACCGCGGAGTGCAGACCCCGCCGAACTAGCTGTCGACTTGCGTTTCTTTGCCCAAGAGCTCCGTTCAGCGCGAGCCAATCGTGGCACTATGCTAAAGGCATTTGTATGCTATTCTCCAGATTCAATGCCCAGGGGCCAGCATCGACGTTCATTTTACCCTGGGCGACATCTCTATCCCCGCGAAATCTCATAACACGTCTTATTTTCCGTCAAGCGTTCCTTTATTCCAGCAACCCCTTTGCGTACCTGGTGCGGCCACCGCTTTCCCAATGCTAACATTGGCAAGTTGGCCTCGAAAGGAATATTGTGACAGCGGATCCTAGGGGTAACTGCTCATCCCCTGAAGAGGGACCGACCTGGCGGGGTCGTTGCAGCTCCTTTTTTCGGTTCAAAGTCGTCTTCAATAAGTTACAGGCGATGTCGTTCTTCCGGTTTGAAAGGGCAGGCACAGTGCTTGAGGGTCGATCTATCACATTCCGGGTCAAGTTGGCGATAGGCAAGAGGTATAAAGGTAGAATGTTTCCACTGAGTCCAACAACGCACCATCTTACACGTTCTTTGCTTGACAGGATAAACTCGCTCTCATACCGCATATTCTATCATGTCTGCTTCCGACGATGAGTCTCCTTCCTCTCCAGTCGCGGCCGCTGCTACCCCTTCGAATGCCATCCCCGCTTCCGCAGCCGCGACCGGCGACTTTATGAAGGCGGTTCAGCAGCAACTACTGCAACTTTTCAATCCGACCTCTGGGCAGACCTTCGCGGTCCAGTTTCCGGGGCGATTTCTCCAGGAGGATCTGTATGCCTGGGACACCGAAAAGGCCGGAATTTATGGCCAATTCAGCAAGCCGGTCGTCGTCAACGAGAGCGAGTTTCGACTCGTCGACCAGCTCTACGATGTCGGGCAGGTCGTTGGTGCCCCGAATGGGTCAAATCTTTCCATCATTTATCAGGAGATTCTAAACAACTTGGTTCCCGGGTTTGACAGCTCCCAGGCGAACTTGGCAAAGCAGCAGGACAAGATTCGCCAGTGGCTTTTGAAGGACGTTCCTGCTGCTCCTTGGATCAAGGACCTTATCGAGGAGCGGCACCAGCGCGCCGGGACGTCGTCGACTCCCGATGCCTCCAATGGCTCATTTGCTGTTGCGAATAAGCTCACAGAAGACGGAAAAGTTAATCGTATGGAACTTGCGGAGGCTCTCATGGAGGAGTATCTGACGGCGAAAAGCGCCTAGGAGCTCGAACGCGACAAAATGATCAGGGACGCTCAGCCGGAAAAGAACGCTAAGCCGGAAAGTATGGATGATCTTACACAGACGCTTGCGCATATCACAGCCGTTCGTGAGGCTCAACTGTCTGCAAAATACGCTGATGCTGTTGTGCTTGGCTACTCTCATACCATCCGCCAATATCTCGGCTACATGGATATTACAAGTCCAGCCGAAATGTTGCAAAACGCCAAAGATTCTTTCCGCGAGTCTTCTTCTAGCTCTCTCGATGGCAGCATGAACGTGTATCCAGTACAAATGACCCCTGTTGATTGGTTCCAAGGCCTCTCCACCTCTTTCTCTTTGGAAGATCTTACCCCAAATATCGACATGATTCAGATGGAGATCGATGGGAAGTCGAAGCAAATCGATGCTTTGCAGACTCGTTTGGCTTTTTTGCAGGGTACGCCGACGGCCGACCTCCAAGAGTTGAAGCAGAAGCTTGACAATGCGCAGAGTACCAATGCGCAAGCACAAGCCGACCTCTCAACCACCTTTAATGCTAACGTTGTTTCCGCTGCACTCACATGTGTTAGCCCTACCGGCGATTTCCTCATGACCGAGTTTACGACCGCAGCAAAGTCGCTGAACATTGTACCGAGTCTCTACACTGGTATTGAGGGCGCGATGCAGAAGGTCGGAGGCGCTCAAGTTGCCGTCGTAAATGCAAGTCGTGCCTATACGACGCTACTCTCGGAGGTTACCGCAGCTGAAGCCTCAGACAGCACTCTCGAACAGAAGGAGCTTACTATGCAGATTACTTCGCTGCAGAGCGATGTCACAGAACTCACTACGCGCATTAAATTTCTGCGCTTCGATGCCTCTGGCGCTCTTAAAACACCCAAGGACCCCACGACTGTTAAAACGGCAGACGTTCCGATCTTGCCTCCCATTTCCGGATCAGGTGGCAGTCGATGGCAGGATATCACCATTAACTACCAAACGTCGAACATGTTTTCGACAACGAACTCATCTTCGACCGCTTATTCGCCGAGTTCGGGACTGTCCTTCTTCTTCGGCGGATCTTCTTCTTCTTCGTCAAAGTCAAGCGCGGACAGTTCAAGCCATCTCAAGCAGACGGATTTCACTATGGAAGTTGGTTTTCGTGCCACGATGGTCACCGTCGATCGAAGCGGATGGTTCCAGCCCCAAATTTTCAAGCAATCAACTGGATTCTATCATATCGATCCACAAGTTTCATGGAGCAAGTGGCCTGAATCGATTAAAGGAGCTTCTGGCCTTCAAAATGCAACTGCCGATGTTTGGGATGCCATGAACAAGTATTTGATGCCAGCCTTTCCAATCGGCTATGTTATCTGCAAGGTCAGTCGCTAGGCAACGTTGCTGAAATTGGTTTCCTTACGCACCTGCATTTCAGGATATCACCATCAAGGTATCATTGGATTCGACGACACAGGACTCTGATAGCTCGGTTTTCCAATCTCAAACCTCATCGTCTAGTGGAATCCTTTTGTGGTCGACTTCTAGTTCGAGCAGCACCCGCTCGTCCCACCAGGGTGTCTTTACGCAAACAACCTCAGATGGATTGGTTATTCGTATCCCTGGCCCTCAGGTAAATTTATGAAACTGCCATTTATTGGATTCCCTCTAACCGTCTTTTTCGAACAGATCATAGGCTATATGTTTGAAATCATGCCCAATGATCTGACCACCCAGCTCCCTGAAACCATCCCTGACGGTTTCTTCATCCCTGATGACGACTGATGACGACTACGACTCGACCTTCAAACAGGGACCAACTGCAGTGGCAGTAGCACCGAGCAACGTCGCTCAAGTAGTGGAGACACCTAAGCCTGCTGCGGCTAGCACGCTGCCGCGACCCAAAGGAAGGACCTAAGGCTACCTACCGCTTGTCGCTCGTTATTTTCCGTCTTGTACATGACGTGTTCGTGCTATCTCTTGTGTCCTTACTTTCTCTAGTATTTGACCACCTTTCCTGCGGCCTTCGAGTCTCCTGTTTACAGTTTTGCTAAAAACTGTCTCGCTTGTCACACCTGTTGAATACATGTTATGCAGATTTGTCGGGTTAAAGTTGGTTGAGAATTACACAAGGCCAATAAGCTCGTCTCGCACCTCGTTTCTCCCACCCCCACAAAGATTGGTCCATGCATTAAGTACAACCAGTGCACATGTCGCCAGTGGCGTTTTGAATCTGGAAGGCTTGTTGAACTTTTGATTTATTCAGACTTTCCCTTCATTAAAAAGTCGGGTATGGTGTAACGGCTAACATTGCCGCCTCTCATAATAGTACCATATCAGTTGCGGTCGCGGCAGCTCGGGGTTCGATTCCCCGTACCCGAATTCTTCTATTCGTTGTACCTTTTTTAAATAAAACTAATACAACTACCAACTGTCTGTACAATGTTCATTTGAAAACAGATAACTCCTCCTCTCCAACTCTGACAATTGATAACCAGTATGTATTTTTCCCACGAATACCTCTCCACCAAAACGTTGTCGAAACGCGTCGTGTCTATTGAGGTCACCACACACATACTTTGGGGCGAACTATCGATAAATGTGCCCCTAGGCCTGTACCACGCGCAACCAGCCAGCCAACAAAGCCTTCCCAGACTGGGTTCTGCCTTTGTATGATGCCATCGTTTGATCATCACGCACGGGTGGGTTCATCGTAGTGTTATGTGCAGGCTCCACTTTGCGTACTTTCTGGAACTTCCTTTGACTCAAACGATGACGACGGCTTGGGAGGCGTCGTCTTGAACAACGCTTGCATTAAGAATGCCATCCTTCGGCGTAGTCTCGGGTAGTCTCGTATCTTGACCCGGTAAGTATTTGGGGCTTACCATCGGGCTCCCGTGCTAGTCCTTACCAGCTACATTCAAGTTGATGTTGTTCTACCCATTGCTCAATTGTTGGTACCGCCTCACCAATCTATGGACGGGTGAAGCATTGTCCTTGGATGTCGTAAACGACAACGGTACACACTCGTCTGGTATATTGCAGATGTCAGCCACGGGGTCCTACTCTGGGCAGTACTGGCGCTTCCAGCCCTTCCCGGCGGGATCTACGACCACGTATGCGCTTAGCACCTGGTTCCTTGGAGAAGGGATGCGTTTGGATGTGTATGGCGATATTAAGACTGAGCCGCGCTTGGCGCTTGCTGGGCAATATTCGGGGCAGGTTTGGACGATGACTTCGTGGGGCGATGGGACGTATATGTTTACGAATAAATATTCGGGGAGCGGCTTGCACTTGGATGTGTATAGCGATACTGAGCGGCCGTTCTTGGAGGGTGGAGATCACATTGGCCAACACTGGCGTATTACGCCTATCACGCCTATCGTCGGCGGGTAAACGAAGTTGTACTGGCTGGCTAGGTACGTATATCATCCTTTGATTATGATTGTCTTTTATCTGACGAAATATTGTCATGACAGGTTGTGGCATGCACTGATTTGAAGGCGAAAGTTCTTGTAGAGCACTAATTAGTAATAATGGTCAAACGAAACTAGAAAGCGTATTTCCTTTATGATGAATGAATTCGCTGCGGTCAACCCTAGAAACTTTTTCTCCCGGAGCAATGTTTTGTGTTTCTCATAGTCCTGCACAAACAAATCACTTGCAAATCACCATCAAATCACCGATGAATACCTGATATCATCGTTAAATTTTTGTGGCTGCAAACAATGAATCTTTTCATGCGAGCTTGGTGGCCCACTGTGCATGGTGGCCCGTGTTGTTTGACGGACAATGCACGTGAACACAAATAGACATCAACATCGCGTTGTTTGGCTCGTGTCTGTTGCCTCAAGGCGTCGACGAACATTGTGGCCTTGTAATCGCATCTTTACTCGTCCCCACTCCAGCCTGCAGACAACCTCGTGCACCAAGGTGTTACATGTCATTTTCGGGCACACCACTAGGTCAAGGCAGACGTCTCGATCACAACACTTTTCTTGGTAAACAACCTTCCGGGCCCACAAGCCCACATCACATCATTCCCACCTCCTACGCTTACGGGTCCGTTTTATCTTCTTATCTTCTTTCAACTTGTACTTCATGTTACGATCTAGAGCACCAACTCTCGCCTCCCGATCCCCAACCAAACCCACATCACCCGTACGCGATCGTCGCTTCCACGACGACGACGACGACGAAGAAAACGAAAACGAACCAGCACTAGCACGCTTCGCACGTCAAAAACAGCGCGAGCACGCTTCCATCAACAATCTCTCTTCACGCCCCGGTGGCCCAAAGACTTTCACCTCCCCACCCAAACCAGAAAAGTGGAGCGTAAAGGACACCTCTGTCAACATCGCAACCGCTTTCACACAGGCCGCCAACGATATGCTGCCTGCACATACCACACCAAACACATCATGGGCCTCGTCCTCGTCCTCGTCCCGGACTGTCGTCCCACGAAGCACGTCAGTAGAGTACGAGTCACAGGTACAATCAACTACCTCTCGTCGCCTTGCTGCACCAAATAGCAAGCTCGGCTCGCGCCCTCCAAATTCAAACTCGAATCCCTCGAGAAAACCGCTCTCAAAGGCTGATTCCTCGCTACACGTGCCCGACTCTGAAGATGAGCGGCCGAACGCGAACGGTCGCGGGAAGAGCCCAATGGAACAAGTTGCTGGCGCTGCGAATCGTGCTCTGCAAACTGCCACTTTCTATCTAACTGCCCGTTCCAAAGAACCACAAGATACCTCGGGAGCTGCGAACAACCAAAATGGCAATGACTCGAGCTACGACTACGGTGCCGAGGAAAGCATCTATCAAGCTTCCCAAGGGAAACGGACTTCCAATGCAGCCCATAAACGGAACCGGATATCTGTAGATAATAAGGCTTGGAAGCCCTCCGCGTCGGATTTCGAGTCTGACGAGGAGTACTCGGATGATGGCAAGAAAGGAAGGGGCGCGAAGAAGAAAGGTCCACATGGAGGTCCATTGACAAACCTGCCTAGTATCGGCCCCAGTAAAGGCAGAAAAAAGAAGACCAAAGGAACTAAAGGAAGTAAAGGAAACATTGCAGGTGGTGAACATGAGAACGAGAGCGATGGCGAAACACAAACCGACATTGTGAGTTGGTCCCAGATATCATCAGATAAAACCTTCATCCTCACTTTTTTCTTCTTTTCTAGCAATCACAGTCCGCGCAACTACGGTCATCAGCGCAACCTTCACGGCCCTCCATCCCCAGATCCATACCACCAGAAAACTATGATCCAGAAGATACCTCAGTGGACGTCGAACAGGGCCTCCACTCAATACCAGAGATTGACGACATTGATCTACCACCGGAAGACCTCAGTGCTCAGCAACGAGCACGCTCAATGGAGCCGAAACCCAAGCGGAGAACCTCCCGTTCACGTACCCCCGCCCGCGAACGGGCTCGCTTCTCAATAGGCGGCGCTCTTGGCTCTATCGTGAACCTAACGTTCAAAGGATCCATGAGCATAGTCACTCTTTTCCTCCATCTCCTAAGCAACGTTCTTTTCCTCCTTGGTCGGGTCTTTGGCACCATGTTCGACATTGTTTTTAACCGCCCGTATCTTTGGGTAAAGTCGTCGAGAGCTAAAGGGTTGGCTACGTTTGCGAAATACGTTTTTTTGGCGGCTACGTTGGTTTCTGCGTGGTTCGTCCTTCGAAGTCCTACTGCCCTTTCGTACATCCCCAAACTATCATTCCCGTCGTCGTCTTCTACACGTTCTTCGCCAGTGTACACCGCCCCGGAGGTACCAGCTGCCAATATCATGGAACTTGCAGAACGCCTGCTACGCATTGAGAATGCGCTGTCGGGTCTATCAGTGGACAGCGAGCGGGCGAAAGCAAAGGCGGACGATGGTGTTCGTGGGTATCATGATCTTATGGGCCGGCTTGGTGTGCTTGAGACGAGGTTGGGCGCGGAGAGTAGGAAGATTGTGGAAGCTGAGACGAGGGCGCGAGATGCGGCTGGGAGGGGGTTGAGTGGGGTTAAGCAGGATGTGGAGGTGCTTCAGGCGCAGATTGTGGCGCAGCAGAAGCTTTTGGAGAAGGAGAGGGAGGAGAAGGAGAAGGGACAAGGACACAAGCAAGGACATACGAGTGATGAGGAGGCCCGTGTGAAGTTGAAGGCTTTGGAGGAGAGGGTTGGCTTCGTGGAGGGCGGTGTTAGGGATGCGTTGGAGTTGGGTACGAAGGCTTCAAGCGCCGCTGCTGCTGCTGCTACGGCAGGGAATAATAAAGCCCCAGCAGCTGCCATCCCAGGAACGGAATGGTGGAATAAGCGCGTCAAGTCTGGGTTGCAGATCAAATCGTCGGATGGGACGGATGTCACGGCGCTCATTGCCGACCTCGTCGATACGGCGACGTCCATCCGAAGTAAGGACACCATTGCCAAACCGGATTATGCGCTCCATTCTGGTGGGGCGAGGATCATACCCTCGCTTACGACTCCGACGTTTGAGATTCGGCCTTCTACGCTTCGTGGACAGGTTGTTGGGCTCTTGACGGGGAACGGGTACGCGATTGGACGACCGCCTATAACGGCTTTGCATCATGAAGTGAACAATGGGCATTGTTGGCCTTTTGCGGGGAGTGAAGGGCAGTTGGGTGTGGCGCTTGCTGCGCCGACGTATGTTGAGGAAGTGTCTGTTGATCATGTTGCGAAGGAGCTGGCGTTTGATATGAGGAGTGCCCCGAGGGAGATGGAGGTGTGGGGTATGGTTGAGGGGAAGGATAATGTTGCGCGTGTTAAAGAGTGGAAGGAACACTCTGGGGGCCAGGAGATTCTAAACGCCATTGGGTACCCGACGACGTTGCCAAGGGAGCCGGAGTATATTCGCCTGGCGAATTTTACTTATGATGTTGCGAGTACGAGGGGTGTGCAGACGTTCCCTGTTGATGAGGATGTTAGGAGGCTTGGTGTTGATTTTGGGATTGTGGTGTTGAGGGTGTTGAGTAATTGGGGACAGGGGGAGTTTACGTGTTTGTATCGGTTTAGGGTGCATGGGCAGAGGATGGTGGATGGGCCGCCGCCGATGAATTTGGGGGAGGATGCCTCCCCGTAATGAAGGATGAAGACGCTCCTGGGCACCCCCCTCCCCCAACCGATGAATTTGGGTGAGCCGGTAGTGAACGGTGAAGACGCTCCTGCCCACCCAAACCCCACCACCCCTTCTAATTTAACGACTTTCCTTCCTTTTTTCTTTCGGTTTGATTGATTTGATTTAAACGACCTCACTCCCCTCCCTCCCTTCTTTTCTTTTTATCATCTCGCTTATTCGACAGTGCTATGTGTCCACTGCTAGTAATGTACATGTACGTGCAATCTCATTCCACTCATGATTCCCACTCCCCACCATCGTCCACCATCCATCGTACTTGCTTTCCTACCCGTTGCTGCTACCTTCATTGCGACACATACTACAGCTGGTGCCTCACACACTCCCTCTCTACCGTTTTTTTGTTTGGTATACTGATACGTAGATAAATAGTAATTCCTCTGCAATCCAGTCTCAATCTCAATTGAACAGGACACTTAGACTGAGGAGCTCTAGGAATCAATTTTTAGCGTCACCTTTATGCACGGCTACGCGCTAGCTTCGTGATCCCCTTCCTATGTTGCCTGGCAAAGTTTCAAACCTTTCGAGGTCTTAGCACTCCTCTTATTCACGGTCATCCACGATTTCAGTCAGAGTGCCAGATGAACATCACGTTCAACTCAAACTCGCCGGTGAATGGGAAGGAAAGATGATGGTTCTTGATATTGATGCTGTTAACGTTGTTATAGGAGGTATGAGAGATGGATTGGTTTAGAATGCGGTGGTACTGCTCCATTCGTCTGGAGGTACAGTAAGTATTAAAGTAATTCTTGAGTAATTCGCGTTGGCAATGGGAGCCTGAGCTATTTCAAATTTACGTCACGTGGACCAAAAAAACCTCCCTTCGACGATGACCACCCACAAAACGAGCAAAAAGCGTCCAGCGTCCAGCCAAGCCGGACCCAATGTCAAAAAACCCAACCTTGAAAAATCATCCAGCGATAAAAAGCGCAGTCGGCCAGTAACTGCCTCAGCACAACCGGCGAGCACATCGGATTCTGAACCTGACGATCTCGAGGACGTTGAAAACACTGGAGGTGATGATGAAGGTGATTGGATAGACGAGGACGATGAAATGGATGTTGATAATAATGGTGATGCACCCACGTTGAACTCAACGGCTCCAAAAGACCCAAACGGTGCGTCCTCTAGGTGAATTCCCCTTGCGACTTACTTTAATATTGCTGCCAGCCGCTCGGGAGTCACATAAAGCTCAAAAGATTGTACAAGAACAAAGACGTGCCGCTAAACCCCACTCTACGCTTCTCGTCGAAGCCAAGCGTGTATGGTCCCTTGCTCGCCAAAAAACGATACCCACAGCCGAACGCCAAAAACATGTCAAAAATCTGATGGATGTGATTCGCGGTAAGGTCAAAGATATTGTGTTCAAGCATGATGCGAGTCGGATCGTGCAGACTGTCGTGAAGTATGGGGGACAGAAGGAGAGGGATGAGATTGCAGCAGAGTTGAAGGGAAAATATAAAGATCTTGTGCAAAACAAATACTCAAAGGTACGCAAAATCTTTTTTTTTATGCATGAATTATTGTTATTGAACAGCTGCATAGTTCCTTGTGACGAAGCTGATTCGCCTCTGCCCCTCCCATCGCACTTCAATCCTCCTAGAGTTCCAAACCCACGTTCTTCGTCTCCTCCTGCATCGAGAAGCTACCTCCGTTCTAGCGGACGCTTTTGAGCTCTACGCCAATGCCTACGAACGCACTATACTCCTGCGGGACTTTTATGGAAAAGAAGCTAATCTGTTCAGCTTCACAACTGGGAGTGCGGAAGACAAGGAACGGGCGAAGAAAGGGCTCAGTGGGATTCTTGAGGGCGTTGATAATGAGAGACGGCGGAGAACGTTGAATGCTCTCAAGGATAACCTGGTCACGATGTAGCTGCCTTGGTTTTTTTTTTCTTTTTCGAATATTTGCTGATGGTGGACGATAGACTCAATAACCCGGATAAGGGTGCTGTAACGCATGCGGTTGTCCATAGGGCGTTGTGGGAGTATATATCCGCGGTTAACACGATACAGGACGAGACTGAACGGGAAAAACTTGCACGAGAGATATTTGAGAGGTGTGGGTTCTCGTTCGTTTTCTGCTCATGCTTTATTGATGATACATTTTTAGCTGCCAGGAAGTTCTAGCTGAGATGGTGCACACCAGGGACGGAAGCCGCGTCGTCCGCGAGTTTTTAGCGCAAGGAACCGCGAAGGTACGCGTTATTTCATCCAATCTTGATTGTTCTTCCAAAACCCTTCAGGACCGCAAACAAATTCTCAAAGTCCTCAAGCCGCACATCGAGCGGATGTGTCTAGACGATGAGGCGCAACTGGTGTTATTCACCGCTTTAGACGTCACAGAGTAAGCCCTACCTTTTCCAGTGAATGCCCGCTGACCTCTCCCGCCCTCAAAGTGACACTAAGCTCCTCTCAAAATCACTCATCTCCGAAATGACCACCCCCGCTCAAAAGCTGTACGCCTCCCCTCAAGGCCGGCGATCTTTGTTATACCTCCTCCTTCCGCGGACGAGGCGGCACTTTACTCCTGCGCAAATTGCTTCGCTGGCTGAAACGGACGAGGCACGCGCACGGACGAGCAAGAAGGAGCCGCAGAGCAGGGAGAGTGAGGTGCGCAAGTTTGCTAGCGAGGCGCTTATCACGTGGGTGCAGGAGAACGGCGCGAGTTTGGTGAGAGAGCCAAGTGGGACGTTGGTAGTGGTTGATATCATGCTTTTTGCTGAAGGCGGCGAGTCTCTTTTTTTTTTTTTTCAAGGTTTGATAGACACACCTAATGATGTTTCTTCTCCGTGCAGATAAAACAGCAGCAATGAAAACGCTGCTAGCGGTTATCTCAAGTCCGTATCCCTCCACAGACTCCAGCACCCCACATCCAATCGATCTACCGCACACCTCACGACTGTACAAGACCCTTCTGCAAGGCGGGCACTTTAACCGTGCCACCGGAACCATCGATACCTCTCAGACTCACTGGGACTCTGAAGCCTTTGCCAGATCCTTTGTAGCGAACGTGGGGAGGGATGTGGTGGTGTCAATGTGCACGAAGGGGGCGGGGGACGGCGCCTTTGTGATTAGTGCGCTGTGTGAGGCGTTGGTGAGGGGAGGAGAGGGTTGTGCGGAGGAGAGGAAGAGGATCAAGGAGTGGTTTGGGGGCAAAGCGGTTAAGGAAATCGAGGCAGGGGAGGCAAAGGGGAAGAAGATTCTTGTTGAGAACCTTGCATTGCTTTAAGCTGACTTATTGGTTAACCTTAATCTCTCGTAGATGTAGATGGATGTCCTTTTTGTATCAATGCAATTAGGCCTCAAGGCTATGATTCAAAAACAACAAGAGGTAACAAATCACGGAGACAACAGCAAGTAGAGAGTAGAAGATATCATGTACCACGGCAGCCACCTACCCAAGTTGATTCAGTGTATTTGTTAACACCCGCGTATCATCGTCTTTGGTGATCTTCAGGTCTTCACTGACCCTACCCGCAAGCAACTCTGCATTGAGCCTCCATGTCGGATAACATGCCTCTCCTTCTTTACCTCCCCAATCAAAGTCGAGCAACATTACAGATTGACCTTCGCAGGCGATGTTAGGACTCCGCAAGTCACCATGGCAGAGACCCTGATCATGAAATTTTTTCATGAGGGCCCGAAGCTGACCCTCCCAAAGCTGTCGGTGAGTTGGCAGCAGTGGGCTCTGAGTGATCAGCGTGGCAGACTCCACATATCTCATAGCTACTGCACACCACCCACCAGGAAGTCGCTCGAAAGCATAAATGGCTGGGGCATGACCTAACCTGGCGCAAAAATCGTGCAACTCGATCGAATACTTTCGAGCAAACTTGATGACGACACGTTGCTTGTTGGGACCTGGCGTCTCTGCGACATACAAAAGGCGGTTGGGCAGCCTGTCGGGAAAGAAACTTTGGATCTCAAAGCTAAAGTATTGGTCAGATGGGGGGTAGCTGCGCAGTCTGGTGACTGCAGGAAAATGGCGGGCAGGAGTAGGAATTATGGCAGCCGGGTTCCTCGAATTCATCGTGGCATCCTGGATGATACAGGCTTGCAGCACAGATGAGGCCACAAAGGCAGAATAGAGACAAGTGCGATCCTGACCATCCGAAGCTGACGCAATGCAGGAGAAAGTTGGAGTTAGGGGAATAATCCGAAAACGATGGTCTATGGCGATGATTCCATAGAATGTGATATCACATCCTACAAAATCAGAATAAAGATAAAATGCAGAGATATCCAACTTACCAACGATCGTCAAGCCAAGGCAAGGTACCCTCCATCCTTCATAGATTTGTTGGTTCACTCTTGAATTTAAACGCGCAACGTAGCCTGTAAGTTCAACTGTGGGGAGTGAATTAATCCCGGCAATCGAATTTTTGAACTCTACACCCATGGTCCCTGCGCCATGAAGCGCAAGATTGTGACCGTTGGATCTGATAGAACCGATGGCAGCGGCGGAAATCGGAGGAATGGGAGTGGCTCTGCGTGCGGCAAAAATCTCGTTAAGGCAGTTTAGGCCTACATCCCTCCGCTCATCTTCATGGCCAAAGTATCCTGTCATTTTGTTTGCAAAATCGTCCACTGCATCCCGCAACTTCCGAGTATCAACATCAGCGAGCCCAGGCACATCGTCATGACCGGCCATAACATCCAAAAAGTGACCAAATCCGTCATAAAGAAGTGGGATAGGCGGGATGTCAGCATCGGGATGTGGTCGGTCATCCAGGATCTTCTCCGATGGGTCATTTTGAAGATTCAGATATGACGATGGTTTGCCTGCATCTGAGGGAGCCATCGTGGCCAGTCTAGTTCGCTTCAAGCGATCGTGAACGCCTTCGGCCGGTTCGCCAGGCTTGCGTTTGCCTGGACCTGGAAGAAATGGAATTTGAGCAGAGGGGAAGTTAGATGTCCGAGTCGCCCGCCCGCGCAAACACGATGACAGAGGCACAGCACCGGAAGATCGGGAAGAGGTTACGGGCGATCGAAGAGTGGGAAGAAATCCGCGAGGATAAATGAATATGAAGTGAAGGAAGACAAATCAGCACGCTCATTGTCCTAAGTACTCACCAACGAACGGAGTCTGTACGACAACATGGACGTAGCCTTGATCAGGATTAGGAAAGGTGTCCGACATAATGTCCGATTCCAGGAGATAATCGTCTTCTACCAACTGATATTTGCTGAGTTCATTTTTAAGGTTTTTCGTTATTTTAATGGAAAACTTGTAGGGAGTAAGTTATTATAGGGCATGGAATAGACAACGCCGAAAAAAATTGCTAACCTTGTAGATGGTAAGTTGAACTGCGTCAAGTCCAGCAAGTGCATGAGAATTCTTCTTCATAACTTCCTCTTTGAGGTCGTCCACTGTGTCTTCGTGTGCGACGTCGACAGAAAAAGGGCGTTCGCTCTTTCCGAGGATCCAGCAAAATAATTTCATCGTCGTAGAGTCCTTCGTGACTGTGTCAGTTAGTCGAAGACAGAGACGGTGACTCGGATCCGTGGCGTGGGAAGCGCGGGAAGGCCTTGCTCGCCGCTTTTGAAATGGTGCCAGAAACACGATCTCGCAAACGCTGCGACTTGCGAGAGTCGTCCATAGTTAAGATGATGTTGAAAGGGCAAAAGGGAAGAAAGAACGGAGTCGAATTTCGTACGCACTTATTATATACAGAAGCATTCAGAATTCGGTACGCCAAAAAAGCGAAGAAACGTCCAAGAATTCTGACTAAGCAAACACAGAAAACACTATAAAGGAAGTCGAAGACTCGGACACCAAATGTCGCGTTTGTCCCGAGGAGACCACAGTAAGTTTGGGATCTGGAATGTCCGAAAAAATGTTCGGCGGGCATGTTCGTCAGCTATTTCCATAACGCCCATCGTCACCTCAATAATCTTTTTTTTTTCTCTCAAGATTTACATGCATTGAGCACTAGTACTACATAAGGCGCACGGGAAGCATAAGGCTTCCCTTAGGTGTAATGGGTCTTCACTTGAGTGAATATTAAAGTCTGTTGTGTAGCTGTATATATATGGTCAATCTATGGAGATTATGCATGGAGAGATGGAAGCGCCCATGGCATGCGAAGACACGGTTTGTCTCCAGAATTCCAACGCTGAAGATGGTTTATTTCCATTCTCTGATCTCCTTCACTTGTTCCCCAATGTTGTCATACTAACTCTCCACTTTCCGTTGTCATCGAGAAACCCTTGGTTGGAGGTACTGGAAACCGTACCAGCTCTCAACTTGCTTAGAATGGAGGGCCCTGGAAAAGAAACCATTCTTTGTTTGATGGATGTGCTCAGCTTGGAGGGTGGCCGTGGTCCTCTGCCAGTGTGCCATTCGCTGGAAGCGGTTTTAGTCTACTGTAAGTATTTACCACGGGCAACAAACCTTGAAGGAGGCTAGCCGAGTCATCGTTCACGAGCGGCCGATGCCCTGCGTTCCATGCCAATTCATTTTCTCCCTACTTTGAGTAGCTACCAGCATACACGTTGCATTCGATAGTATATGATTGGATCAATGATTGTACTTATGTGAGCCGATTTAACGGGATCTCCCGGATCGCAACCGCTTTAGGAAGGTGCACGTGACCACGTGACCTGGCGCGTCGCGTCTTTCTCCCTCCGTTCCTCCTCCCCCGCCGCTTCGTCCCACCGCTTCGTCCCCTCCCGAAATTTCGCTTCTGCTTGACCATTATGTATTTACTGTATGTAAAAATGCAATTTTTTCCCTAGTCATGGCCTTCCCCCGAGCAAACAAGCAGCCTCGTCCCGAATGGATCTCGCGGCGCGTCCTTGATTAGGGCCTGGGCGCCGTCAATCTTTTTATAAAAATACAAAATTGGCAGAGTGTCTCTGATGCACCTGCTGCTACATGTTTATCACTTTTTTCGCTCTTCAGGGGGAAATTTGGATGGTGGTTTGCTGCAAGGGACTGAAAATAAGTCAGATAAGCACACATAAGTCACCATAAGTACTTATGTGCAATGGATTTAGGTTAAATCGAGTTCAATTTAGTGGATTTAAGGACCCGTGATGCCAACCAGCTCAATTTAAGATGCATTTCCATGAGCTGGCCTATCCCTGCACCCGATTTAAGGGTTTTTCGGCTCAGGGACCTAACCCTCTGCTATATCACATTGGCCGTATGTTTGTGCTGCCCTGGTGCTGCCTTGAATTCATGAAATGCACATGATATTGCAGATAATAATATCTACATGACAGGTAGTATACTGGGGGGGGAAAAGAGAACTTCAAAACTAAACCCAGCCTTCCATTTCCCAAGATTGATGTGAGCACGCCACAACATACGTGTGAGAGTGCAGGACTCATGCAGAAGGAGGAGGACCGCACGGAGAGGTTGGAGTGCGAGGCGGGAATGGCGCGTGGTGGGATGGTGAGGTAGTTTTGGGTGTTGGTTTTTGAAGGGGCGGCAATGTGGGTGCCAGTTGCGACGACGGAAGGGGACAGCTGGAGATGGGTGTAGCAAACTGGTTGCTTGTGAGAGACTTGCCTGTGTTGGGACGGACTGGGTCTGTGGGTTCGGATGGGCTCCAAATACCACATCAGGGTGTTGGTTGTGGCATGGCTGAGTCGGGACAATGTCACTGAGAGGCGACGTCGTGATGAACTTGAATGGCGACTGTTGATGGGAGGGATGTGGGGAGGGATGGATGGGGAGTGTGAGAGTCGGTAACGGTCGCCCTAGTGGTGATAAAGTGTCGTGCGCGTGTGCGTGCGCCGTGCAGTCAATCTAAATCATTGAAAGGATATAATATTGGTATCAGTGTATGCATTGTATCATTGAATTTCAAGACGTACCTTGTAGATCCCCCGCTTCACGGGCCTTCTCTCATGTTCCAGCTAATCCCCACTGCTGGATGTATGTTGTGTTCCCATTCCAACGCGTGTTTTTGTTTGCAGTTCGCATGCTCGAGCGCACAAACGAAATGGCCTCTTGAAGGCGAGGACGTGATGGGAGCCGAGCTCCACGTGGCGTAGCGTTGAGCGCGTCACCTGGAGGGGGTTGGCCGCAGCAAAGAGGGGGTTGAGCGATGGAGGCAAGAGAGGCAAGGGATGGAAGTCAGGGTAGGTGAGCTAGAAGAAGATGATTTCTCACGGAAAACGGAATCCGCTGATGGGCGCAATTTATCGAATTTAACATTCAGTCCCTTAAATCGAGTGAAATAATTGTACTTATTTATTATGGCAACAGGGATCAGCCAGCTTCAAAATCACGGCTAACACCGAAATTTGTACACTGCCGATTGATATGCCGAAGTTAATTATTGTATATGTTAACATAATATTGTTTAAAATCATCACATATTTCCTATTTGTCCGATCCAACGCGCCAATTCATCCTACAGCCTACAACGCGCGCCTCTCATCTCTCATCTCTCACTGCCATTCTGTCTTCCAGCAAGAAGATTCGTGTTGTGTCGCGTCACGCCATATACCTCCGCTAACCACTCTTCACGTCGCAGCAGGTCTAATTGTGTTCTCACTCCACTCACCAAAAAGGTCTCCAAGAAGCTTTTCATGAAACTTACCGACGATGTGGCACTACTCTTCTAACCGATTCTCAAATTTTAACAAACAGGTGATTAAATCTTTATATTGGATTTTTTCGTGTTGTTAATCGTAGGAATTTATATCAGTGACCTTGGCCATATTTTTGCAAAAGGGAATGTTCCTGCCACACTTCAGTCTTTTGATACTGAGCACGTTTGCAACCGCTTCTGCACATGATTTGCTTAGCCCACCAATTATGAAGATTGTGAGGTTGCTACATAGGTCCAGTCCATCGAACGTGAACTATGCTTCCTCCCGAAACACTAGTTAGCATCTGAATTCAACTTCAATTCCCCATTTTCACAATGTTACCAACTATCATTCAACTATTTGTTTACGCTACATAACTACTCTACCAAACTCTCCTATGTATGAACACCAATAGTAATCATAATGTGACTAGTTAAATAGAACTATACAATGCAGGAGAGGGCCGTGACTGAGGAGGATACTGGTGAATTGTTGAGACCACTGTCTGTGGTGCGCACACGACGTCGAGCACTGTCACTGTGGTTTGTTTCGCGTGTTCTGTGTACGTTACTGAGTCACAAATGACCTAAGTGCAGAGGGTTAGAAATGGACGGGCGACAAAGTATCAACACACTTTTCATAGAAAATCTTCAGGATACCACAGGTCTCCTCATAGATAAGACCAAAACATGCTTCACACCTCCACAACGAGCGAGACAATGATTAGCAGGCCTCATGATACCTATGCGACTGGTGAGTGTATGAGAGGACGGCAGTGGCAGAAAACATACCCTTAATGTTATCGCGAAGAATCTTACAGTGACACTCAGTGAAAGTTGACTCTTGCTCTGAGACCCACCTGAGAGCCCACTCCGCCTCGCACTTGACGCAAGGAGTTATCCCAGTCGCATCGAAGAGATACTCATGCTGGCCTGGGTCCATCCTTGAAAAGCAACATGCCTCGGCTGCTTAAACTTAAGTCGATAAGCCTTTCAATGGCGATAGCGTTAGAGGCAGTGAAAAAAGCGGGGACATGGGAGCTGAAGTGATGTTCGTTGTCATTCATGTGGCAGTCGCGGAGATCCTTCAAAATCTTGTTGATGAGTCGAGTGAGAACCCAATTAGACCTGCTGCGACGTGACGCGTGAAGAGTGGTCAGTGGAGGTATATGGAACGACGTGACGTCACGCAAACCTTCTTGTTGGGAGACAGAATGGCAGTGAGCTCTGAGAGATGAGAGGCGCGCGTTGTAAGGCTGTAGGATGAATTGGCGTGTTGGATCTGACAAATACGAAATATTTGATGATTTTAAACAATATTATGTTACATATACAATAATTAATTTCGGCATATCAATCGGCAGTGTACAAATATCGGTGTTAGCCGTGATTTTGAAGCTGGCTGATCCCTGTTGCCATAATTTATAATCTAAACTTCATGTTTTGCAGGTCAAATTAATATCTAGAAATGTAGCTCGTTTTTGAAAACCCTGGATCGACGGCTGGGTAAGAGGCTGAGCATACTTAGTGTTACTCTGAATATCCCCTACTTACCACGATGTCTCGAGTTGAGCTCGCCAAAATCTCTTCCTTGACGTTCTATAAGGGCGAATATACGGCTGCTCGCCGTACCCCTGCAATCCCACAACTTGTATGTCAGGGAAAGCCATGCAAACTCTTCCAACCAGAAGCCGTTCGATGCGTCAATCTTGGAGGGGCCGGCGTAGATGTTGATTGGAAAGTGGGTACCACATCCTTTGAGGCTAATAGATACTTATGGGCCATTGACAGTGCGAAGCCGACCTACCAGAAGCTCTCAGATTCGGAAAAGTTGAAGTCTCTTGTGAGGGATGGTCAAAACCTGGGGATCCATATGTGTTGAAAGGTGTGTCGTTTTTTGTCCATTCATGGTTAAATGACCTCAAAGTCATTGTAGGTTCATGTTCGTTGAATTACCGGCTTGTTCAAGTCCCAGATTCCCTTCTCAAGACAGACTCACCAATATTCGGTTCAAATCCATTCAAAAGTATGCCATTCATTGATATAAACGCTCTCTCCAATAGAATCTCACTGATCGCCTTCTGCAGCATACGATATCTCAACTATAGTTTTCTCCATCCTTTGGGTCTCCATCCTCGTATTCATCCTTAATAGCATGATTCAGTCGTGCCTTCGACGCGACCCCACCCGCGCTCCCAGGACCACCACCAACTCCGCCCCAAGACCAGGCGGGGGAGGATCAGGTTGGTTCCCTGGTGCCCATCCAGATGATTACTCTCCTCCACCTCCCTACTCCAAGAACCCAAGCCAGGGTTCCAACGCCTGGGGAAATTGGAGGCCTGGGTTCTGGACTGGTGCGGCTGCAGGTGGTTTGGCAAACCATCTTTGGAATTCTGCAACGAATCGGCAACCTGCCGCTGCTGGGGCTGCGTATGATTGGGAACGAGACCGAATGGCCGCGCCGATCAGGCCAGGGCCTTCGTCATTCTTTGGCGCCAGACGAGCGCCGTCATCTGGCTATGATGATAATCGCGGTGAAGGTAGTTCCAACCTCGGAGCGACGAGAAGGAGTACAGGGCTTGGTGGTTCGAGTGTACGATAAGGTAAGTAATTTTGAGCGTGTCCCATACGACAATTCACACTTTCATCTCTAGGAATATGGCCTCAATTGAAGTATTCAGGTATCAACGCGGATGATGTATCATATCAATTTATTTTGAATCCAGCTTGATTAATTGCATTAGCTTCTCAACTGCATACCAACAAGTCAGTTCTGGTTGATCCGAGACTTTACACAACGAAACACGAAAAGCGCGGCTGAACAAGACATGGGTAAACATCGGTATTGCACCATCAGAGCTTTAACATTTCGCGAAGGTTCCACTTCTTCACATCAATGATACGATTTTGCATTGTCCTGGTTACTCTCCGGCAAGACTCAAATGTTCCTGCTTATCAGTATATTCTTATAGCTCCCACCAATACGTCCCTGCGCATGAATATCATCCGGCGGCGGTGCCCCATATGTACGTGCGCCCTCCTCTCTCTCTGTATTAATTCTTCTCATGCAATCTCATGCAAGGCGCCCCTTGTTTTGTTGCCATAGATTTTTCAAGTTGCTATGGGTTTAGATGAAATATCAAGACGGTGAGCTACGGAGAGGGTGCTTTGGTCGTATTCGGCATTTTCGACATACCGCCAACACGTGGGGCTATATAAGACCACGCTGGTAGCAGGCATTCCAACAAGCACCCAGGAAATGAAGTTATCAACATCGTTCGTATCTCTTGCTGTCCTGGTGACCTTGAGCACACCGGCTGTTTCTGTCGCGCTCTGGGGTCAGTGTGGGGTGAGTATAGCCGCTCCACTTTTTTTGTGTTCACTGATTAGATATTATTATCTTAGGGTCAGGGCTACTCTGGCTCCACTCTCTGCGATGCGGGTTCAACCTGCGTTTACCAAAACCCTTGTGCGTCCTCCTTGTTTCTGTAAAAACATAATTAACATTCATTCAAAGATTACTCTCAGTGCCTTGCTTTCTCGGCGGTGGTTGCTAGCACCACCACCAGCACACCAGCAAAGTGTCGTAATAAACCATCGTCGACTACCTCCACGCCGGTATATAGTCCAGCGACGAGCACCGCTGAGGCAGTGACAACCACGACGTCCACAACGTCCACTGCTGAGCCAGTGACAACCACAACGTCCACAACGTCCACCGCTGAGGCAGTGACAACCACGACGTCCACAACGTCCACTGCTGAGCCAGTGCCAACCACGGCGTCCACAACATCCACAACGTCCACAACATCCACAACGTCCACAACGTCCACAACATCCACAACGTCCACAACGTCCACAACGTCCACCGCCTCCCCAGTGACAACCACGACGTCCACAACGTCCACTGCTGAGCCAGTGCCAACCACGACGTCCACAACATCCACAACGTCCACAACGTCTACAACATCCACAACGTCCACTGCGCCTTCGTCTTCGATGTGCCCGGGAACTCTAACCAAGTTCAAATTCTTCGGAGTAAGCGAAGCTGGTGCCGAATTTGGAGGGACTATCCCGGTGGGTCATTTATTTAACTCTGTGGAAGTTTGCCTGTATTCACACGAAACTAGGGAGTTTTGGGCACCAATTATATTTGGCCGACTACCAGGTACGTTTGATCTAGCATTGTTGCTGTGATAACCTGTCAACGACAACAGCTCTATCGATTACTTCATGGGCCAGGGTTTCAACACCTTCCGTATCCCATTTTTGATGGAGCGTATCAGCCCCCCTGCAACTGGTCTTACTGGTCCATTTGACTCCACTTACCTCGGTGGCTTGACGACTGTACGTATTTCTATGGTTAACATGGTCATCAAACAGTGAAAATCTTCGATTTAGCTCGTCAACTACATTACAAGCAAAGGAGGCTACGCCGTCGTTGACCGTAAGGGCACCTCCGACGATTCAAATCTGTAACTCATATCGTTCAACAGCTCATAACTACATGAGATACAATGGCTATGTCATCTCGAGTACCTCAGAGTGCGTTCCATTTTTGGAGTGGTTCGGTCTCAACGTTGACGCTTTTCTTTTGTTAGTTTCCAAACATGTGAGCTAACACGACCCAAAGGGAAGTCTTGATTGCTAAAGTTTTCTAGGGTGGAAGAACTTGGCCGGTCAATTCGTGAGTGCGATCTAGATACTAAAAGTAACCCTGGCTTACGCAGGCAAAATGCAGAAATCCAACTCCCAAGTCATTTTCGGTATGCTACTTCGAGAGTAAATGACCGTATTAGCTCAAAGCTCAAAAGATGTTCAAAATGAACCCCATGATATTGACGCAAGCACCGTCTTCAATCTTGTACTCCCCATTATCTACCTATTCTCTGGCCAATGCTAACATAACATTTTAGAACCAAGCTGCCATAAACGGTATCCGCGCTAGTGGTGCAACTACTCAACTAATTCTTGTCGAAGGTTCGTCGTCCTCTTGTGGCCATGCAACTTATCCTTTTGACAAGAGAATTTGACAGGAACTGGTGAGTGTTGCGAGCACATGTTTATCTAATTCTCACATCGCCACTGTTAATGCAGCGTACACTGGAGCCTGGAGTGAGTTAACTGAAACCCTAAGATGTCAGGGACGTTGGAACGAGCTAATATCGAATCTCCTAGGCTGGACTACATCTGGGAACTCTAACGTCTTCGCTGCTATTCAGGACCCCAACAACAACGTCGCTATCGGTATGCTAACCAATCCAAATATGAATCTAGGTGTTGACCTTTGGGCCAGAAATGCATCAGTACCTCGACGGTGACTCCTCTGGAACATCAGACACTTGCGTTTCACCGACCATCGGAGCTGAACGTCTTGCTGCCGCTACAGCATGGCTCAAGGCAAACAACCTCAAGGGATTCTTGGGTGAAATCGGTGCTGGTTCGAACTCGAACTGTATTTCGGCTGTTTATGGAGCTCTTTGCTCCATGCAGCAAGCAGGTGGCGTTTGGATTGGTATGAGATTTGTAATTTTCGCGTTGTTGCAGAGTCTGATTCTATTACTAGGTGCTTTGTGGTGGGCCGCAGGACCGTGGTGGGGAAATGTAAGTACAGGAGCCCTTGTGGTTCTGATGAGCATTAATTTCGTTTTCCCAGTACTTCCAATCGATTGAACCACCCAATGGTCCTGCTATCTCCTCAATCCTTCCTCAGGCCCTGAAACCCTTCATCTAAGCTGTGCTATGAAGACCATGTGGCGGTGAAAAGAAAAAATCTTTAAGGATGCTCTGTTATCATAACATTTGTCGCATTTATTCCAAATTTATTCGTTCAAATCGCTTCTGGGTATATAGTGTACAACATTCGAAGCTTAAGCATTATGCAGTTGTTGTACCGTTCAAAATAAATGGAAAGGCGGGTATGGCGAAAGCAGGCGAATGACAATCGTAGAATACAAAGCTCTTGATATCACAGAAAAATACACACAAGGGCAAAGATTGAAAAAAGACTAAAATGAGAATGGAAGAGAAAATGTCATGCGACAGATATAAGCTGGTAGAAGAGTCATCTGAATCGCGGGTGATGTGAGTTGGAGCTACTTAGTAACCGCTCTGTGTGCCTCCTACAGCCTGTTGGTTTTGCAGAGTGGACGATGCTGGCGTCATTGGCGGGTGGGGCAAAGAGTGAAACAAGGGGTCGTTGGCTTGTAGTGATAAGACAGCGGGGTAGGCAGGTGAGGGGGAAGCCTGAAGAGGAGAAGATGGCATGTGCCCGTTGATGTGTTGGACACCATTCCGAACCATTGGCCGAGGTCCGTTCATCGATGGGGGGCGCACGGGTACTTGTGCGTGGCCAGCATTGAGAGTAGATCCATTGAGCGCTTGAGCGTCCACCACATTCATGGCCGTCGGCGTCCTCTGTAACGCTGTTCCCATTGACCACTGCATTTGCTTTGCAGGTGATAACTTTGAGTTCATGCTGTTGCCAATAGGCATCTGCACACCCATGTGGTTGCCATTGGGTATCTGCATATAAGTTCGGCCGTTGGCGGGTGTAAAATCCGTTGTCGGCAGGTTAGCAAACGCTGACTTCAATTCTTGAACCTGCTGCAAACTGAGGCTCCTTTGTCCGGTTGCTTGAGTCGTGTTTGCAAGGGCTGCTGCCGCAATGGGCGTCATAGGCGTCAAATGGAATCCATTGGTAGACACCATTTGTTGCTGATTCTGAGACTTCGGACGTGAAGGTGTGTCGCCGTCCAGAGCTGGATTCCCACTGTCTGACTGTTGCAGAGCAACGCTCCCAATTTGAGTCAAATCGGGTTTCACTAGGTCCACGTGTGGCATAGAAATGGCAGGACGGGCCATCCCACTAGTACCGTTGGGGCTTGGTTGATGAGGACTGGGAATGGGAAGAGAATGAGGGGGTGAAATGACGGTTGGTAAGCCATTTGTCTGCAGGTTTGATACAGGGATCACAGAAGGGCGCATTCCGCCATTGGATGAGATGCGCATTTGTGGGATAGAGCTAGGCGGAGGCATCTTTCTGATGTGGTGCTGCATCGATATTGGGGTGCCAACTGGTACCATCGCTAGAGGATGAGTAGGGGACGTCCCAGGTGGACACGCACGCGTGGCTCCTTGCGCATCTCGTCGCATAAACGGCGGCATGCCTAATCTGAACGGCAATATCATCTGTTGACGACCCTCAGCGTTTTGTATGAGCAAAGACGGATCGGTGACGATGTGATGGTGGTGATCGATATCGGAAAATAGGGACATCCTGTACTTCAGATACCTAGAGTATTGATGAGCACAGGCACCATGCAAGAAGTGAGACTGACATACTTTAAGTCATAATCATCGACCAAAACTCTATCCTGCTCATCGGAGCCTTCTGGACCAACAGCTGGCATGTCATCTGCGTCGAACTTCCATTGCTCTTCCAAACGCCTTCTTGCTTCGAGCTCAGCTCCGTCGTCGTCAATGACCATCCCATCATTTGAATTGAAGGGGGAAGGTGGGCGTGCTCTGTAGGTAATTGGCCGGGCAGATAAGTTTCTGCGATCAATATGTACTCTACCGCCGCGGCCGTAACGTATTCGAAGTGCATGACCTCGTCTGGGTTTTTGGCTTTGAGCATCTGAGGCAGGATTAGAGGGCCAAGACGGAGTGTTCGGAGGAGGTATGTATTTGAACAACCGTGAAGCATAAGGAACCTGTGGAGGCTGGTAGGGGTCCTAATTTCAAGTAGATGAGATCAAGTTTTCGCCTTGATAAAAAATACGATAAGTTTACTGACATCGACGCAATCCTCCCACTGATGATCTATGTCTCGTTGTCGGGCAAGGATAGTCTCTATTTGGTGGGAGATCGCAGATAGGCGTTCCTTGGGCTTGATTGATATTTCTGGACGAATTAGAGGGATGCCAAGATCGTTTACTCCAATTTTGAGGCCAGTTACGCGACTAATAAATGATGACATTAGAAGAAAGTCCTGGTTATCGTGATTGACATACGATGCATCAGGTTTCTTCCCTGGTTTTTCCTTGTCAATCAGAAGCTCATCGTCGGCCTTGTCGACAAATGCAGGGAACCTGCGTTTGAGATCGACAAAGGCAAGTCTTTTCTCCCAAACCGCCTGCGCTTGGTGGGCACATTCTCTCTTTCGATTTTCTCGGGTGAGAATAGCCTTTGCCATTTCAAGAGGATAAGAAAGCTCTGCATGTAGCCGAGCGAGCTTGTCAGACGACGTTGCCTGAGAAGCTCGAGTCTTTCGGACAGCCTTTATTTCTCGTCGCCGAAAGCAGATGTATGACTCATTGGCTGTATCCGATTCGTCAGCCTGCGAAAGAACATTAACAGACTTTGCGTGGAATACGGTGGATAACAAACGTTGAGGGTAGGGATTATTCTGTGACCCTCTCGTTCAGTACGACGCTCCTTCCAGTAAGGATAAATAGCGCGTGCTATCCGAAGGAGCGTCGCCGGCGGAGGTATCCACGCGGGTACAATGTAAGTTGCAAAAGTCGCTGATGTCAACGGAGAAGCAAAGGCATCCTGATAATCTGAAAATGCGGGGAACGCCATTCCCACGTCGAAACTCTGAATTAAATAGATTTTTAGACTTTGACAAATGAAGGTGAGGGCTACGAACATGATGTAGAAACTCTGTCCTTTCATGCGTCACCTTCTCGAACAATCCCATGACTAGTTCGAACTCATCCTCCGATATCACTATAGGCAGGGAGGATTCGGGCTCCTTGCCCTTGACCTTTGCACTTCGAGCAGAAGTCCTTGTGGAGGAAGTAGATATTGCGCCTTGAGCGCTGGTGCCCTCACCACGAGCCTCCTCGTTATTCTTATCAAGCCATTCTTTGTCCCGCTCATCAATGTAGTACGTAAAACCGTTCGCGAGACCGTTCGTAATGGCTTCCTCCACAATCTGGGATGTACATACGTAAGTCGTGGGATCCTTCCACCGGGTGGAAGGGTACAGCTCTTCGTAGTTGTCGACGATTCCGGTCGAATCTGGAGTTGGGATAAAAGCAGGCGCTTGGCTCGCTGCAGCACCTCGCGTCGGTCTTGAAGGCCCATGCTGCTGCGTCGCCGACAGAACCTCCTGCAAATGATGTTCCTGATGGAGGGATTTGTCAGCAAATGTGTCATCAATCCGCGGAACACACAGCCACAATATGTGACATATCCGCGCTGAGAGGTGGGACATGCTCACATTGGCGTCCTCAGCATCGACGCCGGCAACCAAATTGGTGAGACGGTGTTTCTCCTCGTCCTCGTCCGGGATGAGCAAGGCATCACCCTCAATGTTGCCAAAGAGGATTTTGAGTCGGCTTTTGTTTGTAATCCGGTTGCGATTTCTGAGGGTCGAGGCGCCCGGAGGATGGTTGCGGGGCATATCATGGAGAAAGACAGAGGGAAAAAAGACTAGGAGGGAAACGATAATAATTTAGTTATGCGGGAAGCTTGAGCTCGTCGTCGATATTGTTGTCGGCACTGAGAGTTCGGATTTGCGCCGAAAAGTGGAATCGGCCCGGTAGATCACCACAAGAGCATTCAAATACGGCACTATTTGGTATGTAAACAACAAGTCAGGGAGTGCAAGAGAGTGCAAGGCGCTCTAGAGGGAGGTTAACGAGCTGCATCGTCTTTGATATCAAGTAAAAAAAAATGGAGAGGTTCAGCGATTTAGAACATCCCCCTGAGACAAGCCTGAAGCATACCTTCGATTATGTAAATACCCAATTTTGAGGCAGACTCTCGATTTCCACTGTCCAACACAAACATAAGTTTCGTTCTCCAGTCCACAAAGAAAAAGAACCCGTCACGAAAAATCATGAGGAGAAGGTGGGGTGCGTACGGCGAACAACGACGCTCGTCGAATAGGAAACGACTACAGGGAATCTCTGGGTTACGTTCCCGTCACCATTTCAATTCCACAGTGAAGGCTGTGACCAGATGCCATTCCAGGGAGAGAAGCCCGAACAGGTTTGATGTATGACCCGACCGGATATAAAATTGAGCTGGAGGCGGAGCAAACCCTGTGCTACGAGGTTTTGAAGGCCAACAACAAAATCTTGTTCGACGTCGCATTTGATGTTTAACTCCAGGTAGTCAAGTTTCCTCACAGCTCCAACAACCCCTGCCCTCGTCCGGATGGCAGTTAATAGCGACTGATGCGAAAAGGAATCGACGACATCGCATTCAAACTCCTCTAGATGAGGAAGCCAACATGGCCCATTTTGACAGTTGTTTGGAGTCATTTTCTCAAAGAAGGAAGTGGTGACAGCTGCAGGTGTCCAGACAACCCAGGAGGTGGCATGGTCAATACCTGTAAAAACAAGCCGCGACAAGTAAGGGGTCTGGTCAAGGCATTTGATGATCCCGGCTGATGAGAACGACCTGCATTCGAGGTCAAGACACTTCAGTTTAGTCCCTAACTTGAAGATATGTGATAGAAAAGCCAGCAGTGAGCCATTAGTACTCGCCAAGCTAGTTCTGAACTTCAGACGTCGAAGAACAGGTAGGGTAAGGTGTGTGAAAAAGTCGGCTGAGTTGGTCACTTCATGGAAGTAAAGTTCCTGAAGGTAGGGGAGGGTCACAACGAGTCTTTTGTCAATGGTGCCACATGGAAGCGATAAGTCACAACTCGTAAGCAGTGAGCACTCTTTCAGTATTCGAAGAGGTTCCGGGCCTTCACGAGAACGATGATGGATGGTAAGATGAGTGAGCTGCAATGTTCCTAATCGTTGTGTAGAAATTAAACCTATGAGGGAAAGTCGATGCAGTGACGGTGGAAAAGACTGGGTCAGCAAAACACTGTGAAAATCCGAAAGGTTGATGATTGTCAGTGACTCTAAGGTGGGAACTTGATCTTGGGACAGTGTTATGATTGATTGAACCAAATCCGTAGAAAACTCAAAGCGCATTCTCTTCCAACGCTTGGAGTGTCGCAAAACCTCTTTGAAGAGAAGCCCTGAATTTAACTGTTCAGTTCCGCTCTTCCCGAAAAAAGAAATTGACAGAGGAAGATTGCTCGATCTCCTGAGCCACTCATGAACAACTCCAGTTCGTTGTTTAGTTTTCGCGGAGAGAATCTCGACGTCGGAGAGATCTGGCACAGGGATGTGGAGGCTTGTCCACATCGCTGGAGTGGTCATAGTTATCTGCCTCCAATCGCTACACACCCGAGACAAAAGAACCGGAGCTTCGTCACAACTCATCGCGCAATTCCTATCCGTCGGGAGACACCACAAAAAAACCTCCCGAATCAGATCGCACGGAAGACGGCGAAAAGGTGACATTAATGCGCGATGGGCTTCGATAGACTTCTTGAGCGCATTTCTCTCCTTGAGTAGATCATTGATTTGCGAGTCGAGACGCGAGAGTTTGGACAGAGGTTCAACCAGAAAAGTTGAAATTTTTTTGATTTCTTCATCGGAGGGGGTATAATTTGTGTTTAAGTGACTCTGGAACGGAGAATCCATTCGGGCGCTAAAAACTCGGAGGTTTTGGACGTGTCAGGAGACTTCACATAAATTCTCACCTAAACGACAGAAATTCGTAAAACGCCGGTGCATCCCTGGGCAATAGCAGGCTTTGCGGTGGAGATGTGTAGAAAGTTGCAGTTCACGTTGTGGACAATCATAACACTCACAAATAGCTATAGCTCGATATTGGTACCGATGGGAATTAATTCCTATACCAAGTCGATTTGGCTGCATCTCTTGCGATCGTATTTCTGGACGCGTTCTACCATTCAAGCTGCATTTCTATGGCTAGCAATGGATCGGATGTCGCAGAACGAGCAGACATACACAAATCTTGCAAGTCCATCGAAACGCTGCTCAACCTGCTCAATGAATATTGTGAAGCAGCAGGAGTGGTAGCTAACCTGCAGAGAAAGCTTGCTAAAGCACTACGGGAAGCAGCAGGGGTCAAAGTCACCAAGTATATTCCTGGTACGCTGGTGTAAATGGCGTGGTTGAAGAAAATGAGTTGACAATAGCACCCTCAGCCAACACTATGAACACCAGTGCAACAATATTCGAGGCACTGTCGGACATTGACGCCAAGTTCGCCAAAATCGCGGACAAGGAGTACGACTCAATCAGTACCGAGGTCAAGAAATGGTTCAAGAAACTCTCTGTAAGCTTTCTCCTTGCTTCTCATTCACCCGCATTGACATCTGTTAGAAAGAGGAGAAAACTCATGACGAGAAGATGGCCGCTGCGAACGCGAAGATAAAGCAAGCCGGCAAGTAAAACCTTTTATCTGCATTGAGTGGCTGAAGGCTCATATGACATGAAGGTCAGGTGTATGAGAAGAAGTCGAAGAAGAAAGCGACAGATGTCACTGAAGAGCATGCCCGTTATATCAACTTGATAAGTACGCTGGGACCAGAAATATCACAGGAGAAATAGTGAGCATCTCTTGATTCTGAGTTTCTTGATATTTACGCGCTATCAGCAACCATGCATTGAATGTTACGCAGGGGCACATGACAACGACGTTTAGCGTTGCTGCCTGCCTTTCGCGCCTCGCAGATGCAGAGTGGCTCAGAGTATGCGAGGGTGTCCGTCGGGTTTCGCCTACCGTCGGACCATTGGGACAGTGGCGAGCTTTGTGCGAAGGAGGCTGGACAGGGCCTGTCCCGCCTCCGCTTGTTCCCGATGAGGTGCAACCCCTACAAGTAGATCCAGAACCTACCGATGTGCGGCAAGTTCAAGAGGAGCAAAGATTGACATCACCATCTTCAAGTTCAGAAGCTAGACCGTCTCGCGAGTCAGTAGAACAAAGTCGTGGTGAATATCGGTCTCCAGAAACAGAAATGCTTCAGCATGACCAGTTGTCCTCCTCACGCGGGGCCATTCATGCTTCGACATCTTCGTATGGCGTAATTAATGCGTCTCATTCGCCTCAGCCTCCCATGTCTCCACCCGATACTTTACGATTGCCCTATGCGGAAGCAAACTCAGGCTCTGTTCGCTCTCTATCCGCGTTCCCCTCACCTCCGACCCACTTTCCACTTCCCCCTCCTCGGCAGCAGCAGCAGCCCTTAAACCTCTCCCACTCTTCTTCATCAAATATTAACTTCCCATCTGTATTGTCAGAGTCTCCCATTTCTGCGAATGAAGTTTTGACTGGACGCTTGGAAGTGGAACAACATTCCTCCAATTCTTCATTGCAGCCGAACCGGAGTGCACAATCTGCTCCTTCCTCTGCACCGTCTTCTCCTGAGGAAAGATTCCGGGGAAGACCAGTGGACACCCCATCTGGAGGAGTAACGCCTGCTAGCTTCCAAGAGGACACCTCAAACCGACCTTCACCAGCACGGGCTGAGGACTCTTTTCAGACGGCAGCCTCATATCAACGGGAGGTTGAGAGGGTTTCTCCTCCCGTTCCACCAGAGAGATCCCCTCCAGTGGGAAATATTTCAACTTCGAGGGGTGACTACTTCAATGAGGGTCGTGAATTTGGCGTCGAAAAGAGATTCGCGCCATCAGACAAGGTGAGGACGGTTGACGGTCAGAAGAAAGTGGAACGGACAGACGGAGGTACCAGCGGTAGCCTTGTTGCTGAAATGCGCAATCGTTATTCAAGTAATGTAAGTTCTTGCTCAACTCAACTTCTCGAATGTCATGTTGATCCTTTGTCGATTTCTAGTCAGGATCAACATCACCACCCCCAAGAAACTTGCCTCGTCCTCCCTTGAGTGTTTCCGATCTAGCTTCTAGATATCAACCTGGAGATGCGCCGATATCCCCTCGAGCTAGAGCAGTTTCCCCACCTGTCTTACGGCAGCTGTCCCTTCCTCCCCCAGAAACCGCTTATCAATCACCAGACCAACCAGACCGCTTTATTAATGGACATCGTACTGGACTTTCGATTTCTGGGTCAAGTCAAACACCAACACCTGAAGACCGTCGACGCCAGCGAATCGATGACCTTGCGAGCCTGGAGCTGGCGGAGAAAGAGCGCGAATTGAGACAAAGAGAATATGATATTGAGATGCGCTCAAGGGAACTGGAGCGAGACCGTGCTCGACTGCTGAGCATCCGAGAGGGTGGTGATGATGGCGAAAGGACCTCACAGTCAGCGCATAACAGCGCACTACGTCCTCGTGAACGTAGGACTTCCTTGCGACAACAGCTTCAGCGTCCGCTTTCTCAGATGGAACTGGAAGCGGTCAATGAACCCGTTCAACCCCTCCGTCCAAGGTCCCAACTCTCTCCGAACCGAGTGCATGCTGCTCCCTCACTATCATCCTCGAACGGGCAAAATTCTCCCCAAGCCACTCAGGAACAACGATATGACCAACGGAGCAGCACAAGCACCATGGACAGCAATACTACCGCATCGACTTCTCAACACGCACCCTACTGCGGCTGCAGCACGTGCTCCATAGCAAAGTACAAAACCTCGACGACTCCAACAACAAATGCTTCGAAACTGAACGAGAAATCCTCCAATAACAGTCTGAAACCCCCTTCAGAAAAACCCAAGAGTAGTTGGATGAGACGACTGAGTATGCCGGTGTCAGTAGGGAACGCGTTCAACCTCGACTCGAAACGGAATATTAGTGGTGGGAACTATGGATTAGGAAGTGGGGTTAGTAACACTATTGATGGAGGTGGAAGGGGTTTGTTCTCTCAGAAGAATACAAGTGCGACGGCGTTGGGGTCGCCTCTGGACGGAGGTTTGGATCGGGTAGAGGAAGATGGGAGGCTTGGTCGTGGAAATGCCGGAGCACTGGGAGGTGGACGGAGGAGTTATGATCTTCATGGACCCAGCAATCGGAGCATGACGAATCTTGGGATGACTGGACGACGATGATGACTTTCTCTTTGGGGTTTTTATACCATATGTAACTATGACCTGTATTTTATGCTCTTTCTGCGGCGATACCCCTCTTCTGTAATAAATAGTAAATATATTATACAACGTGCAGTGCGACATCTCTCAAGAGTCCTTCAAGTTGGACTGTAGTGGATTGCGTTTGTTCAAGGCAGAAACTGATCGATGATCGTTGAATCAATGAATGTCGCAGCAAAATGCCGCCGACACGGGATGATCAACGAAGAAAAAAATGGTTGGTACGTAGTATGCGCTGTATTGTGGAGGGGTGACTGAGGTTGGGTTATGGACGTTGTTTTAGAACGATGGGGTTAAAATGCGATGACAAAACATGTTGATGATGATGCAAGAGAGTTAAAAAGTAAAAAATTGAGAGAAAAAGGCGGGGATAATGTATGTAAATGTGTGGGGTAAAGAAGAAAAGTGTCAAAAAAGATCCGGTGCGTAGAAGACGAAGAAGAACAGGGTGGAAGAGGATGGTGAAAAGGGGTGTACGATGGAAGGGGCATAAGGGAGGTAAGTGGCGTGCATAACTGCAGAGAGCTTCACATTTTTCATGCCTTAGACAGAGACTAGCGAGACCTGGCCTTCCTTCGACAGGAGAGGGCCTGAAGGCGGGATGCCCTGGTCGTCGGGGACCTTCGTGGCGTCGGTAGTCTATGATGGGATGTAAACAGGTATCATCGGGTCAATCTGGTATGTAGGGCTTGGACCTCCAATCATGCACGGTCAAGTGTCGTCAACTACCGTTTAAGATAGGCCCCAAGCAGTAGAAGGTTCAAGGACCAAGTTCATTGAGCTCCTTTGTGCGGATGCCGGCAGCACGCCGTTATCTGGAGGATTATGTAGGAGGAGGAGGGGGATTGAACGTTGAGAGATCAGTCCTCGTTACACTCCTTGAGGGGTTGGCTGCTGTTGCACAGGCGTCGCAACGTCTCTTGCTTGTCCTTGCATATCCTAGAAAAGGAAGGCTTACTGTCAGCACACATGAGGTAACATGAGAAAAGCCATTCATACCATCCGCTGTTTCTTGATCGGCCTCGGCCGGATTGTCCCCGTTCCAGGTTTAGCATTCACAACAGTGTTGGACGCTGTCCCATTCCCGTTGACAGAAGCCGCACCAACCCCGTTCCCTTTCGACACGCCGTTGATTGGCAAGCCATTCACCCCAACACCGTTGCTATCGTCCCTTTCCCTCTTCTTCCCTCTCTGATCTATCGGATGTGCACTCGTCGGCGTAGCCGTTCTCAGTGGCGTTCCCACTCGTGCGGTAGGTACTTGAACGGGGGGCAGATTAGGTCGAGCTGTAGGGGGAGGGAGCGCCGAAACAGGCGCCGTTGATCCCGGTCGGGGAACGGGCCTTGGATCAACAGTTGATCCAGACTTCGGATTCGTAGAACCTGATTTGAGGACATGCGAGCCTGGGCGTGGAGAACCGCTCGCGAGTGCCGAACGTGGGGTGGATGTACCCCCCGTGCGTGGTGTGGGTGCGTCTGTCGGTCGGAATGTGGAGCCAGTTGCAGATGTAGGTATCGGTACTTGAGTGGGCGGGGGTGGGGTACCAGGCGACAATGCGAGAGCACCAGCTTGTTGGGCTTTTGCAAGGCGTTTGAGCTCTTTCTGCGATCCGAGAAAAGGGAAACAGAGAGGGATAAGTAGCCATTGACGATGGGAGGGAAACCCCGAGAAAAAACACAAGCACACGAACCCGTTTTTTCCTGTCCTCGCGAGCCTGTGCGGATTCCAGAACGAGAGCGTTGATATTCCACTAGATAAGAAGAGAGTTTATTGAACGAAGAAAAGGTGGGGAAGAAGCCACACGTACGCCTTTCAGGCCTTCCGGACTAACGGTGAAAGACTCCCGCTGGGTCCGAGCATCGAACGGCGTGATCTGGAAACGTTGTTTTGGTGGTACAAGCATCGTTGTCGTCAGATAATCGTCTTTCTTCATCGAGTGTTTCCCTATTTCGAAGAATAAAAGACCAAAGACCTCATGCCACAACGGAAAAAACGCACCAGGAACGCCTTTGATGAGGTGTTTATAGCTGTTCTTCTTCTTCTTCTCTCCTTTTCCCCCAGGACCGTCATCGTCATCACCATCTCCCCCATCACCAAGCCCCGTGTCCTCAAGTGAGTGATCAACCCCACCCGAGCCCGACACATCTCTCCCTTTCCCCTTGTCCACACCTCCAGGAGTAACGGGAGCCGGCGTAGTAGGATCAGCGCCGTCAAACCCAGCATCCGAGCCTGATACAGCGGATGGGCGCACGTATTTGTCGTAAGCCGGTAGCAGCTGGAAGCGTTTGAGCAAATCTTGCGTGCTATGAAGGTGCTGCCTTAGAGGAGGTGGAACTGGTAGAAAAAGAGGTGTAAATTCATGTCATTAGACTCGCAACCAAATCAGGATGAGGCACCTGGAGGTGGAAGGAAGAGGAGCGGAGGTTGGGGGTGATGTGGCGTGGATGAGGGCGACGATGAAAAGAACGCCTTGGATGTTGGCTGGGAATTTGAGGGACCAGCTACAGCGTTTGCATGTTCGCCGTTCATAACGGTGAGGGGGAGGTGGTGGAAGACGGCAGCAACGACTCAGACGCCTCGAATGACGTTCAACTGCCTGTTGAAGACGGGAGCGTTGGTAAGAGTTATGATACAACTGAAACGGCCTTGTTTACCCTTGTTGTTTTCTTCCCGATGAAACCGCAATGATTATTAGGATTATTAATTTAGCTCTCTACTCATCCCTGGTAACAATTGGGGCTGGAATTCACGCTTCCATAGTACCCAGGAGATCCCTCGCTCGTCGAGTAATAGTACCCCGCACCCCCACCCCGCAAATCCTTGCTGACACGCGATCGTCCACGTTCAACTTGAACATCTCTTCGTCTTGAGTGCGTCCAAATTACTCGCTTGCCCTTCTTACTTGGCCGAACAGGGTTCCTCACGAGGAGCACCATCACCAACGCGTAAATCAATATGGCTGCAGCCACAAAGAAGATGGCCTTGGGAAATCGAGCAACAGTGTTGCTGTACACCAGCCCGAAGAGCATAGGCTATCAAAACCATCAGCACGGAAAAAGGCAGAGCAAGAAGACCACACACCCCAAGAATCATTTGCCCAACCGATTGCAATACAGCAAACGCTCCAAAAAGTGACCCAGTTCCAACAGCAGTTTCGCTATCCACCACCACCTCCTCCGCCTCTACAGCCGCCGTTCCGGTGTCCAATGCCCTCACCTGCATCAAACAAAGCGCTAAACTGTGAACAGCGGGTATAGATCCACTTCCCAAGCTGTTCATCGATGACGCCAACACAAACAGCGCCTGACTTTGCGCATTGCTCATCTGGGGCATCGTAAAGCTGAATCCCTTATGGTGCCGAAACGCGTCATGCACATGGTACGAAGGTGCCGGAGCGAGCGTAATGAGTGCGTTGGCGACAATATCGATAACCAGTGACCATCGCGTCAGAGTCAGATCAAACGCGATTTCTCGACCAAGTTGGGCACGCGTTGGTTTTGGTTTCTTTCCTTGGGCAGCCTTTGCATTGCCCTTTTTAGCTACAGGCTTTGGCTTGAACAGTGAGATTATAGCTGGGCAGCAAGTCAGATTCGTTAAGGAACCGAAGCCAAAGAAAACTCACTGGGTAGAAGGAGCAGCAAGTACATGGCCCTCGCGCCTCCCAAAAACGAAATATAGTGGCTCAGTTGCTCCGTTCCCCATCCATACACATGCTCAGCATACAGATATTTGATCTGGTACACTCCCTAACAAGACCATGTCAATAGGTCGCGCTCGTGCACAAGCTTGAAGGACTTGCCGTAGAAAGCATGTACCCAATCAACGACGCAGCAAGCAACGTCAAACTCCAATCACGCCTCTTCCTTCCTGGACTGGTTGGATCCATGACCACCACCGGCAAAAATACCGCAAGGGGTTCCAATAATTTGCTTATAACACTCCCTGTCTGTGCTGGTCTTTCATGCACGTCATCCCTCTCATCCCTGATTCCCTCTTCAGAAGCCCTCGCTTTACCTCTACTTGTTCCCCGCGTCCTCGCCACGTACTCCCTCATCGCTTTGTCCTTCTTCTCCTTATCCAGGGACTCCGGAAACACCAAAAGTACCAGAACGAAGTTGATAAAGGAACAAGCGATAGCAACCCAAAACACGGATGTCACCGTCTTTGCCGCGCGTCCTTCCGTCCCTGGGCTAGCTAGGATGGGAATAGGATGCTGTATTAGCCAAGCACCGATACTAGGGCCCAGACTAAAGCCAATATAAAAGACGCCAGCAAAGCGAGAGAATATGTGCGCGCGAGAGCCGCTGGACGTGCAGTCGCTGAGGTATGCAGACGTCGCTGATTGGAGCGTTGACCAACCACCGAGGAGACCTTCAATGAAGGGTGCGAGAAGGAGGAGCTTGTGTCCGTGATGAGAAAGAGGGGACGATGGTGTTGAGACTAGGATGAATATAAGATCCCTGTCAAGAACGTCAGAAAGGGAGGCAAGAAGTAAAGGGATGGTGCGGACGTTAAGAATAAACCAAATGTCGCGATGGCCAATACCGTCGTCCGTCCATGTCGTTCCCCAAAGTGCCCCCACCAACCGGTGGTCAGTGCCGTGAGAAGGCCCATTGTCGTCGTCATTATCATTTGGAGACGCGCTGCGCCAGCTTGAACAGCTGGATCTTCGATACAACGAGAAGATGGGATTTGTCGTGGGTCTTGTGTGTCGTCGTCATTGTCTGCAAGTCCAGAAAGCAAAATGGGGCGGTGGAGGTGGGGGCCAAGTGGGTCTAGAGTGGTGGTATGATGAAGCCATGCGTTTGACTGAGGAAAGACTATGATGGATGATGGATGATGTGTTCGGTTATAACTTGCTTGCTCGCTGCGGACTTTGTTGCATGATAGCTGAGTGAACACTTCTACACGAGGAGCCAGCGTCATTCCGCGCTATTCGAAACAAACGGATTTACATGGCTATCTCCAGGAGCAATTAGATGGACTCACAGTTAACGAAGCCATGACCGCAAAGGGCACAAGCCTAGATAATCGGGTTAGATACCAGGGATCTTGGGTCACTTCAGCACGTACCACAAAGGTCTGGCACGATAGAAAGGTTTTCTTCGAGGGACGACACGCTCTCCCAAAAGTGGCACGCTCTCGTTCTGACTCGACCCGCTGGCCGAACTTGTAGCTTCGGGCTGCATGGCACGATCCCTCTTCTTATAATTGCTTGGAGGCTTGATTGGTTTAGATGCAACGTAAGCTGCTGACGATGAACCTGGTTTACTCGGTGCAGATTTTGGTGATCCTTTGGCCCCCTTGTGCAGCTGAGGTGTAGCAGACGAAGATGCTGCAGACGAATTAAACGACATTGTGTGTGTGGGTGTCGTGCCCGAGATTATGAAGGGGTATGATAAGAGAGCGAGTGACGCGAGTTATTGGCTGTGTTTTGTTGCGTGGGGAGAGGGAGGACGCGAACAATGGTGTGCCATGGGGGAGTCGTGTTGTTTTGAAATAGACGTCCATATTTAGAAAGTAACAAACAGGAACATGATGTCGTCTGCCATCACTGTAGTGGTCCCCTTTACATCCTATCCCCCTTCCTCCCCTCATACCATGCCAAAGTTTCAGCTACGTACCTCGGGTACTTGTTTTACATGTGCCGAAAGTCTTTCAGCAACACTCATGGCTTCCCTGCGTCCTCTCCATAGATGGTTGTAGGGGGATTCGGAGAACCGGATCTACTTCCGCTCCAACGTTTGCAGCGATAACCAACGCCAAGTAAGCTCAATGTCCTATTTTTACTGTGGCGATTGTGTGTCGATCTGATTTTCTTGCGTGGAGTAGCATCATGATATCACTGGTGGCGATGGCAGAATCTCCAACATATCGCCCTTGCCTTTGTCTTGAAGGAGACTAAGTGACGATTATCCAACCCCACTGACGAACAGGCATTCTGTCGCGGCGGAATTGCTGCGGCGCACCTGAGTGCTACTTTATTGGATTTCTTGCTTTGGACATTGATGTCATCTTGATTCGTATCGTGGCGAAGGAGCGCTTGATATGCAATGATTTGAACTTCACGTCTTTCTGGGATTGCTGTCGCGGTCCTCTATCTCTACTATCCCATGGCTATCTATTTGCGCCACGATCCATCGCCATGGCTAATTCCTCAGGATGCCTCGATAATATTACAGCTAAATGCAAAACCCTAGACACCTCCCGAAAATTTCTGGTGTCCGCCTCGCTTTGTGCAAACAACCGCATTTAGCTCAAGTTTAGCTCAATTAGAGCGTGGAGCACTCCATTACATGTCATATACTTGCGTTGGTGGAGGACTTGCGTCATTCGTGCCCGCTTCCTTCCTCAAATGGTTGTTTGCACAAAGCGAGGCGGAGCCAAGAAATTTCTGCAAGGTGTCTAGGGTTTTGCATTCAGCTGTAACGGGCGGCCCCACACTGACAGGAACGCAATTGCCTAAACGTCCTAGGACTGTATCTACCTTGTGCAAAACCTGAAGTCTCAATGTAACGCACTTGAAACATAATTGATGCTCGTCTGGGAATACAGAAACTCTGATATCGCACCCGGGCGCGTCGTCGAGCTAGATAATTAAAAAACCACGGGATTTTCGACAACGGAAACAGAGACTGCCTGCCTGTCCACCGCTTCTCTTCGATTGCAAATTTGGAGGGGATAAATGATTTTTGTTCGTATCTTCTCGTCTCAGCTCTTTTAACAGATTTACCATAAATGATATTTGTCACATCCTTCCTCAAGTTTGTGCTGACAAAGTCGAAGCTCGCCACTGCCAATGTTCCGCAGTCTCCGACACGGATTTCGGCGGTCATAGAGCTATTAGGCGCGCTTCTGGGCGCTATCGCCACTGCACCGCCCTGGCATACTCTGTCATCACCACGCGCCTAGTCATCGGTAAGCACTGTTATTCAGCCTACCTGCAAAGGAGATTGTGCCAAGTTTGGGTGTTCCTATATTTTGATTGCATGACTCAATACATTTCCGACGTGATTTTCTGCTTACTGATCGATTTATTTTTCTTGGAGGCTTGTTTTGTGCATGAGGAAGCCCAGAATCGCACCTCCAGAAGCAGATGACATATCATTTAGGTCCGTTGCGTTGTGCAACATGATGGGAGAAGCAGGAACGGGTCAAAATGTTCACAACCTTCATTGAATTACTTGGGACGCACTTGGGACACGCAAAAGAACACAGAAAGGAATGATGGGCGTTTACTGTGCCAGGACTCGGAGGTGACGCCGTCCGAGACTCCGAGGGGTGAACGAAGAAAAATTAGTAGAATTCCCAGCTCACAGGATAAACCAACGCATGTCTTGCAAAAAAGTCAAGTTTCCATGAGTTTGCAGGAGGCTGCCGTATGTCGGACAGACTCGGTCCGAGCTTGGCGTACTTTATCAGATAACCATGACAATAACACGTGATTGGTTCGTTTTTATCAGATAAGACCAACTTCCACTCCTGCCTAATAACGCCCCCCTCTCTCAGGCAAGCCCTTTAACACCCATCATCATGATAATATTAGAACATGTTCCCTAGCGGACGACTCCCACTCGCCCTAGACTTTTGGACTTTCAGTCTTACAGGAGGACTCTCAGACCTAGTAAATGGAACCAAGAGTTGAAAGCTTCCCAGACGAAGCATCTCTATTACTTCCGAGGGCAAGCACATCTAGAAGAAACCATCACGACTCCTCCATGACTTTCATGCAAAGAGTTCGACGTTTGGATGCTCACCCTTACTGGTTCGTCATTCCGATTTTCTACGGCAAATACACCTAGAAATGTTCCAAATACAGGTTACTCCCAGTAGTTCTGGTGATGTCCATGGCGGTGAGATCGCATTTGCGCGTTTTTCCCCATAGAAGCAGTGACTAACGATCCGACGCAGCGGGGAGTCACCATGTCCCCTCGAATACAAGTATACAAGGCAATTGCCTGCCGAGCGCTGTCAGATGGCTCCCAGGGAGCGGATTTAAATCTCTTGACACTGGCTGGCTGTGGCGATGCAGACGTCCAAGCTCGCGCGGTGCGTATACAAGCTTGTACGTTAGCCTTCAGGTCACATCATGTTCTTTACTCAATCACTTAAATTTGACTATTAGCCGTTGTAACAATCATGAGCGTCCTGAGCGCAATCTCAACTGGGTTTTGGAGTCGTGCTGGTGATGCTCGCGGTCGGAAACCTATCCTATGCGTTTTCATTATTGGGGCGGTCCTTATGTTCGTCCGCCCTCTCGAAACTTTTTTTTATCCAGACAAAACACTTACTGCTAAATAGGGAGGCGGTATTCGTTCTCGTCATGAGACCCCAATCTTTCTTTGGAAAATATGCCGAGCATTTAATTCTCGTCGGTCCCATACTCGAAGGATTTGTTGGTGGACTGTCGACATTCAATGGGGTGGTTCATGCGTAAGAATGCTGCTCACCACCGTCTAGATAAATTCTAATCAGTTGGGCCGTAGGTATGTCTCTGACTGCACGAGACATGGATCTCGGTAGGCATATTTTCTTCTTTTCCGATATTTGTCAACTGACAAACACATAGTTCGAAGATTTTCTCGACAATACAAGGGATCGTTTTTGTCGGCTTGGCAATCGGACCATGGGTAGGATTTTTCTCTACTCGCCCGACCAAATCTTCACGGTTAAAACCTTTTTTTTATTTAGGTCGGTGGTCTCTTCCTCCCGCCAACAGGCTACAACGATGGATTTTTCTTCGTCAGCATCAGCCTTATGCTCGGGACGCTGCTATACGTCCTCTTTATTTGCCCAGAATCTCTGCAGCACCGTCCGGTGGATAATACATATATTCAGGACGAACTGCAATTCAAGACCTCTCCAGTTTTGGTTGCTCGGCGCATGTTCACGAAGTTTATTTCCGCACTGCTATCTCCCATTGCAATGTTTGCTCCAAGGACCGTTCCGGGCCAAGGACCTCGGCCAAATTATAATATGACGTTCTTGGGCTTGGGCCTTTTCATCTATCTTGTTTCTACTGTAAGCCTTTTTGACGACTTTGAGTGGGGTAGATATTGACCCCCGTTTTTAGGGCGTTTACTCCGCCAAGTACCTCTACGCCCAACACGTATATACTTGGACGACTGCCCAGGTATGATCCTTAGTCCTGCTCTTCGCTTTAGAAAAACTAAACCTGCGGACGATAGTTGGGATATTACATGTCGGTATTGTGGATATCTCGAGCATTCAATCTACTTGTCTTCCTTCCAAGTACGTCCTCAAACAAAGTCTTCCAACCCTCATCTCTAAACGCGAAGAGTAGTCGTCATTTCCTACCTCAAGCCCAAACGCACGAGTACTCCAGGGACCAATCCGAACTCGCGTGACATTGGCGCAGAATTGAAGTTTGACCGATACCTAGCTCAAGCGTCGCTAGGAGTAGACGGATTCGCAGATTCACTCGTCGCCATAACGTCAAACAAGTCCCAAGCAACTTTCATTGGGCTTTCTACCCTGTCCTCTTTCACATCTGGGGGGAATCCAGCACTTCATTCCTTGGGTGCGGTTTGTATCCATGCTTGTGGATACGGATCCGAGGTGGGAGCCCTTTTTGGAGCTATTGGAGTTTTATCCGCGATTGCACACACAATTTCGGTGAGTCAACATTGAATTATTTTAATCTACTAAGGCATAGATTCTAACTCACGTCATCTAGCCATACATCTACGCCCTCACATACAGCTCTACAGTAGCCAATTTCCCGCAAGCCATCTTCGTCCTTGCCGCGTGTTTACTCTTCTCCGCCGTTGCCTTGCTGAACCGTGTTCAACCCATCGAAGGGGAGGTTGCGGAACACGAGCCTTCAACAACGGAGGTTGTTTATAGGTCAATACCCGACGTAGAAGGAGACCTCCACGAAGAGCTGGAACCGTGATCGGTGTTGGATTTTCGCCGGCCTTTAGATTGTTACGACTTGTTCCTCCCCCCCATCATTGCCCCAGTATCATAACTGATCGCTGTAAATCGTTGTACCTTCAAATGCCTTGTATTCTTATCATCTCCTGTTCGACGGGAGCTAGTGAGACTTCAACTTCTGACTGTGACTGAACACGCAGACTTAAGGGCTGGTATGTTGTAACCCTCAGCAACCTGTCCTTGTTTAGCATTTATTCACAATACCGAAAGAATACATTCAGCCCTTGTCCTAAGTGTCTAAAAAGTACAGGCGTATGACGATGACGACGTTACGCTGTGGTGAACAACTCCAGATGCATATTTACAAGGGGAGATATCGATGAAGCGCCAAAATGTTTGACAAACATAGTGCATCTTGGTCCACGCAATCCACTTGCGAGGTATTACCTTCATAGAGCTTCGTCGAAATGTCGGATACGCGATTCCCATTTGATTCGAAGTACTTATTCTAGCTTCGCGCCCTAAAATCTCGGAGCGACGATGTGTCAATGACGTCAGCGCATTTTCTTGCCAGAGAAGCGTCGAGATGATGTTCATTTATCCGATATTTGAAGGTCTCTGAGTGGCCATCAACGCAGCTGCATATGGATTTCCTGACACGATTTCGTTCTTCAAGTTAGCAGGGAAAAGGTGATGAGTTGGAATGACGTACGAGATCTCCAACTCGAGAGGGGCGATGACGGACCAGCACTGGATGAAGGGTTCAATGTAGACGTGTTCTCCGTCGAAGAGAAGGAGGCCCCACTGTCGCTGGAAGGTGAAGGCAGCGGCATGTCAGGGAGCGTCTTATCGTTCAGCTCTATGTTGTAAAAATAAGTCGGAGCTGGTGAAGCAGCCAAGTTGCGGGGCGTGGCGGCTGGAGGCGGTGTGGTAGAGTTTGATGCTGGAGTATCGGAGGCGGGTAGGGTAGGAACGGGATCGGCAGTGACCGTATCGTAGCTGGGTGGCCGGCTGGCAGCTTCTTGAGCAGCCACACTCTCAAACGTGGCCCGCCTGTAGTGGTATAGCTCGTTACGGCTGTGGGCCAGCTTTCGTGACGCTGATGTTATCTTTGTACCCGCTACTTTAGCTCGATCGATTGCTGCGTTGGCTTCTGTTTTAATCTATAGTACACCATCAGGTAAGGTAAGGCGGAGGATTGAAAGTCGAGAACAAGCACAAACCCTATTATTTGCTAGCAAGACTTGAGCTGCTGAAGTCTTGATCCTGTCTATGGAGCTGATGTGATAGGACCAAAAGAACGACGGGAGGAGACGTACTGAAAACTTGAATATCTGAGTAATAGTTGTCAAAGAAGAAATCGGTCATCATCCTACTTTGCCCGTGAATGAATAGTTTTGGGTTCAAAGAAGAGGTGCATACTGAGCAGCGGATACGTTGACACGCCCAACGGGTTGAACGTGTCTGGATGCTCGCCTCGCCTGTTCTACTAGCATTTCCGCTTGATCTGCATAGGCCTGAGCGCTCCTCAACGCACTACGTTCCATCATATCGCTCATACTGAAACCGCAATGTCAATCCTAAGGCTCGCAATGCAATAGCCGTGCAGACTCACTTGAAAACGCCTCCACCACCCCACATGTCTAAAATCCTTCCTTGAGTATCCTGCCAGAAATAGTCATGCAATGATAGCTCACCGTTACGAGATAACTGTAGTGCTTGCTGCATATTAGTTTGGCACGCATCCATAGTCCTGGCAGCTCTTGCCAAGATCTCAGCGGCGCGGCTCTCAGAATTCAGAGTCGATTGCAGCTTCTCGTATTTTTGTTGGGCCTCTATGACTGCATATTCGAGCTGGTCTTCTTCAGGGAAGGCTGTCATGGAAAATGAGCATTGCCCAACGTATATCATTAAAACTCCAAACGTACACTCTGAGGGACCTTCGAAAATGCGGGTATATAATGCATCGAGCTCAACATGAAGGCACCTCCGTTCCTCCGCCTTTCGAGACAAGTCCTCTTGCTGATGTACATTCAGTTCCTGTAATCACGAAGAATAACAACCATACTCACTTCAAGCTTAGCCTCGTTCAAAAGCCCTTGGATTACATTATGCTTGTCGCGTTCCGACATCTCCTTCTCCAACGCTTCCACATACTCCCTTCAAAGAAACCTCGTCAACAAAAACAATCCAAGAAAGCCAAGTAAACACTCAACATACCGTTCTTCTTTACTCTCCTTCGCCTCATAAAGCTCCTTCCGCCCCGTCAACTTATGCGCCAGCCTTCGAGCCGTAGAGTCCCTCAACGTCTCGTGTTCCTTCCTCTCCTTCTTCGTCCTCTTGTTGAGCGCTAAAACCTTCTCGGCGCTTTGCACCTTCTGGTTCTCCAAATCCGCAACATACGCAGCCTGGTGCTCCAACGCCGATGCGACATAGTCGAGTTTCGATATGGAGGTGAGTAGCCTGCCGTGATACTCCGCGTTGGCTACGATGGCTTCTGTGGGTGTCATTTCGTCCGACATGGGTAAAGGGCGCTAGGAGAACTTGACTGCGTAGATGTGAATGGTATCGTTTTTATATTTATAGGATATTATTATCATGCCACGATGCCTGGTCCCAGGTTCGGGTATAGGCGGATTTTGTTTCCACTCGGGCGGCACTTGGGCGGCATTTGCGATCGAGACACCATTCCGATGTGGACTGCCTTCTTTACAACCTATGTATGGCGTATAGCATCTTTCAATTATAATTGATGTAAGCGGCCCGAGGTATGGATTCGTCGGTTACTTGCTGTGGGGTAGACTCACAAGCAGTGGTTGTGACTTGTGTATCGAATTTGAGAGTCTATGCGGCTACGACTCGGAGTCAGCACAAGAACAGCAAAACGTAAATATAGAACTTCACAAGTCACATTGCAAGGTTATGTATAACATCGTACAGGTATTTAGAGACAAATATTGGTACAAGACGAACGCCTACGGTCTTCAAGTTATTATTCAGAAGCCACGCACGAAAAAAGTCCAACCAGTCAGCTAAAAGTACAATCAGATTTTGACAGCAAAAAGCGAAAGCGAACCCCAAGTCCACAAGGTTTCAGATTTCTTCTCCCATGCTCCCTCCCACACACCGCGTTCACTCGAGCCCAAACCTCTCCTTCACCTTCGCAACATGCATCTCATCACAACACTCATCCAAACACTCAAACTCCTGCTGCAACTCCCAAACCTTAATAACCGTGTCCAACCCCAACTTCTGCCCATCCTCCAACGTCATCGCCTGCCTCCTGATACACAGTTCCTTGTACGCGGGAACATACCACTCTTTGACGGCGTACTTCTTCGCGAGGAGGATCCGGTCCGTTGGGCCCGTGAGTTTCTCCAGTTCTTTGATGGCGCGCTGGCGGAGCTGGGTGAATACCCATTTAGTGGAGAGAGTGAGGACTGAGGTCCATTCGGCGGTCGTCTTGAGGTCGGGTTCGCTGAGGTTACTGATGGGGGGAAGGAATCACTCAGTTAGTAAGAGCAGTAAGTCGATAGATAGGAAAACAACTCACAGAGGGTAAAACACCGAAAGCAAACGCTCGAAATCTGTCCTAGTCACATCCTGGAGGAAAATCGGATCCACGGTCGCAGCGCCAGAATAGGGCGGGTACGACTGCAAAAGCGTCTGGAAGAAACTCGAGTGCTGGTCAAAGAAGTACCGGTGGACTTTGTAAGTCACATCTTCAACCTAAAAAGAGTGTAAGAAGAATCAGAATTCTGTGTGTAAGTGTCAAGCGATAGAACAAAACTTGCCTTGAATAAAACAGTTCCATCGGGGAACGTGAACCTCGGGTGGTAGTTGAGTAGGGGTCTTGGAGGAAGTTCCCTGCGCCTGGGAGTGGAGCCGGGCCAGGTGTGCTGCCAAGGAGTAACATTGACCGACTGCTGCCCGAAAGGAACAGGAGGCTGCTGCCAGGGAGTAGGATTGATCGGGACCAAGATAGGTGGAGGATGCTGGCTCAAGGTCGAACCATTATTGGCCGCCATCTGCTGCCGCCTGAGAGAAGCAGCAGCATAGACCTGCTCCATGGGAGTACCCTGTGGCTGTTGTTGCTGCCACGGCCCATTGATAGACTGCTGCCAAGGCGTATTGACCGACTGCGACTGCCATGGAGCAGAAGAAGTCGGTGGTTGTTGCCAAGACTGCCACGAAGCAGAACTGGGCTGCTGCTGCCACGGAGCAGGAGCCAATGGCTGCCAGGGCGTATGCGCTCCAGGTGTCTGCAACAACCACGGCGTAGCAGAACTGCTCGACCAAGGCGTAGACGCGTTGACCGTCGACTGCTGCTGCTGCTGGCCCCAAGCTGTAGAGGTAGGCTGCTGCTGGCCCCAAGCCGTAGAGCCAGGCTGCTGCTGACCCCAAGCCGTAGAGCCAGGCTGCTGCATAGAACCACTACCAAGCTGCTGAGCATGCGCGCTACAAACTCTCGGTCCAGCATTGATCTGATTCCCAGTCGGCAGCGACAAAGGAGGTACCAAACGAAGCTGCGACGCAGCTGCCGACGGCGGCCACGATAAACTGGGCAAGTACCAGCTTGGAGTCGACATCACGGGAGCAGGGATCGGGCCGAGGGACGGGGTGTGGTAGTAGCCTGGTCTGCTGGCAGGAGTCGTGTCGGATGGATGCCTAGCGCTGTTGGTGTTGGTGGTGGTGGTAGGATTCGCCCTTGGCGTGGCTTGAGCAAACGAATAAGACCCAGGTGTATTGGTATTGACACCACCATGACCCATGTGTTCCCACATCGACGACGTTGGGGGCGGCACACCCCGCTGTCCTGCCATCACACTGGGGGGAGCAAGAGGAGGAGGCGAAGGCAGCGGAGGAGTATCCCAAAACGGGGGCTCAGAAGTCGAATTACTGCCATAACTATGTGGTTGAGCGTTATCTTGCGCACTCGAACCTCCAGCAGGCGGGAATGTCTCGGGGGAGTGATAATACTGGTTAGGTGCGAACCGGGTTCTCTTTGGGAAGGTTGGAGTCGGATTGGGGCTGGGGCTGGGGGTACTCACGGACCTAGGTAAAGGTGGCCTACGAGGGGTGTCGTCTGTCCGAGTGGGAGATGCGTCCGTGACTGTGCGATCCGCACGAGAGGAGGGAGCACCCGTACGAGGGGCAGGAGCACTTGTCCTAGAAGACGGAGCAGGCGGAATACGAATGGGGAGAGTCGGTGCGGAAAACGTAGGCGACCAACTTGGACTGGGAGTCGCAGTGCTTATGGTGCTTCCCTCAAAGAGGCCAAAGTTCGGAGGAGGCAGGTACGGCTCATGCACCGAGTATGTCCGCCCGTTGTTGAACCTTCCAGAGCCAGGCGAGTGGGATGGTGCACGTGGGGTAGCAAAGATCCTGCCAGACGACGAGCTGCTCGCGCTCGAAAGTGGACGAACTGGAGATATTTCTCTGGACCTTGGCGCTCTACCTGCATGCCTGTTTTTGATTATTAATGAGTCAATGTGCATCAGTTCGAGTAAGCTTGACATGTACCTATCGTTGGTGTTGCTTTGATAAGGCGATGGCGTGGGCCGAGTGTAGCTGAGATACGACGTATCGCTGGGCGGGCGGGGCGGCACACCAACAGGATACGGAGTGGGGCTGAAAGTCCCCGTGTGCATCAAGGGAGGCGCAATGTATCGGTCCATGAACCAACTAGGTAATGCAGGCGGTCTCGTCGACGGCCGTGGTTGCTGCTGCGGGGGTGGTGTATTCGCCGGTTCTGTGAGCACAGCTGAATCCTCCATGTAGGCAGGCGGTTCGGGCGAAGGCGTGGGAGGTGGAGAGACTGTTATAGAGGCAGCCTGCATCCTCTCTACCAGCGAGCCAAACTCTTGTCTGGGTGGAGTAGGGACTTGAGAAGATTGGGATTGACTGGGAGGCGAGAACAAAGAGTGGGACGAAGAAGATGGTTGAGACGAAAGGATCTGCTGTAAATCAAGAGGCGGCTTGGGTTCCTTTGGGCTTTCACGCTGTTGAGGTTGAGCGTCCTGCATGCGGATGCCGAGAACAGAGGCCACATCGCTGGGACTCATCTCTGTGCCCCACGAGTTCCGGACAAAGAGTGGCATAACGACTGTAGCTGGGTTGGTCGATGCTGGGGACGGCGTGCGGATGCTTTGGGAAGTTGCAGAGTCGGGTGGGAAGGAGGAGCGTGTGAGGAGTGGCACGGCGGTGCTACGATGAGGGGCAGGAGAAATGGAGCGAGAAGGGCTGGCAGGGCGAGAATGATCATTGGGCATGAGGACGCTGATGTCGCTGGAGTCGCTGTCGTCAAAGTCAGAGGTGTCGTTCCAGTCGATGACTGTGGGCACTGGCGACGGTGTTAAACTGTCTAGTGGGACATACGAGGTATAGCTACAACGATACATGGCTGTGGGTGCTGCGAAGAGAGAGCGCCTACAGTAGTTAGGTGGGCGTTTTGAACAGCACTCCAGGATGCTGTACAACTCCCAGGGCCTTTTAAGCGGTCTTTTCGGACCTCACGTGCACTCTTTACACCTTTTAAAATAGGTCATGAGTCAGTACATATAGTAAATCGTTAAATATTCCAAGGTAGAGGAGGGCTATACAAGCCCACTCGCCGCCATTTTCACAGTGTCCCCAATAGCTCGAACAACTTCACCCCACACTTTAACAACAATTCCACCCTCAGATGTACCACCGACCTGCAGCCTCCTTCGGACCAAATCTGCATTGCTAGCTTGTCCCTTCCCACCCAACACCTGCTGCCGTCGCCGGTGTCGTATGCGCAACAAGAATGAAATCAGAGGAAACAACACAAATAATATAATAAAAGTCGTCAATTTCGACGTTGTGAGGTATGGCGCCAACGAAGCTTTGATCACGGCGTACGTCGTTAGACTGGGTGGCTGCACGAATGATTGAACATGGGCACGCGGAGAGGATGATGTCATCGAGCTGTGTGATGTGGATGACGAATTCATCCTGCGCGATTTTGTACCGTTCGGTATCCTGGGTAACTGGGAGGAACGCGGAGTAGCGGTGGTATCGGACGAGAGAGACGTGGTCGATGATGATGCTTGCGCGAGAGACGTGAGTCCATTGGTGCGTGGAACAACGGTATGTGTGGATGTCGTTGAAAGAGAGGAGGACGAGGAGGACGAGGAAGGGGAGTACGGTCGAGAAGGAGGGGCAGACGAGGATGATGATGACGGTAACGACCTAGGTCGACGCGATTCCATAGTCTGATTAAATAGCATATTGAGATCGCTTCTCAAAAGCTAATTTGAGCTGGGTCAGAAGAAAAAAACAAGGATAGGGGTAAGTGCGTACCTCTCGACGCTCAACAAGTAGTTCTCCTTCATACTGGAGAAACTCTTTCGCATAATCCCACTGTTCCAATTTCGGCAGGATATGGAGACAATACAATTCCAAAACCTTCTCATATCCATCACCGTCCGGTTCGGCGTCTGAACAATCATTCAAGAGGTAACGAGGTTCTCTCCGCGCAAGCCAATCCTCCACCATCGCCCTACCAACATCCGGGCAATCCACCTTCAAACTCGAACACAACAGCGTAATAAGCACCTGTGAAGGCAAATACACAGAATTCGAAGTAGCCTGGGACGCGGGTGTGAAAAGCATCACAGAACGGCTATAGCTCGCTGAAATCAAAGCCTGAGGCGACTCCATGAGATTAGCACAAAGGGGTCCCGGTAAGGCCTTGTGCGAAGGAGGCGGCGAGGCATAAACGGTAGTTTCCAGCGTGATCCGAAGAATGTCCCATTTCCGACGAAATTCAGCCAGTGGGTCTGGAAGTACGCTCGGAGGAATGAGAAGAGAAAAGGCGGATTGGATGAGGGAATAAGTTAGAGAAATATCGCGATGGAGGAAGGCGCGAGCTGCACGGGTGTATAAGGAACGCAGAGTAGCTGCCGTGGTGCCCGTGTTTGCCAGTGGTGTTGAAGACGTTTCTTCCAAGGACGGTGCGGTCATGACAGCCGCTTTGACTGTGATATGCTTGGAGACCGACCGCTTTGAGACCGTTGTCGTCGCTGTTGGCATTGAGGAAGAGTGCAAATTTGGCTGGTTGACGGTAAAGTGAGTCGGCAACTGCGATTTCACATGTACCGGTCCCATATAGATAGTTCCCACGCTACTTTGGCCAATTACATCGCAGACTTTTTGCAACGGACTCATCCAAAGGCTGGATTTCAGCCTGATAACTTTGGTTCCTTGCAACTAATGCTCTCCATCGGTGTATTGGACTACTTCACTGCCATGCTCATGGACCAACATCTTTAGCGTCGAAGAACACCAATTGCACAGGTTCTTCGGTGCACAATGCCAAGATGCAGCTCTGCAATAATCAAGACAGTGCTCTTGCTCTCTGAAATGTCCTCTTACGTGGTTCACAGCTGGTTTTTCGGCGAACTACAGCTACAGCTTGGGATGTGAATCTCTGTTCCCGATGTCAACCGAATGCAGCTCTTCCATGGATCCAGCGGAGAATGCGGCCAGACAATAATCTTGCTCTTTTCCCGCTCAAAATATATTTTCGGCCCCAGTGTCGTCTAATCACGACTCCAGCTCGCATCACAACTGGCAACCTGAACAATGCTCCAGCGGACGGGGACTCGCCCTTCGCAATCGAAGAGGTACCAAGATCACCCGAATAAGAGGATGCAACAGGTATCTCACCTTTCGAACTTCTCTCCCTTGTACACCAGATTAATGATGCTTGAGACTCCATGTTTTCGTTGAAAGCCTGGCGGAAAGCCCAAGGAAGCCTCGTTATCTACATCTTTCTTCATCCCTGCTCACATCGAGGAAGCTTGGGACGCACTTGCTGAGGAACCTTTGTCGAACGCCCCGTAGGAGGAAGCCTTGTCATCTACATCCTCTTCTACATAACACTACCCATTTCCCGTACTCAGTGTACTTGGAGGAAGCTTGGCAGGACGCCACCCATGAATCCCCAATATAAACCTCGGGGCGTCTTATACGTCCTTGATTTCCAATGGCACAGTGAGGACCTCGCATGATGAACCTGTCTGGAAGCCTTCCATGTCGACTTTACATGGTGACCTGCACGCCAGTGAAAGTACGAATGGAATGGACGCGGAGTTTGTCTTTCAGCTGACGAGATGGAACATTGCTCAAGTGAGCGTTGACGGGCTTTGGGGAGTCAAAGGGGTTGAAAATTTCCCATTCCTCTCACTCAAGAAGACATCTCCCCTGGTCTGGGTTTCGATGCCGCAATGAGGCGTCAGAATGATGGACTCTTGAAAGGGAGGTCGACATTCTTTCAGGAACGGAAGATGTGAAGATCATTACTGCAAGGGCGACGGACATGAACTAGCATCTCGGACCGTACTCAAATTCAAGGTGGCCGGACACCCTCGTACAGGCGCAATATCATTCAGCATCATGAAACGCAAATCGAGGGAATCGACGATGAAATTTTACCCATCGCTGATGAGAATTCGCGCGACAAGCAAGGAGGATACATAATGAGGGGTAATTGAACAACCTTTATCATATTTTCTTCGTAGGTCGGAGAGACGATATTCACGTTAGGTACGTACTGCTTTACATATGTTGATGGAAATATCTTATTAATGGACTTTTTTAGCTGTAAATCTCGGAATTGGAAAGCGAAGCATAGGAAACCCTCTAAAAAAAGGTCCTTCAAGGGGACTCAGCTCCGAGTCTCCCAGAGTAGCGTTGGACTACATTGGTACTAATCTCCGAGCCCATTTGACACGCGATTCTGAAGCCGCCAGTGCCATGCTGGTTTAATAGATAACATTGAATAGGCGCTAGCGTCTCGAATTCTCGTGGTCAGCTAAATTTGTCGACCCAGGTTGAAGACCGGAGCATCGGCACATGTTGCGAAATTTGTCGTTGGTATGTATACACCGACGAGGCACCAGAGAGCTATCATGAACACCCAGCCTACTCACACACGTTGAGCATTTTACTGCTTGTATTCCGACAACATCATGGAAATTTTCTCATGAAGGTGGTATGAGTCAAGTATGAGTATACTGTATGATCCTGTCCATGAGTAAAAGTTACTGTGTGCATACCACAGAATATACATCTTTCGGTATATTTCGGTTTGGATGAATGCTTCCAACGCCTGAGAACGAGTTTGGGCCGGCCAGAGCGGTAGACCGTAGACAAGAGAGGTGGAGAAGCTGAGACGTGTTGTGCAATGTTTGAACCAGCAGGGGAAGACTCGGATGACTTGAAGATGACAATGAACATACATAATCTCGATTCTCACCACCACACCACTACTTTTTTTCCAGCATACGGTGTTTTGAAACTTCGGAACCTCGACTTCTCAGAATACGGCTGGTGTTTGGACCCAAAGCGATGCAGGTTATGGCTTCAACGCAACACGCTGTATCGTGCTGTAGAACACTGCTTGACGCGACTACTCTTTCTGGGTGAACTGAAGGCGCTTAAACTGCCTCATGGCGCTGCTACTTGAAATCTATAAAGGAGCTCCTGGAAGCAGCAAGATATCTACCATATAGCACCTCAAATTATCTTCCAAGCAGAATGGAACCTCACACCGTACTTGGAGTGTCTGCCAACGCTTCAGCGAAAGATATCACCGACGCGTTCAGAGCTTTGGTAAGTCACTCCATCGCTTTCCATCACTCTGTCGGCTTAATGTTGAGTGTTAATCCAGGCAATGAAATGGCACCCTGACAGAAACCCAGGAAACGTGGAAGAAGCCACAGAGATGATGAAGGAGGTGCGCTTTCTTATTTTTTCCCCCGTTACTTCAGCCGCTCAACTCTTCCAACTGTGATAGATCAACATCGCTAAAAAGGCCATGCTCCGCCGTGCCGAACGCGCGAAAATGAAAGCTTGTGCAGAAGAAAGCTCATCATCTCCCGCGCATCAAAATCCTTCCTCTAGCTCTGAATGCTCGACAAGCTCATCCCACCATGCTTCGAGCGTGCATACTCCTGAATCGAGCACGCCATCCTGCCAGGGTTCAGAACAGAACTCGCGGAAACCCCCGCCCCCCATGCGGAAGCAATCAAGAGATTCAGACCACCGTCCGCAAAGCACCTTTAGCAGTTTTCTTCCCAAGCCATTTCGCCGCCGTGCCTTGTCGACGAGTAATCCCCCATCATCGCCTGATCTCAATGTGACAAATGCGTACGACAACTGTTTTTCGATGGGGCGGATTTCGAAGGAATGGGTCCACCCCATAAAACTTTCTCTCGAGGATCTATTACATGGCAAGCGGTTCAACGTGCGCCTGGCGCGTTACCAGCTTAGCGGGACGAGGCGATCTGTCGTCTTTGCCATCAACGTTCCACCTGGCTGTGAAGCTGGGACGAGGATGGTATTCAAGGAAGCTGGTCACGAAAACAAGGATGGTCAAAAACAAGACATTGTGTTTGTTATTGAAGAAGCGAACCATAAGGAATTTACTCGCACTGGGGATGATCTCAGCATAACTGTGGAAGTTCCCTGGGATGTCAGGTTGACCCATGGGAAACAGCGGATGCCGCTTGAGGGTCTGGGCGGGGAAGGCCTCGCGTTTACGATTGATCACTGCTCCAACAATGCCATGAAAGGGACTGCTGTTGTACCTGCAGCTGGTATGCCCGTTTCCAGCGACCCATCTGGCCGGAGGGGTAATCTTCTTGTTCAGTAAGTTCTCTTCTTCCTGCTCGAAGCTGTCGCTTATTCGGTAACGCAGCTGGGAGATAAGCAAAACAGGATCTCAGTGGCTGCGGAAGGTTTTTAGGGGATGAAGGCCTGAACGCCTGGAGATTGTGGACGCCTATATTATTTCATATGTACAACGCAGCAATTTATGTACATAGAGTATACCTGGGGGTATCAGCTAAGCCTGGTGACCTCCGGATAAGGGAACCGAGGTCACCAAACCATAATTTATATTGAAGGGTGTCCATGCCATTGCCATTCAAGTTGGTGACAAGGAAGGATGGACACATGAGCCGGTTCAGCGAACCGTTCGGCGAACGCGGTCGTGAGCCTTGCTCCCAGTCGATGAGTTGTCCTCTAAAGCGAGGTGATCTTCGCATCGGCAAAAGTTCACGTTCCATGGTAGGCCTAGTGTATGTAGTATGGGCCTACTTACCTAGTATCTCATTTGTGTGGCTTTGGTTGGGGCATAACAGGCTAGCAGTCCCTAGCATGGGCCGTGAAAGGCTAGTGTAGCCTGGTATGGAGAGAGAAAGGCTAGTACCACCTAGTATGGTATTTACGAGGGTACCAGAATACATTTAAGCCTTATCACCAGCCTACTACGATAGGATTCCGCTATTTTGGCTGACCGATATTTTTTTTCGTTGTATTTAATAGTGGAATGCAGAGTTGACGTCGCGGCCGCTAAAATGGGTCGCGACAACTTGTCCGCTAAATCCCACGATACAGAAAATCTGCGAAAGTTGGACTTTGTATCGCTTTCTGTCGCGAGGGCCTAACCAATCGGGCGGACTTGGGGCAGACTTCAAATTGAGACATACTTTCCTGTTAAATCGTGATACCATACCTAATTTCTACATAACAGAGATACCATTCAGTAAGAAGGAGATTGAGATTCTCACACATTTTGGGAATTTTACGGTGTTCCTTATCCACCAAAGCGAAGCAAGGCGCGCGTTGTAGTAAACTATTAGGACAAGGCTTGTACCATAACCATGCTAGTGAATATAAATTACCCAGTCTATTACGGTATAGTCGGCTCTACACTACTAGTATGAGTACATAGGATGGTATTATAGTGAATTTAAGTGCATGTGGTTCTTTGAAGCTGCAAATTCTACGTAGCCGCCGTGCAACCAATTTCAGAACGAATAGCTCTTTTGCGATTGTTCATAAGCTGTTGAAAGGGCAAATTGTAACCTTGCAGGTAGCTAGTGGCTTCAGGCCCAGTCAATGCATTGACGTCATCAACATTAAGCAACGCCGGGAGGTTGTGCTATAACTGAAATCAGCAAGCAATTGAAAAGGACAGTCAGGCAGGCGTACCGGGTCCTCCGTCGGAAGGGTACCATCAACAAAAGGTACTTCAAGGAATCGCCTAGTCCGCCCATCACCACAGGCAAGGTTATGCGTCTTTTACAAAGAAATTGAGAACGGCCGAATTGTTTGAGGAGCTAGCTACTCACCTTGTGAGAGACACGAGTCAATGGCGCCAAACCAACAGCGAAAGCAGCAGCTAAGGCGGGCGCAAACCAGGGCGGAGCAACATCTATGAACAATAGTTAACTCGCGTAAATATCACTTCATATTGAGAAAATGCACTCACTTTCGCCAGCCTGTGCCTGGACAAGTTTGGTCTGGTACACTACGCCTCTGCCAATGTCATCGCTCGACGCAGAATCCTGATCCTGAACTTCTGAACAGAAAATACAGGTCAAAGAGAAGTCAAAGGATAAATGATACAGTGGTTCTTACGGTGGCTGACCAACAGATTGTGATTATATGTTACGGCATTGGAAATATCCGTTAGGGTTGGGGGATCGTCAGGTTGGTCGGGTAGCTGAGTGTCGCCGTCTGGCTCGTCGGGGAGGTCTATAGGCATTGGTGTCGATGGATTGTAGTCCAATTCTCTAAACAATAGAACACGTGCACTTGTACGAGACGCGACGCGGTTTCGGAATTGTGGGAGGGACGAGGCGGGGTGAGAAAGAGAGAGTGTGTGTGGAGGAGGGGGAGACTGGGAGCGGCGATGTAGACAGCGGTGGTGGTGGTGGTTAGGAATAAAGAGATACTTGACGCGAAGACTTATCGCGCATGTCATGTGATAGCCGGAGTCTGAATTCAAAGTCCGAATCTAACGCTGTAAGTACCAAGCTCGTACTTACTCGTTCACGCGTTCCCTGCTACGTTCCCCAGTGAATGAAGGTACGTCCCACTTTGAATGTCGTATCTTGTTCACTTCACTGAAATCTTTTATTGCGAACCCCTAGTATCCGTTACTATGCACTACCTTAGAATTCCGGCTTACTGGACACTGCGCGAACGATCGACCCCACCCAGCGACATCATGCAAGACCAACCTCACGACTCAACCGGAGGAAGGCTGGATATTTCCAGATTCCCACTCAACATGGTCTAGCGTCGAGTTGCAGACCTGCTCAACTGACCACCCAAAAAACGACGACGGCCGCCCACAAACGCAGATGAACCACCACCATCCACCATGGCGCACGAACAACGGCCAGTACCTACGAACGGACCAAGGCGCTGATGAGCCCAGGCAGTGAGCATGCTTCCCCCTGGGCCACTATTCATCTCTCTAATACGGAATGCAGGTGCCACGTCGCAGACAGCGACGTGACAATTTTATACTGGGACACCTACCCACCATCCTACGCTCGTCCAACCCACCTCGCTGAGACACAGGACAACGTGTAAGGACAACAACGCGGCGAGGAGGACGCGAGGAGGACACGGTAAGCTCACCTCACCCCCACCACTCATCTGCCTAACATGGAATTTAGGTGCCACGTCGCTGACAGCGACCTGTCAACCAAATTGTTCTGTATTTTAAAACACCAAGGTAAGTACCCCTGTCTCACCCGCGTTGAGACACAGGACAACGACGGAACGATAATGTGGGACAAGGGACAACGACGATGGGACGAGGTAAACACAGGACGTGTACACGGGATGAGGAGGCGACAAAGACACGGGATGGCTACGAACCGACGAGGGCACGACACAACGACGCGACTAGGACACCGGGTGACGACGCATGTCGTCGTCACTGTCCGTATTAATCCAGGTGAGTAGCAACATGACTTTCCTCATTCTCCTTTTTTCACACCCGAAGCAGGGGCGACGGACGGTGACGACGCATTTTGTCGTCACTGTCCACATTATTTCAGGTGAACATCATGACTCCCCTCCCCATCTCCTACCGACGGCGACGTGGTGACCAACAACGAGTGGACAACAACGACAATGGACAACCAATGACGAAGAAGGGTGACAACGAAGATGATTGGCATCAAATGACAATGACCACCACCACCGATGACGAATGACCCCCTGACAACGAACCATGACCGCCAACGACAGCGAGGAACGACGACTACAACGATGAGACCAACGACGACAACGACAATGGATTTAGTTATAGTAGTTGTTAGTATGGTTCTATCATTATGTCTAGAATACTTTTTCAATGTTAATTCCTGTGTCAGGCGAGCGCCGTGCCGTAGGCGTAGGCGAAAGCTTGTGTCTTAATGAGTCTGTCAATAGTGGAATGCAGAGTTGACGTCGCGGCCGCAACGCTACGCTTTTTTTCACCATGCGACAACTTTCTTTAGTGAATCAACTCCGACAGGTAAATGCCGATAATACAGCCGTCACAAAGAATTAGGGACTGTCACGGATAGCTAAAGCCCGGGTGAACCCGAAATCCACCCATATTTGGACTCAACTGGTGGATTCGGGTAAGTACCCGGACTATCCGCAGGTATCCGTGGGTAAATTAGATATTTTTAGACCTTCTTGAGATATTTTGAGCATACGTGCCCGGAATAGATAAGAGTGTTATTTGTACCCCCAACTCCCTTCCACCACGACAGAATGCTATCACAACAACTTCCTGGCCCCTGCTGCTTGTGGAAGGGGTCCAAATTGTGACCTGGGCTTTGTTCCCAGCTGTCACCCAAGCTTGTCACCAGAAATCTTTAAAATCCTGTTAATGAATTCAATTTTTAGTGAAAGCAATCACAATATGCCCCAATAAAAAAACAGGAGAACATTCAAATTTACCGTGATGAACCCAGAGGTATTGAAAGAACAATTTTGGTGACACAATGTGTTACAAAAACCTATTTAAGAGGAAAAGAAATCATTGTCCATCTTTTTTCAATCATTTGTGTAACTTTATTGAAGCTGGGTAGAAGGGGAATTTAATCCAGAATCTAAGAGCCATTTCTGCTCTGAATGTTTGAAAGTTGATATTGTGCTGGGTGAAATTGATCTGATTGTGACCAGTGGAGAATGCCCACTCTGCATCCACAGAAGTAGCTGCATCAATCATTGAAAGTAAAGGAAAATAAATGTGAATAATGCTGCTTACCTGGGGCTGAGCAGAAATCAGAACCCATTCATGAAAGTTGCAGTCAGGAATGTGATGCATTGTGCCTGTACATCATATAACCTCCCATTTCCTTCATTGTTTCTGTTGCTACCCAACCTAAATATCAATTGTTCTCAAAAGCATTTCTCTGAAACTGAAAATAAATACTCTCAAGATGGCCAAGGCATGCTAATACACACCCCCAACACTCTCTGTGATCAAGGCTCAGTTACAGCAGCATTATACAAGGAGAAAGACCTCAGATGATGATATATAAATAACTTTAGTTTCAATATACTCAATTTAGATAATATATGAATGACTTTTGTTTTAATATGAATTCTCCTGAATTTTCGCTTTCTAACACAATTTTTTTCATAAAGAACAGACAGGAAATGAACGAGATACACTCATTTATATAGCTGCTTGGTCACCCAGGCTGTTTACCCACGGATATATCCGTACTGTGCCTTATCTGATCTGTGGGTAGGAAAATCCGTGGATCGGGTACGGTTAATACCCGGGTATATCCATGACAGTCTCTACAAAGAATGACGTAGTCTCAGAAGCCTTCAGCTTAGACCTTCCGGAACTTCCCTGTCAGTGTCATGTCAGCCATCACCGTGATTGACGTGATGATGTCCAAATAAGCCAAAGCATTGCAACAGTTGCCAAACAGCTTTTGAAATCTTTTTGGTCCTGACCCCCATTCCTGCCCAGCCTCCCTCGTTGATATTCCCCTTGGCCTTGTTGACGCAGCATTCACACGACGTGCTTGCCGTGTATGGACACGAAAATGCCCAGACACCAGAGAGCGACACAAGAGACGCGACGGCAATGTGCCCAAACGCGATGCGACGCGACATGCAACCAACCAAATGACTGACATCAACTGTATGTGACCGACACATAGACACAAGAGACGTGACACAAGAGATGCAACGGCAACACACCCAAATGCAACACGACATGTAACCAACCAAACAACAATATGCGACCAACACATCGCGCGAAAATGCCCAGACACGGGAGACCCGACACACGGCAACATGCCCAAACACGATCGACACATCGCATCGTGCCGTGCCTTTATTGGCCAATGGGTAGAGTGCAGGCGATAGGGAGAACCGTGTATGTGATTCTGTATGCCCCCCTCCCCTCCCCTTGTTTTAAATCTGATACCACCCTTTCTACTTATTTTTGTTTGTGTTGATGTGGACCATGGCATGGCATGCTGATGAGCTCAAGCTCGCGCGGCAGATGCAACGAGTTTCCCTGGGGTATGTTTGGGGTGTGCACAAACACCAACCCTTGTGTGTTGTAGATATATGTAGATATCTTATACCATATAATTTATGCAGTAGTTGTTGTCCCCAATATGTCACGGAAAACGAATAAGTGTAGCAAGAAAAACCTTGTAAAAATGTTGCTGTTTGCCTTAGAAAAAAATTGACGTTGCTTGTGTCAACCTAACTGGGCACACAGGGGGCATTCTGGACCACCGCTTCCTTCAAATGTGCTGTCAAGTCTGTCAAGGTGCTGTCGTTGTTGACAGGTCTTCATCCTTTCATTTCCCATTGCAACGACGTCATTCTTTGTGACAGCTGTATGCTCATAAATGCCCTTGCTACAACCGACCATCAACACACCCGCTACAGCCTTGACTGAGTTTAAAATCCTTGATGGCCACATAGCATGCTCCGTACATACCAATCTTTTACATTGAACCCGACTTGGCCGAGGTGAACGGCGGCCCCCATTTGCTGGCTTTCAGTAGGTGGGAACGGCGGGTGGCAGGTTAGTGAATGTTTTCTTGGTTATGGCTATGGCAATGTTGAGACATGACGCTCATTATAAAGAAAATCTACATTTTCAATATTACAGCTGATTGCGAAATGATAGAGCAGCTGGCTTCCCATTCCAGTTCAATGATCTGTTTGTTTTGTTGATGGCTGCACATCAGCACCTTCCAAATGCGGCACCTGCTTTGCTTCAACTTTTCCGAGTCTTATCTACATACCCTCACCTCCCCCTTCTCTCGTGTAATAATGGCGCGGAATGGTCACCGAAGACACATCACATCACCTGTCAAGAAAATGCTTGCTACCATGTCTCATCAAACATTCTCAAAAGCCCCATCGATCCGGTTTATTTGGCTTTGGTGTCCGCCGCAAACAAACACACGGTTGAGCTGGAACGGGAAGCAAGCTGCTCTATCGTTTTGCAATCAGCTGTAACGATGAGAAAACGCTTGAGGTTATGATAAAATGGTATGAGCGGCAGCAGTAGAAATAATGCGACTTTATCGACAATGCTGGTCAGAGACGTACCAGGTACCAAAGGAATGGTCTGATGAAGTTGCACAGCCGTTAATCAATATCGTCTGCAATTGACTGGTAGAGGCTCCAGGTCAGATTTCTGAGCAGATTACCAGAAATACTTGATGGGTTCCCGATGCTGACTGAATGAGCTACTTGCGTAAGATACCTATGACTTGGAATGGATGTTAATGTTCCATTCCTGCATTTCGTGAATTGTGTTATTTATCAGAATCTGGTGGAACAGGCCCATTCAAAAACACGACAGTGGGAGCAACGTGTACCGGGTGAGAGCCTTCAAGTTCAACCTGCATATGGCAGCCAGACTGCTTCACATGTGTAAGGGACATGTATTCATAATCGTCCAGTAGCGTACTGGGTATCTCTAACTGGACGATCTGGCACAGGTTGCAGTACGAGAGACCTTTTGGCTTTGCTAGACCGATCAATGGCTGTATCCAGGATTGCTTGTTTTCGATGGCCGGAATTAATGACCAACACGAAGCCTCAACGTGTTACCGAGCAGGCAGAGATGAATTCTTTCCAAGGAACCCAAATTCTTGCGCTTGGAAGGGTATCAAGGGGCTCTATACCAGCCTCTTGTGTGTGTGGGTCGTCTATGTTGAACCCCCACCAAACGACACCGTAACTGTCGCCCTGGGTGATCTGTGATCCATTTCTCGCACCCAGGTGCAAAGACTCTGCTCCCATTTGTCCTGGAAACATTGCCTTGATGGACGGTGAACCCAACCCCGCAGAGCCTGAGAAGCTGAGTGTGGAGCTGCTCTGTCGAGTGTGCTCTCGAGACCTATAGCAGGAGTTTGGGAAGGCTTGATCACATCCACTCTTGCTAGTTCCTCCTTGGCATCTATCACCACTCTAGCGTGGACCTGCTCGTAACCCGTGCTTGGTATTTCAGCTTTCTGAACTCTAGGCATAACTTTGGAAGTCGTTTCGGTTTTGAGCGAGGAGGATAAGACTTTTGAACATGTAAGCAACCTTCTTGCAGAATAAGAGAATATAACACCTGTATTATAAGCCTTCCGTTGACTTGCAGCTCCTGGAAGACTTTTGGTGATGCTGTGTCCGGTAGCATAGACCTTAGCTTGAGCGTCAAAGGAAACGGCTGGCAATGACAACGTCAAGCTACCGTCTGTCGGGTCACCAGGATCCTCATGATCTGAATTGGCATCGTCACCCTCACGATCCCCAGATTTCTCGTCCTTGCCTTCATCATTCCCTGCATCATCCGTATCTTTCTTATCAGAATCGCTACCTTTGAACTCGTTCCCACTGAAGCCCAAAGGGGCAGACGTTCCATCGTCACTCCAAAAACCTTGCGGACGGGTCACGACCTGAATCGAAGTCGGCGTAACACTAACAGCAGAAGGATATCAACATATCTCTCGGTGCGAGAGAAGACGAGCTCATCCCGACTCAGAAGAATTTCGTCGTTTTGGAAGACAGGTATCCGGTACGTAGAGGTGGGTGTGAAAAGTGTCCCAGGAAGCGGAGAGAGTATCTTTCCGAGTTTGGTGACAAGGGACTCATAATGACGGAACAAAATCTCTGGCAGGTATCCCGTTCCCGACCCCATGAGGGCCTAGTCTACTTGATCGAGGCGAGCGTCCAGGTGAGCAAAAAGTGAACGAAGATTGCTATCAAGAAAATACAGAAGTTAGACAGTAGAAAAGAACAGTTCAGATATTATCTGAACTACCTAGAATCTGAAAATGTGAACTCCAAACTCAGATGTGTAAGAGGAAGGGCTCTGGAGCCATGTCTGGAACAGTCAATGGTTTTTCAATTTTTTTCAAAAATGTGCATCTAAGAAGTAGGGTACTTTACCCTGACTACATATGTAAAATTGTAGATCAAGAGCAAAAGTTGTTCAATTTTGACAGATTTATTTTCAATTTTGGATAAATTTATTGTAACACAGTCCAGATCTTGATACAAGTACAACTCTTTTGCACATGAAGCTCAAGGCAATGTCAGAAAATATTAATAACATACCAGTAGCTCATGTATCAGCATTTGATAGTAGTGCAACAATTTTTTTTACCTATTGATTCTTTTTTTGTTGCCTGCTGCATGACAACATGCCATTAGGAAGGAGAAGTGTATGTAAAGTGCTTCCACATACCCTGAAATATTTTATTAGCATTGACTCATACTTTGATGAGCAATTGCATTGAGTAGAACTGACTTTATATGCTCAGAACACAATTTTTCTTCCCAATGGTTCAAAAATGCATTCTGGGTTCAAATTGGAGATCCTACAACTTATCACAAGTAAAGTGAGCTATTCAAATATTTTTCTGGCCTGCGGCACATAACACGACAAGAAAAGCCTGTAGGGAGGTGAACTGCTCAAGCAGCTGCCTATTTGGGTGTTAATCCCAATCAGGTGTTAAATTTTCCCAGGTTCCAGAACAGGTGTTAACTACATTACCGTGATTTCAGACATTTTGCCTATCAAATTTTACTGACCACATAAGTAGAGGTAAACATAGAATACAAGTATTTTTTTTCTCAGCCTGCGGCGCAAGTTATGGTTTTGTGGAAGATTGTGTGTGTTAGAGGCTGCCTGCCTATTCGGGTGTTAATTTTGATGGCAATCCCAATTGGGTGTTAATTTTTGATTGTTCCCAAACAGGTGTTAAATAACGCCCGATTAGGCATTATTTTGTTCCAGACATGGCACCTGAGCCAGAGGAAGTCCTCTTTCAGTATTATGTTGTTGCTGCAGCGTGATCGTGAACGGACAATACTCAGAGTACATAATCATGCCACTATAAATACTGCACAGGGGCATATACTTACTCTCTCCTCAGTCATGCTTCCACCGGCTGAGGTGAGTATCGTGCCTGTTGTCCTCATACTTTGAGTACTCACGCTGATACTACTTATACTCTACGTACAGTACTAATAGTATATAGTCGTTCTTCCATCGCCTGAGGGATACTCTAGTCTATTTCAAACAGGTTGTGGGCCTTCTTGGTTTCTAGGTACCCCGCCGCATTTACGAGCACTTCCATTCTTTGATTCAAGATGACACTGGGTGATTCTATCTCTGGAGACCCTGCATCAATGACTACTTCACCACAAATGACTTTCTTATCACCGCTTCCACAAACTCCCATTCCGAGCGATATCTCTTGCCCTTCGGCCTCCATCCAGGAAACAAGTTGGGGGAACGTTCCCCTCGACAAGACCTTGAATACATCAGTAAATCGGTGAAGTTCCGATATGACCTTTTATTTCTCATGAGATATTAGTCAGATGTTGGAAGATCACAATCCCTCACAATAGCTCACAATCTGTCGCAATGCTTGTGTGCGCCTCGCAAGGATGCATGCAGATTATTGTAGTCTCGTAGCTGGATAAAATCATATATATATCATTTGTTTCCAATTGTGAGACAGTGTAATGAAGTAAGAAATTATCAGATTGCAGCCTTCTCAGCTCTTGACGAAGGCAAACACTTCTCGATAACTTCTCAAGTGATCAAGAGATAAATCTTGGATAAATCTGCCGTTGCCAGTGCGTTTTGTGACTTTGGGCAGCGAGTCAGCCTGAGCTTTGGGCGCAGTCATGTGCCCATCGGCTGAGTTCGGAACATTGTGCCATGTGACTGATGTTGAACTTCTGAACTTCGGGACTCTAACGTTCTAACGTTTCAACTCCCCACCATCGCTCCCTAAGGCCTGAGTCTGCACATACACCTGCTCACCGATGTTGGCCGCATCCGTGAGTTGGTGTATGTGCTTCTCTGGTCTGGTCTTACCTTCTCACTGATGTTGGCCGCATCCGTGAGTTGGTGTATGTGCTGCTCTAGTCTGGCAGAGTCTGGTCTTACCCTCTCGTGAGTCGTGCCTTTGCACAGTTGAAACCCCCCCCCTAACGGATCTCATCTAGGATTATGACACGTTGGAGGGCGCCTTCACTCTGTCAGCAGTCCGGCTCATATTCAGCAGGCTCCCCCTTCATACACTCATCTTCTCCACCCCCTACTCCCCACCCCCATCCAGATGCCACGCTTCTGGGGGGGGACAGCGAGTAGTTCTCTTCTTGTTGCCTCGTGAGTTATGTTACCTCATGCTCAAGGTTCCCCTATTGATTGATATTCTGTAGGACTACCTTTCAGTGTCCGACCTCTTGAGAATCCTCGCTACTTCAAATTTTTCTCCTTCCCCTTTCCCTCAGCTCAGGCTTCCACTGTAATTCATAGTCATTGGTTTTTGTATCTTGTAGCCATAATATATATCTTTTAACCCTACAAACCATTGAATCCAAAGGCTCAGAATGCAAGAAAATTCCTCATAATCTATCAAAATGAATCACAACGTAACAAAGGATTGTATAGTGGCACGAGATTGTGAAATCTTGCTGTATATTGTGAGAGATTGTCTAAAAACGCAGTGATGATGAGGCCTCATCAGCCGTTGTGAGGGAAGTCGAAATATTATGGTAAATTGTGATGATTGTAGTTAATTGTGATCGATTTTGGACCTTACGATGGCTCAGGGTATTTCCCCTGATTTGCTGATGTAACTATGCGGCGTGGAGCCGACACGTGATCCTCATTCTAGTAAGGCTCGCGTCTGGTCTCGATCTCTATCTTAATGGCTTGTTTCCCGCTCCTGACCCTCACCTTGAATTTTCGCGCTTATCGCCATTGGAAAATAAACGACTCGGCACTCCAGGCTTTTCTTCTCATGACATGTGCTCCCTCTGAACATCCCTTCATTGAAAGCTGCGATCGTGCCGAAGATTACCTTGCGAAAGCGCCATGGGCCCATGTCACAGGTCACCCTTGTTCAGGAAGCGCTTGCTGTTCGATATTCAGCTTCTACCCTCACTTTGCGCCATCTCAACTGTCGCATCTGGGATATGGGCGCACTCACTCCTGAACGCTTTCTCTGTAGCCTAATGCTTCTTGCTCTTTCTGCCGATGCCTATCTTTCCGCTGTCCGCAATGCCATTGTTTCTGGCCTGTCTACTCCTGCAGACGACTGAGCAACACTTATTTTACTGGGGAATCATCAAGCTAGGGTAGGAAACTAGTAAATATGGGTCTTGTTGGTTGGAGAGCTTCTGAACGAAGGGTTGACTCGTAGCCAGAATTATCAGGATGGATTAAATTCATTATCATGTGGAACGCAATGTTTGTAAGAGAATTGGTAGAACAAAATCAAAGCCCAAAAACAACATCTATCGCGCGACCTATCATGCCAAAGAAACCACCATGACGGGGTTGCTGGCGCAAGCGATCAAGTTGGCGCGTTATTTCTGCCCTTTCTGCCGCAGAAGCCGAAGCAGCTTCTTGCAAGCGACTCTCGAGGGTCCTGATTTGACGCTGATGCTCAGCGGAGACCCTTTCGGCCTCTCGACGCGCTGAGTCCATTAGCTCCTCCATGCTTCTTTCGAGCTTGGCCTTCTCTTCGCTGTAAGCGGACGCCAACTTTTGGGAATCAGCTTGGACCCTGTTCATTTCGGCTTGCAGTTTCCTCGTCTCTATCTCGAGCTCTCGTTTGGTTTCTATGTCTTTCGTCCTGATGGCTTCTGTAGCCAGCAGTTAGAGGTTATTGCGTTTGAAGATATTCGAAAACAAACCCCTCATTTCCTCTTGTAAAACTATCATCTCCAGGCGATGATTTTCAGCCTGCTGCAAAAGGTCCCTGTTCAGTTCTGCTCCCGCAGCCGTCTGTGAAATGTCTTTCTTCTCGTCGACAAGTTCCCGCTGGATCCTGAGAGATCGAGGCTGATTTCCAATGATGCGTCTCAGAATCTCCTGCGCTGACTCTACGGTGTCATCGTGCCGGAGAAGTCTAGCACCTTTCTCCATCACAGGTTTGAAGAATATGTCTTCCCGAGCAAGTTCTGCTTCTCGTGCTTCGCCTACCTCCTTGCTTACTTCACCCCACATATTAGTCACCAAGACGACGTTCTTTAGGGTGCTGTCACCGCAAAGCTGTCGAAACATTTTGAAGTTGCGTGTCGATATCCCTCCCATCCTGAAGTCGGAGATGCGATGAAGGTAGATAACTCCTGCCAATTTTTTGCCATTCTCGTATCTGTGTAATAGTGAAAAAATCATCCCAAATTAAGGACGGGCGGAATGCGTACGCGGTCGCAAGGAATGCAGCTATCATTCTCAGGATATCTGTATCACTCTTCGTCGTATCGTCGAATCCAGGTGTGTCGATAAGCGTGACTGAAAACCCATCCAACTCAAACGGCTGTGCGACTTGTACAACGCTTGTGCAAGACTGAAGTCCTCTCCCAATGCGAAGGGTGCTTCCGCTGACTTTATTGATGAACTGAGGAAGTGAGGTGAAATCCTGGAAACGTCAACTCAGAACAACGAAGTCCACAAACGGTTGTCTTGCCGCTTCCCGTGGCTCCCATTACCCTACAGAAAATCAGCCAAAAATGAGCCGGGTTGAAGTTAGTCACAAAGAAGGCGGACCGGGAACTTACGCGATGGCCACGTCCGAAGGGTCGACAATGCGAGTCTGAACAGATGAAAGGATCAACAGAAGGCCAAACCAAACTCAAATCAAAGGGCTCACCGTGCCGGTACCGCCTGAGGACGATCTCCAAGAACTGGGTCGATGAGCGTCAAGCAAGAATCTGCAAGATCAGTAACAATCGTTCACGAAACCAGTACACGCACGAAATGCCGTGGTCCATTCCGGGCGGAAGATCTCGAGCAAGGATTACAGTAGAAGCGGGGCGGGAAGGAGTGGTAGTATCAAGGTATCTCATTCGAATGAAAGAGGACGTAGCTTCAGTCAGGACCTTGCATGCTTTAACATTGCTTTTGGTGCGCTTAAACGCGGAGTTTCGCTGATATTAGAAGGACCCTCGTGTCTTGTGCACGGCTGGTTGGCTGGAGGCATGTGGAAGATGGCAGGACAACGTTGCTGGGGCGAAGCTTAGCTTAACTGCGGAAGGGCCCGGGCACAATACAAGAACGAAGGATGTCATTAAAGGGTGGCCAATACAGACAAAGAGATACAGGCTGTAAAAGGCCGTGACTGGCACTAGCCAAAGTCAAAGCGATGGAATAGAGTACAAGAAACGTGAGACTTGCACTGGCCAAAGTCGAAGCGATGGAAAAGAGTACAAGAAACGTGATGAGTCCCTGGGCATCTGAAAGAAGAAAACGAATGTTAATGACCTATTAATTGAAAGGGGAGAGAAATGAAGTCACCTCTCCAACTCTGTCGAGATTTGCCATGATGATATCAACGTGATGGCGCGTACGCCAGAATGTCCGAAACGAAGATGAATATGAATACAGATGCGGTCAATGATTGCGATGTTGTACAGTGAGAGCTTGAGGTCGTCGTGAGGCTGGTCGTGGATAGGGTATGACTCAAATTGAGGACGTTGCGCAGGGTATAGAGAATAAGATTGCCGTTGCTGGATGGGGTGTGGCTCAGAAGTTATGCTGACGGGGAAGCTGTGGCAGAGGTCGTGGTCGTTGGTCGGGCTGAGATTTGCATGGTGGAACAGGGAGACGTCGGATAGATGGTGGTTGGAGTTGGCAAGTGGGCACAGGCGATTTATGGCGTACGCGGAGCGCATCTTTGCGTTCAAGAGCCATGTACTGTTCACGAGGACTGGTATACCCTCTCTTGGCGTCTTTGGAGGGTCGCTGAGTGGTACGAGCCGCAGCCAGCTGAGCAGCAGCCCGCTCGCGGGGCTCCTCCTCCACCTGGCGTTTCGTCTCCCAGTAGCGTTTTACCTGCACATCGCGTTCCGCCTGACGAACAACGTCAACCTGGAAGCGGTCATCATTCCCGTATGATTTGAGAGCTGATTTGGCCATCGCGGTGGTCACGATGTACGTGCCCTCACAATAGAATCCTCGTTCTTTAGACCCACAATGATAGAATCCCTCCACAGCTTGAGGTTTGTTGGGATAGTAACAGTTGGGTACACTGCATTTGTTGTGGAGCCAGGACGGCCAGTCGGATGGGAAGCGCGTAGTCTCGTAAGCCTTCTTGGCCTTCTTGCTCTTTGAGAATATGGAGACTGTAAGTTATAATCAGAAGGAGAACGATGGCGAGACAGCGGTGAACTCACAAAACATGATCGTTTGTTGTCGTGGTTAAGGAATGTAGAAAGTCAAATCGTCAAGATTCGACGAAGAGAAGACGTAACCTGAAAGAAGGAATGTGGTCGTAAACGTTAAGGAGAGATGAGACGCTATTCATGTCGATCTGGCTTTTATATACCAGGAGACATTGTGGCCTTGAGGACGGCTGTCAAAGGGAGTCAAAGGGTGGGCACAATAGGGTACTCTGTCCAGGGTCAAAGCACATAAAGAAATTGAGGCGCTGTGTCGTCATTGGCTACGTCCACCAAAGGCCTCAGCTAAGAAAGGAAACATGAGGCTTCACCGCTATACATTTGAGTGGCAACGAGGCCGCGCCTTTGTCCACCAGGGGCCAGAGTATCATATGCGAGGTTGGTTGAGTCAAAACGATATTGAAAAGTCGTTGACAATGAGAGCATCCACGGAGGTAAGCAGCAAGTCCGCCGTTACTATAGCATCTGAAAGCCAGGCTTCATGGCTACGGTCATGTCAGAAATAGAGTCAGGACAACCAAGTATTGGGTTGGAATTTTTCCCAGCGGCAATGCACTAGATGCGCAGAATGTTCCATAAATTCATGATCAATGGGTTGACAGTTGCCGAGTCCTTTGCCGCCCAGAAAGACAAAAGCAAAGTGTAAATTTATCGCCAGCCGAGAATGAAGGAAAAGCGTTATGGAGAAAGAAAGATGAACGTGGGAAGACAACGTATGAGTTATTTGGCTTCGAAGGGGGAAACAAATACAGAACCTGCAAGGATGAACGAAATGGTGTCTGCTACTGGCAAAAGGGCAGTCGCAGACCTTCTAGACGACGATGGTGACACACACGATTCACTGCTGCACTCTCAGGGGGCAGACGGCCATAGGCCACCAAAGAAACAGCGGATTTCAACTCCGTCTTCAGAGCCATCCTTGTCCACCCTTTCATATCCCTCGATTTCGACTCCTATCTTGAAGCAAACCCCATTCCAGCAACCAAGCCAGCTGATATCGTTCTCATATACACCTGAGCATGTGCTGGAGTTCACCGACTCGGCCCTTCGCTACTTTGTTGATCCCCCCGTCGGTGCTAAGTTGGACTATGGTTATGAGCGCTGGGTTAGGAAACCGGACGAGAGGGGGAGATTAGATGGACTTTTAAAAGCCATATCACAAATTCGAAAGGATCCCATGCGTGCGCCCAATTTGCCGGAGATAGGGCTTGTTTCTTGGAGAGGTGTTATGACGAAGTATGTGTTTTCTCTCAAGTTAACAAGGCGAATTTAGGCTAATGGTTGCTTTTGATTGAGTGAGAATTTTAGCCGCGCCATATGAAGAGAGGGAAGGGTGGGATTTGAATGTCATGTTTGTGAATGGAACATTGTACCTCGAAGAATATCTCACCGAGGCGCGCTTGGGGGAGAAGTAAGTCTTGTTGCCTGATCGAGTTGACCTGGTCCTCACTGTCGTTCTTGTAGGAACGACATGGAGCCAAGACAAAAGCGCCAGTCGTACTTTGGATATGCCTTTGAATCGTATTGTACTTCTGAAACGCCTACACGACAAAGCGGGCCTCCGTCCTCAGGAGCGCCCTTCGGGTGGGGCGGGGATGTTAATACGAATGTACAATGGTGCAGCGTCGTCCGGACAAAGCTCGGCGATACGCGCATGGTCATCGGAGGTGAAGTTGATTGTATCCGCGGTAAGTTCTCCGTTCTTATCATGGCGCTCCGACCTAATTTTGCCGGCACTTTTAGGAAGGTACACGGGAAAAACAGACTCATTTGTGGAATTGAAGACCTCGCTTGTGATTCGTGGACCTCACGATGAAGGGAGGTTTGAAAAGTACGGAATTCTTTCAACCCGGGAGTACGCTAATCACTCACGGATTTAACAACAGGAAACTCCTGAAGTTCTATCTTCAGTCATTCCTTCTTGGCGTGCCTGTGAGTTCACTTGTCACGTTTTTCGCGTGTTGCTGACGTTCTGATGATACCGAATAGGAAATCTTGGTCGGATTTCGGACTCCATCTGGCGTCGTGACCACCACGCAGACTTTCAAGACCATTCATTTACCACGTCTTGTACGCGGCAAACCGGATGCTTGGGACCCGCTTATTTGCCTGGACTGGGGCCATCGGTTCATAACCTTCTTGAGAAAGGTGGTCCAGGCCGGCGATGACGTATCTTCTTCATCGGTATGGCGTGTCAGATTCGTTCCAAGCTCCGGCGTGAGTGTGCAATTACTTTCGGGGCAATCGGATATCGATGAAGTGGTCAATGGAGAGGAGAGGGTGGGTTTCTTACCCAGATGGTATTGGGAAGAACTTGCGGCGCATCAACAAACGCCCGTCAAGGCCACTGCTGCGACTCACACTGACTGGCAGTTATGACAGTTGTCGACATGTCATGTGCAACATCGCGTATGATGATTCGGTATTTATGTTACAGAGCTACGGATTTGTATGCCATGTCCTGCAGGAACCCATTTGGATTCCGCATTGAGGTCATCCTTCGAGTCACTTGATCATGATCTTGATTTGCCACACTGGGTCCGTGCTTTTAGGAAACAAAATCGGCAATGGTGAAAATCCGGTTGAGAGAGAAATGAGTGAACAGCGGATGAGACTATGGACAAGAAAACAGCCAAGAAATAGGACAAGAAAATAAATAATTGGGGGACAGTGAAATTATTTCGGTAGAAGCTTAAAGCCGAAACCCGGGAGATGCCGATACGCGTCGTCGCGTTTGGCACCCTGGACAGCTTCCAAGCGCCTCTCTCTTCTAAGCAGTCTTCACCCGTCCCCAACGCGCTCCCCCGTCTACAAGAACTCTCTCAACGCCGTCCTTCGTGACGAGCAGCCCACAACCCTTATCAATCCCAGGGTGTCCAACCACGCGTCCATGGCGACTCCGTCGTCTTCCGCCACGTCGCCATCCCCACCTATGGCGTATCTTGCTCCAACTTCCGGCCCCATGCAACCCCCCTCCTCGAACTCTGGGGACCCTCAGGAGAGAGAACAGAGGAAGAAAGCAGTCCAGAAGTTCTTGGCAAGGGCGGAAATTTCAATGGTAAGTTTTCCTCGCATACAGACGCGTCGTTATCCAGGGCACTGCACGACGTGATGCTGTTGGTCCCACACACCACACGGTGTCAGGACGAGCCTATGTTATACAGCACCACCCAGATAACCACCCCTTTCGCCCTAACCACGTCTGAAACCCGTAACCCTCTTACTAATAATCCCTACAGGTAACTCGCGCCCTAAGAGCACGCCTCTCTTATGCTTCCTATAAGGCTACACATAACATCCCTCACGTTCCTTTGCGTGATCTGGAGGCTCAGACCCAGAGCCAAAGTCAATCCGCTTCATTTTCCCGCACCATCGCCGCCAAACGTAAGGCCGCCGGAACTACGAACTCCTACAATAATCCAGCCACACAAGGTTCCAGTAGCGCCGGCGCCAGTAACCCAACCCGGAGAGGGGGATCGGGGGCCATGGCTCCCCCGTCAATATCTACGCCACGGTCACACTACCCGTCCTATATGAATGCACCATCCAGCTCCGCGGGCTACGCCGCAGCAGAGGTGGCTTCCGGTTCCAAAATCACGAACTATACTCCGACCCTGTATACTTCCATCTTAGCTCCCCCACCGTCGAAGCAGGCTCGCACTATCCATAACGTTCATGATCCACCCGTTCCTGCACCAACGCGTCCCGCTCCCTCACCACGCCCACGCGCTCCCAAGGCGTCGCCAAGGACTGATCCTCGTGGTGGGCATGGCAAAGGACGTCAGTCGGACAAGGCCACGAAGGCTGCCAGCTCTCCCGACAGACGTAAAGCAAAACGCGCTTCTGCAGGCAAGGGTAAGCAAAAGCAACGTGCAGGGATGGATATAGACGTCGATGGGGACGTGGATATGAAGGCAGCTGCTACATTGACCTCCCTTCTCCTGCATCATCGACCCTCAATCACTGGGAGTGCATCGTCTCCAAGGTCTAGCATTGATGGGTCGGAAGCATCGACGTTCTCGTATTCTCATTTTGCTCAAAGTTCCGCCAGAACTACAAACGCATCGCAACCGCCTCCTCCTCCTTCCTCTGGATCTTCTGCTTCTGTTGGCGCAGAACCATCTTTCCGACAGCAAACTCCTCCTCCCCTGCCTTCGAGTGCTCCACTTGCGACTACTCCACGTCCTGCTCCTACCGACAACGAGGCGGCGGATCTAATGTTGTTTCTAGCGACATCCCCCTCGCCCGTGAGGCCCTCTAACAAAGACTCTAAGGACCTCGCAGCCTACAGGGCCTTGAGTGGGGGCACAGGGCCGCTTCGTTCAAAAGGCAGGGTCCTCTTCCCTTCAGCAGCTGGAGACGCACCTCCAGATAATTCTGCTGCCGCTGGTAGCTCTTCTCCGAAACCAGCGTCGACACTGCTGAGAGGAGGTGAAGGTGGTAGCTTCACATCCAGCATCTCTAGCATTGGTGGCGAAATGGCGGGAAGGGCAAGAAGTCTTGAAGCTCAACCAGCGCGTGTTGCTTCGTCCTTTGTGTCCCCTTCTCCCGCGCAGCTTCTGCCTCCTCCCCCTTTCCCCTTGCCAGTGGCTTCGGCAAGCCCGGTCCCACGGAAGGACCGTGTTCCAAGTCCCAAGCCCAACTTTGGACAAGGAACTTTAGATTTTAATTTCCACGAGTTTATCCACGCTTCTCCTTCCCCATCCCGAGGACTCGTCGTTCAGGGAAATAAGTCCAACCTTGGTCTCCGGGCCGATGTTGGTAGAAAGCTCTTTGAAGAAGAGCAAATGCGTCATCATTTGAATATTGCACAGAGTCCTGGGACGAGACAGGATGAGCGGGCCCTTGGTGCAGGTATTGACTTGGTTCAAAGTTGACGCTAATACGAATACGAAACATGGACACGCTGGCGATGCAAGTAGGAATGATGAACATAGATCGAGCGGGAAGCAAATTTCTCCCATTTCCCTTCTTTCCTTAGTCCCCCCTTTCTCCGCCTCATTTCTGTTGTACTAATCAACCGGATCCGTCACACGTTGTACCACCAGCCAAAACCCAACGCATTATCGCCCCCCAACCCAATATCTATTCTGTAACTCGACCCCCAAAGCTCTATGTCTCCGAGCATGATGACCTCCCTTTCTACGCACTCTCACACGCCCACACACAATTATGTATTCGGTTCGATGACTCGATGACGAGGAATTTATCAGCGCTATATATATGTCAGAGTTCAGAAGTGATCTCCGAGGATGGACAGTGGACAGTCTTCTCCCTTGCTTGGCTCCTTCCATTATTTTCCCCTTTTGTCCTCCTCCTAACGACTTGTCATTGATTTATCGAAATTTGTCTTCTCTCTCACAACCATGTTGGCCCCCCTTATACGAAACACCATTACGCCAAGTGAGGCAGCATTCTTTTGGCTTTCTTATCTATTTTTTAGTACTTCTAAGTCGCCATTTTCTGCTTTTGTGTGTTCCAATTGTATTGTGTACTACACTCATTCATTTCTTCTTTCTTCCTCAAGGCCCTGGGGTGCTACATCTCGTGGTCGCTAGTTTGCTGGTGACAAAAAATCTTGAAGACTTTACAGCCATGTGCAGAACATAGGGCGCGGCATGATTTTTTTTTTTTCGCCAAATAAACAAACGGATTTATGTAGTTGTAAAGTATTGTCTATGTAGCACGCTCAAAAGTCGTCCATTCAGCTTGAAAATAGAACCATTCGACGCAGATTTTGAATCTGCATCTGAGAGTATATAAATTTCCACTGCGAGGAGAGAATGAATGTGTAATTATGTACATGACAAAACCGCAAGAACGACGTTGACGTGGCAGCCTCCAGCCTCAATTCTCGTCCGCCCTGTCTGCCTGTTGACCTTTATATACATTCGTCAAGCTGCCGCCCCCTTCAATCCACCGAAATCATGTCACGGGTTGCAGGGCATGAATGGGACGGGCCACGTCCGGCCTTCCAGAAACATTGATCAAGCAGGATAAAGCACCAATAAGCTTACAATAATTCCCCCTCCTCCGGAAACTTGACCTGAAGGTCTGAGCTGCCCAAAAGACGCAACGGGCGAAGGGGGAACATTGAGTTGTGGATGCTGTGTATCGAACGTCGCAGATGATCGTTTCCGACGATACAGTGATTATTTCTTGCGGTCGATGGAACATGGGTACATCGACGTGTGCAGATTTGAAATCGGTGTCGAATGAATCTAATTTCAAGCTGAATGGACCACTTTTGAGCGTGCTACATAGACAATACTTCACAACTACATAAATCCGTTTGTTTATTTGGCGAAAAAAAAAAAAATCATGCCGCGCCCTATGTTCTGCACATGGCTGTAACATGGACATTGCGATAGCATCAACAGAAGTTTCTCAGTGTTTGATAAAGATAAAAATAGTTCCAACGGTTTATCCAAGCCACTACTTTTGGGAAGGTCAGCAAAAGTTGCCTGTACCTCTTACCTTTTGCATCAGACTTTTGTTTTGAGGACAACATCGACCACGACCCCTCGCCGATGCCCAAATAGGAGATCACGAGTTGGACTTTCGCCGGCTCTTAGCTGCAGCTTGCAGTTCTTAGCTCGTCCTGACAAAGGCCCGCTGGATGTGAATGGCTTTGACTCTTCCTCATGTTTTCTGCCTCTTCTTCCCAACCTTTGTATCGTTTATCTTCTTGTGAGTTCAGCCCGTTCATACACAAGGTTTTGCATATTGATAACACCTTTGTGTAGGACGCTCATCACATTTTCGCTCCCCATCTCAAAGTCTCTGTATTTCCTCTATGCTTCCGAAGCAGGAGGTGTAAGATTCGGTATTTGGGGCTGGTGTCTTGACTCAGATCCTATTTGCATGAACCCCATGAGGTGCGAATCGCTGTTCTTTCGTCTTTTTATTGACTATGATTGAATCGCGGGTCGCTTATCCACCAGACTGGGGTATACATGGGAGCCTCAAATAGCTACGCCAATCACCAGCGCGCTGATCCTCTTCCCGATAGGTTTGTCCTGCAGGCCACATAGCTGACCCACCCCAACTAACCTTCTGGCTTCTTTCGCTATCAGCCTCCGTCCTCTGCTTCCTGACTATATTAACCCTCATACCGATCTCGTCCGGCCGCCCAGTAAAGAATTCCGGAAGGGTATTCATGGGTTTTTCTTTGTTTACTTTCTTCGTCGCCAAACTGGCGTTCATATTCACGATTGCCATGTGGGCTATTGCCAAAACTCGATTTCGGAGAGCAGGGTTTAAGTCGCATTTCGGTTCTTTGGTATGTTTTCAAGCATTTCTGTTACCATGCTTCCACTTTTGCTTGTGATGTTGATGTTTTTATGTAGCCCTGGCTATCCCTCTTCGCGATGCTTCTCCTTCTCTTGGCTGTCATCCTTGGTGCCGTCTTCCTCAAGCCTCTGAGCCCTCAAGTCGTGCAAATGAAGGACGTCAAAGGGCGTCCTTCACGGTCCCGATACCGAAGCCATTCTTGAATTTGTCGAGCCTTGGACGTCGTCGAGCGCGTCATAGTCATAACAAGTAGATCTAAACAGTGGGACGAGGAAGAGATTTTCACTCAATCATGATAGTTACGGTTTTACGACATTTTACGATACCACTGCTTGCTGTTTTTGCGCTCAAGATTAATAAATACTGGATATTTGAATATTTCAGTAAGAATTTTTCCGCAGAAACGGTCAAAAGGAAACATAGCGCCCGAGTCATAAAGATTTGAAGCGGAAGTATGTAAACAACGTGTGCTCGGAGCTCCGACCCGTTGATGACCAAGATATGACTCCGTCAAGTCAACTCTTCCCCTCCACTGCTCTCAAGTTTCAACATGACCTCGTATCTTCGAAGTTGGCTCTACTCGGGCACATCCGCTGTGCCAGAAACGAGCACTCCGGATGTCCCTTCTCTAAACAGGATATCCCCACCTCCGTCCGACGACGAGGGCGAAGCAACAGAGACAGAGCAAGACAAGGCTGATGACTCCCCACCAGCGTTTCCCAGCCTCAATAGTGCCCAGAGGGTGAAAACTCAGAAAATACCGAGCATCTTAACTGATACTCAGCTGATGCCTCCACCACCATTCCCCGGACTAGCTGTGCGCACTCCAGGTGTTCCCTTTCGGGCGGCTTCGTCTGGTTCTTCCCTCGCGGTCCCACCTACAACGACGAAAGCGCCTGTTAAGCCTTCGAAGAAGAGGGAAAAGGTGGCCCTCGCTCCGGGTCATAGTCCTCTTGACTGGGCGGCATTGAAGTCCTCCGGTCAGGACTTGCGGGTGAGTTCGCTTCCTTGGGCTTATCAATATGATATCGATCATCCGGCGTTTAGGGAGTGGATACACTTATGCGGATACCACCGTCCGTACTGAAACAGCATAATAAGCGCGATGATGCCTGGTCCGCCTTTAACGGGAAGGTCTACAACATTACACCGTATCTGCCATTTCACCCTGGTGGTGAGAAAGAGCTAATGCGTGTCGCTGGAAGAGATGGGACCAAGCTTTTTGGTGAGTCGCTCGAAATTCATCTGCATTCCTTCGAGCTGACAAGACAAATCCAGCCACAACGCACGCTTGGGTTAACGTTGATTTCATGCTCGATCAGTGTCTCGTGGGCTTCCTGATACCCGAACCCTCATGATAACCCAACCTCCGACGATGAATCGCAGAAGCCTATTTATTCTTACAACCGGCAGCTTCAATAGATGATCCACGATACCCTGAGGTGTTGGTGTATAGATTTTACATGGAAACTAAGAACCTAGACGCGTTTGACTTTGGATGTGTAACAATACCGTGTTCCACGGAGCAGATGCAGCAATCTCAAACATATCACTTGAGATCATAAAATGGTATGTTCCAAGAAATTATGAATTAGGATCATCTGAATCTAATGTTACACTGACACTGGTGACAAGAGGGGGAATACTCCCAACATCTCCCAACTTCAATTTGGTTTCGGCAAGAACCTTGTTCAGATCATGAGGAAACTTGGGAGGAGGGGGAGGAGGAGGAGAAGGAGGTTGTTGCAGAGATGCAAAAAGAACAAAAATATGATCCGCCATTCCAGCAAGCTGGATCAGCTGAACAACATTCTTGCCTTCATGAATGTGGTCTTCCAAATTCACGGAAGGACTTGTTGGTTCCTTTCAAACCATTATGAGCATACTTGCCTACAGCTGGCTGGCACATGAATGTGGACTCACCAAGTCAAAAGGTAACCAAGTATGACCATGGCCGGTCCCTGGGTTGACTTCAATAATCAGGTTGCCTGTTGGAGGCCAGCTTTCTTTGATGGTGGATAAAGCAATGGCAACATCCCCTGCAGAAGCTCCTGGTTGAATTGTTCCTTGGACTGATTGAACAAGATCTGTGGGCAGACAGAGAATCTGTAGACATAATCGTGGCTTGCCCATCTGCGAAGGTACAGTTCTTTTCTCCGATATCAAAGAACTGTTCATTGTCAGAAAGAGGGAACATTAATGGAGAGTTTGAAACTTACATTTCAGGAATATCCCATTTTGCTGCTGTTTCTTTGTCAATTTCAAAAGAACATTCCAAAATATTTGTATGTTTTGAGCCCATTTTGACAAACCACAAACCAGGAACATTGTGGCAGGAATTTGATAGAACTGGGGTCGGAGGGCGTGGTTGAGTAGCTGAGGTCCCATTCAAGTGATTTATTTTGGGTTTTCTCTCTTCTTCATTGAGCCCTTCAAGTGTCGATCTGGTCGAGGAGCGTCGAGGACTGTATATTATTGTTGATGCAGGGCGTGATTCTGGGAGTCTATGTCGTTTTCCTGTGCCAAGGCTTCCAGAAAGTGAGTGTGATCGTGACGGTGAGGGTGAACGTGAGTCTATTTCCGTGCGAGGCTGAGGACTTTCGTAACGTCTTCGTTTCGGGGAACGTGATTTCCGCGGAGTCTTATCTAGGCGCTCAATTGTCGGAGTTCGTTTCCGCATTGGGGGTGACTTGGATCGACGGATGGGGGAATATGGCTTTTTAGCTGAGCGACGAGGGGCTTCCGGATAGTATGGAGAGCGATGACGTGACGTGTAAAGGTCCTTGCGGGTTGGCGAAGCCTCTTTTTGATACCTGCTGATGGGAGAACGTGATCGTGAGCGTCCTCTTTTGACTCGTAGATGCTCAGGGCTGGGTGACCGTCCATTCCTGGCAGGTGAGCGGGCCCGACGAGATGAAAAGTCGGCGGAACGAGAAGTAGATGGCGGAGGCGGGGAATATCGACGACGAGAAGGGCTGTGTATCTTATCTGGGCGTGCATGGGAGCGAGAGTAAGGAGGCGAACGTGTACGACGTGGAGGAGATCGTGAAGGACTCCGGCGAGTAGCAGATGTGCTGCTGTGTGAGGTTCGACGGTCTGGGGCTACATGCCGTTTCGTCCTGTCAATGCCGTCTGACGATATATTGGGATCATGCCAGAGAGATGGTCGTCTTGGATCCAATGAGCCTTTGCTGCCCGAGTCCTTGAAAGCCAATGTAGTTGGTGTTCGTACGGGCGCGGGAGGTTTCTCCAACGAGTCCGAACGGCGGTCTGGAATTGACGACCGTCTTGGTCTTGCTTCTATCTGCATGTCCGATGAATCTCTCCTGTAATGGCTTCGCGCATAGTCTCGGTCAGACGTTCTTCCCGCCTCCACTTGGCCATTCAGTGAATCTTGTCGAGACGCATAGTCTTTTGTCGACGATCTTTTGGCTTCGTAACCAGCCCTTCGATTACGAATCTCCCTGAGTTGAAGATACTTGGACGATTCATCCGCCTTGTCTTTGGGTTTCAATTGTTCGTGGTATTTAGGTCCTTTCGCGATGGGTGCTTCGGTTTTGTTCTGTCCTTTCTTGAAATAGTCACCGTAACTTGGGCTTTTCATCAGTTCAATCTTCTTCAATTGAGATGAGCCTTGACGCATAGCACGAGGACCCCATGGCGGCGTCCGGTTTGCTTTCTCTACGGGCAGTGACTGACTCGACATCGAGCCAGATTCTTCTTGTGCAACCTGTGAACCATCAGCTTGGATACTCACTACCGGCTTCTTGACGGCCGTTGCATTCAGTGCCACCATTTCCCTCCTTATGCCGCGCATTTGCCCAGCAAACGAGGTACAGGCCTCGTCGTCCACAACACCGGATAGCGCCCTCTCAACGGACTCGGGACTTGGTATTGTTTCCTGTCCAAAATCGGTTCGACATTGGGCGTTTTGCGTGATGAGAGGCAGTAGCAGCTTCCTTACATTCAAAATAAAGTCAGGCGGCACTGGTAAACTCGGTTCTTCCCATTGGCCTTCTTCGGGGGATGAATGAGGCGAATTTCTGGTAGGCAATGCTTGTGGGGTCGTAGAAGAATTCATAGTTTGTTCCAGAGATCCGCCTTCAGTGGCAGGAACAAGAAAAGCGGGAGAAGAAGAGGAAGATGCAGCGGCATTCTGATGTTGGACTGGAGCATTTAAGTTATTGTCCCGTTCAGAAAATGTGAGCCCTGGAATTGCTTCGAGGTTTTTGTGCGCTGCCGAGCCTTCATCGGCTGGTTGACGATGGTCGCCATTGCTATCTTCAACGCGATTGTTCAGGGAGTCGTCGGAGATGGTTGGTGCACTTTCAACAATGCACTTTCCCGCCTCGTCGTGCACAGTGTCAATCTAACAAACGAGAATGCCAATCGATCGGTCGACATGAGCGAAACAAAGAAACAAGACATTCTGTGACATACAGCCATTGTATTGATTCCGGAAACTGCCACTGCCTCATGCCTTGCCTGATCAGTCCAAACATGACCATTGGGCGCCTCTTCAGCAATAGTTCCATCTGGTGCAGGTGTGCTATCAATATCCATGTCTTCCGAGTGTAGCATTATCGGAGTGTGCTGGGCTGCATAGAGCCCATTCCCGATTCTCTCGATCAACCGCTTTGGGCTCTCCTGGACTGCATTAGCGCGTTTTGTGGGGCTGCTGGCGGGGAGTATGGGCAGCTCAATCCTCTTGAGCAGGGATGGGGGTTCTGCAGATCGGAACCTGCGAAACGGCGCGGTTGGACCCTCCCCCCTTCTTTCCCCTCCGTTGCTCGGAAGAAAGTAAGCTTCTTCGCCGCAATTGCTCGAAGCAATGCTTGAGGCATCGCTGTCATAATCAGCGGGGGTGTTTTCCTCTCTCCTCGAGTTGTAAGTGAGCGAGGAAGCGCGCTTGTGGTGCCCCGAATGTCCGAGCTGATGATCTTCACGTTTCCAAACGAGGTTTGAAAAATATTTACGTTTGCCGCCAATTCTCGACTTGAGATCGGCCATCAGGTTAGAAGGGGGAAGAGAATACGTCTGTAGTTCAAATAAGCTCGAAAGACATGAGGTTATTGCGATGTTGCCTGCAGGCTTGTGCGCGGTGATTGGTTCAGAGGGGGTAATAATGATGGGGAACACCAGTACATCACCGCCAGTGGACCGTGGTACTTCCGAATAATGGATTTTTGTTGGCCCTTGCAACAAAGGTCAGCCATATTCTCTGCCAGTCAGCTCTTGGGCTTGGGCCACTGCAATCTTGAATATTATTCTTAGCTTGCAGGTCCAAGACATCTAGTAATGGCTTCTCCTGACTATCACGCACAAGGGTTCAAGGACATCATCGTTACTCTCGACGGAGCAATTCTGACAATCGTTCTCAATCGTGCAAAGCAGTGAGTGTTCTTCAGAGGACTCATTAGTTTACTTACATCGGACTGTACAGTCGAAATACATTTACAGAGAACATTGTCGATGAAACGACCACAGTCTTTGACTTGGCCGATAGAGACGACCGCGTTCGCGTAGTCATTCTCACAGCGGAGCATACCGCCCCCGCATACTGCGCCGGGGTAAGTCCAGTATTTTAGGGCCTTACTCTCGGTGCTAACCTGTTTGAAAGGCTGACATTTCCGGCGGCTGGAAAGTCCTCTGGCGTCCAGAGGCCGAGAAGGAGGGTGAACATGGTGAACTCAATCCCAAAACCGAACACGTCTGATCAACTGACTTTTTTTGTTACCTTAGCACATCGAGATGGGGGAGGGAAAGTCTCTCTTGCCATCATGAGGTGCCGCAAGATCACCATTGCAGCAATCAATGGCCATGCCGTGAGCTCACATCTGTGCTTTCTTGCATCTTTCTGAGCAAACATTTTGCCCACAGGCTGGAGTTGGGATGACAGCATTTCACCTTCCCTTTGACTTCCGCTTCGTCTGGGCTGGTGCAAAGCTCACATTCCCTTTTGTTCGACGTGGGATTGTTCCAGAGGGTATGTAATCCTCTTCCTCACTAAATTACCACACTGACGCACAAAACAAAACGATTCTAGCCACTTCAACTTACCTCCTCCCCCGTCTCATAGGACACTCCCGTGCCAACTCCCTCCTCCTCACAGGAGCAACCGTAACCCCCGAGTCTCCGTACATCAAGGATCTATACCACCAGATCCTGCCCACCCGTGAGGAAGTGTATCCCGCCGCCAAAGCCTTCGCGGAGGAGCTGGCAGCTAATACTTCTATGGTGTCGATCGCTTACACTAAAGGGCTGTTGCAGCACTCTGGAAGCTCGATTGAGGAAAATCATTTGCTTGATTCAAGGGGTATCAAGTTGGGTGCGATGTCGAATGATGGGAAGGAAGGGGTGCTGGCGTTCAAGGAGAGGAGACTGCCAAAGTTTAAGGATAAGTTGTCGGAGAATGTTTCGCCTTGGTATCCTTGGGTGAGTGCTTTTTACCCTGGGCTTGTTGCGGGTGAGAAGTTAACGGCTCGTACAGTGGAGGACAATTGATGTCAAGCATCGTCAATCCAAGCTCTGATCTTTTCGGAGAATCAACCCAATCCAGAGCCAAAAACGTCTCTGAGCAGAAGTGGATCGTCCTTGGAATTCATTAATGTCTGTATTTCTATTGATAAGTTATGTACAATAGTCCGCTTCCACTACACATTGAAATCACCAACAACCTCCCGTTCCTCTGTAACGAGAATGTCGCGTCTATGTTGATAGATTGCGCTAACCACCTCCCTTTCTACCCATCGTCGATCAGCGTCTTTTCCAATGGGTTTGAGGCTATAGTATAGTGACAACGCAGAAAGTGCACCACCATATGCGTGTGAAATGCCTTGAAGAACGACAATTGTTGAGAGTCAATCAATCTCAAATTTCAGCGTCACGCACCAGTATCGATGATGATGATTTTCCCTCCACATCTTGCCTTGATATTCTACACGAATAGGTTGAGCACTTAATCGGATGATATGATAATACAAACCTTGAAATCGGGAGTATGTCCCATGATCATCCTCCTCGTCCCAGTTTTGGCGAGCACCCTATCGACGTCCGCACACACTTTCTTGTCGGGATCCGTAGCCCAGCCTCGGTACCACAATGGGCCGTTACCATCATATAACCTTTCTTCTTCCTGTGTCGTACCTAAACAAACCGAGGGATTCAGATAATTAACAGTGAGGTGAAGCAAGATAACACAAACTCAGCGGGAGACCAGGGTATTGGTTTGGCGGATGAGGCGGGGGCGGTTGTCTTCTCTGCAGCTTAGCCAATAGGGAATCCGAAATCTGATTGATCCTCGACGGGAAAGGCGTCAACTCCGTATACGTCGGGGACAACCCACCATGTACGAAAGAAATGGCAGAGTGGGAAAGAGGTTTGCTAGAGTCGTAATAATAGCTTGGATCGAGCTCCCCGTCCGAATCTTTTTCGTAGTGGATTTTCATGGATTTGGGTGGGTATGGGGTGTTGGGTGGCCCGAGATATGCGTGGAGTGGGAGTCGGGAGGCGGTGGTGTAGTTTGCTGCCCATGAACGCCCGATGCGGCCTGTTGTTAGCATTTGTTGCCGTGCGGAGACGCTGCCGAAAGTTTTTATTTCTGTTGGGTATACGTATCTACGAGAGTGAACGTTAAGCATGGGATGGTCGACAAGAATAATATGGGCGGAGCGTTACCTCCAATCACCTTCCAGACGTGTAAATATGTTGTTTTAACGGAATAAATAGAATACATACCAATCACGTTCATCCATTCGTGGTTCCCAAGATGAGAGAGTACAGTCCCTCCAACAGCCGCCGCCTGCGAGCGGAGTTTGTCCATCCAAAAGAACAAGGGTATCGTATCGTCTCCCCTACAAGATATTTTAGCTGCACACCAAAAAAATACCGCAAAAACCAACAACCCACCTATCAATAATATCCCCCGTCTGCACAAAAAAATCAACATCGCCCGTCCAATCGCCATTCGAGTCCGTAATACCAGAGAACTGCAACACCTTTCGCGCATTCGGCAGGTCCCCATGCAAATCACCCACCGCAACTATATGCCTTGTAAAAGGCCTGCGCGCGGACGCTGGGTTATGTTCGGGGTGCTGGCGGTCTCCCTGTGGATGAAGGACCACCCCCGGCCATATCGAACTTGAGAGGATTTGGTACCAGCGCAGTTGCGCGAGGATTTCAGGTCGGGTTGATGTGTACTTTACGAGGTGGGGGACTAGGACGTGGAGTTCTGCAGCGTAGATCAAGTAGAAGGCGAAGAAGAATGATAGGCTCCCGAAGAGGATGACTGGAGTTCGTGGCAAGTTCATGATCATAGGTTGGAAAGGACTCCAAGTACCCAAGCAGCACTGTGGTAAGAGTCGCTTGACGACGTCGAAGCCAGCGTCGAGCACTGCCAGTACAGATCTGATCGGGATCTTGGATGCAAACACCTTTCAACACAATATTTCACTCGATAATACTTACGGGGAACTTGATAGTACAACGTTACATAAAGGCTTTTCTCTTCTCCGTCAAAAACTCCGTCGGAATCCCGCTGAAGACCCATCCCGTCCTCGAGGCCTTCAAAAACACCCTGCAGTGAAGTCAAATGATCAAGCGCCTCGCGCCTCTTGACCCTTCTTCTTCGTCTTCCGGACCCCTTCCACCTCCTTCTTCGTCGTCGGCGCATTGTTATATCCCGCCAGCAAATCCTCTTTCCCCTCCGCACCCTTCAGAGGCCCCGTCACTTCGTCACGCTCATAAAATGCCGTCGTCGACGTCGCTTCCTTCTCCTCATTGATCGTCACCGCCTCTTCGGTGAGTTGCGTGCGCACGTGTTCGACTGTACGAGCTTGGAGGTCGCTTGGTGTTCCAGGGGCTTGGTCCGCCTGAGCAGCGCAGGGTTCGACTGGGAACAATAAAGACGAGGGAGCGTGATAAAACGTACCTTCACATGAGCCTCGGACTCAGTGGCGAGTTCCTCGTTCCACCCTGGTGCGTTTTCGTGTGGGGGGGTTGGCTTGTGGTGTCGTTTCTCTGCCTCTAAAACCTGTTCACGTTTAAGAGATTGAATAAGTAAAAGTGTGGATTCCAACGTACGTTGGAATCTTTCTTGCTGTGCGCATACAAGAAATGGGCGGCGACGGGTTATATCATTCGCGTTCGTCTTCACCAGATGTCCAACTCACCTAGTACTTTTGCCCTTTGCCGAAGACGACGCAGTGGCCATGGCACGTCTAACAACTCCTCCTTGACGCAGTGCGACGGCACGAGAAGCAGAGAACGGGTTGTACATGGTTGGTTATGAATGCAAAGAAGAAAGATATTGTAAAGGTTTCGGATGAGGATATTTAACAACTCCAAAACCTTATCATCTTCCTGCATTATGACGTCACACGTGATTCGGTCATTTTATGTGCAGAGGTCAAACAGCTCAAGAGCGTTCAAGCGTAGGCACGAACAGAAACAATGTAGTATTAGAAAAAACGGGACGTAAAAAGGAAAAGAAATCGGATCTCAGAAAGAAGGAAGAGGTATATCCGATATCGAGTAAAAGTGAGGTTACACAGTTCTTGGTCTGATTTTGGCGTGCCTGGATGCACAAGGGCTCTAGCAAGTCTCTTCTCAATAATCATTGTACACTGACGAAGTGTATGTACGTTATTATCATCACTGCGAACAAAAAAAAGATGGTGAACAACGACGATGAGAAGTGAGTAACTCCAAGACAAGCAGTACATACCAAGAAGTAATCAGGTACACGTCGTGAAACGAGGGGTTCCCCGGCCCGCGGAGCTGGATCGAATTGTAGGCTGCATGGTGGGGTTATTAGTTGGAAAACGAACAAAGACTGAGAAGGAGGGAGAACGCACAAGCTGTATGATAATTTTTCATCTATCTCCATGATCGCCGCTTGGTTGCCGCATCGGTAGCAATAATTTGGAGCACTAAAGATCGTCACCACGTTCCGGTCCTGACCCCAACTGTAGCCTTGATGACGAGACAGATATCAGTACAGGAGCAAATCAGGAAGCAAAGGAGCGCACCCTCCATAACTAGCTGATGGGCTCTTGCTACAAGTGTTAGACCATTATTGTGGTTAAATGCTTCTGAGATGTCCTGGCCGAACGTGTAGCCCGCCCCACGCGGTGATATTCCCCACCCGCAACGATCGTCGGGATCAGACCATAGCAGATCGCACATCGGCCCTTCATGCGGAACCTCTTGCACACGGTCAATAGAGCGTACATGGTCGAGAGTGTCGATTGAGGGTGACAGGCCACCATGCAAACAGAATATCTATTTGAAACAGCAGTTGGTTAATCAAATCGAGATGCGGAGGCGGGCCCTGAGCGGCACATAAAAGTCACTCACTTGGTTGTCGATAAGGGCAGTAAGGGGGAGGAAATCGAAAAGATCTGTAAAGAACCGCCAAACATTGGCGTTCCCGTATTTGCGGAGGCATTCGTCGTAGAATCCGTACACTTGCGTGATTTGCCTTGACTCGTGGTTCCCGCGTAGGATGGTGACACGGTCGCGATAACGCAGTTTGAGGGCGACGAGGAGCGTTACTGTCTCGACGGAGTAGTATCCACGGTCAACATAGTCACCCATGAATAGGTAGTTTGTATCGGGCGAGTTGCCTCCGATTCGAAAGAGCTCTGAGAGATCGTGCTGATTGCAGATGGGTCGGACGGTGTGGGGTTTGAAGGAGGGGTTACGAGACGCTCAGTGTGAGCGAAAGGGTTTATACAGGGAGGATAGACGCACGAATTGGCCGTGGATATCACCACAGACCGTTACAGGACATCTCACTGGCTGAACGTTGGACTCCTCCATCAAGATTTCGCGGGTCTGTACAATCAAATCATCAGAACATTGTTTCCTGTGCCTGCACAACCACAGCGCAGTGGCGCGCTACAAGGAATCACCTTGTCGCAGAGTCGTTTGACATCGGCCTCTGTGAGCTGTTTGCATTGGCTGAGCTGTTCGATCCAGCCATCGATTTCGTGTTCCATAAGAGAAGAGAATCGAAAGACAATCGTGAAAATGAACAAGTGAAGTTGACGGGGTTCTGATGAAAGATGTAATTGCGAGCAAAGTTGTTCAACACGATTGAAGAATGCAATCAATGTCACACGCAAGTCACAAAAGATTAAGACAAGACTTTTGTTCGACGCGCTCTTGCCACGACCATGGATCCAAACTCTGCCGTCTACGCTACTGACGAGGTACCATTTTCTTCAATAAAATCATACAAAACTTACTTTTCTTGTGCAGTATGGACGACCTTTCATTATTGTTCGCGAACAAGCGAAGAAAACACGTACTCATGGCATCGAGGCTATCAAGGTACCATAATCAAATCGCAGTTTGTCTTTTTCAAACTACATCCCTCTAGTCGCATATTCTCGCTGCACGTACAGTAGCGAACATCATCCGGACATCGCTGGGACCGCGAGGTATGTCCCAAAGCTCCCCCATCCCCATAGTGCTCATTCGTCGGCAGGCTTGGACAAAATTCTGATATCACCCGACGGTGAGATTACGGTAACTAACGATGGCGCTACGATCCTTGGTCAAATGGAAGTCGAGCATCAGATCGCCAAGCTCCTTGTTCAGCTGTCAAAAAGTCAAGATGATGAGATCGGGGATGGGACGACTGGTGTCGTTGGTGCGTAAAATCTCTCTTTTTCACATACATTCAGGTTGTTGATGCTTAGATATATTTAGTACTTGCTGGTGCTCTTCTGGAACAGAGTGAAGCCCTTTTGGACCGAGGGATCCACCCCATCCGAATTGCAGATGGTTTTGAACGTGCATGTGCAGTTGCCGTTGAGCACCTGGAAAGCATCTCCGACCGCATCGAGTTCTCAAAGGAAAGCACAGACAATCTTCTCAAAACAGCAATGACCAGTCTCGGAAGCAAGATGCAAGTGTTATCCACTGACCTACCAAATTTATTTTTACCCTATTTGTAGTGTATCAAAAGAACACCAACAGTTCGCACAAATTGCAGTAGACGCAGTGCTAGCAGTCGCCGATCTTGAGCGACGCGACGTGCCGTTCGACATGATCAAAGTCGACGGCAAAGTGGGCGGATCGCTTGCAGACACCACACTCATTCGCGGTGTCCTCATCGACAAGGACATGTCACACCCCCAAATGCCACGTACAGTCAAAGACGCGCGTTTAGCCATCCTGACATGCCCCTTCGAGCCCCCTCGCCCCAAGACGAAGCACAAGCTTGATATCACCAGTGTGGAGGAGTATAAGAAACTCAGGGAGTACGAGAAAGAGAAGTTTGCGGACATGATCAAGCGAGTGAAGGATACTGGCGCGAATTTAGTCATCTGTCAATGGGGCTTTGATGATGAGGCCAACCATTTGTTGATGCAGAACGAATTGCCCTCTGTGAGATGGGTTGGAGGCCCAGAAATCGAGGTTTGTAGTTTGATCTATTCATGTATCGTTTGATTGACGTCTCATCTTTTCTTTCCTTCCCAGCTCATCGCCATTGCGACACATGGGCGAATCGTTCCCCGCTTTGAAGACCTCACCAAAGAGAAGCTGGGCAAAGCGGGCATTGTACGAGAAATTTCGTTCGGTACAACTCGCGATAAGATGCTCGTCATTGAAGAATGTGCAAACACGCGTGCTGTTACCATCTTTGTGCGCGGAAGCAACAAAATGGTACCCTTTCCCGCTCATCTTCTTTAGAGTCTCGTTGATGATGTTTTTCTCCCACTATAGATCGTCGATGAGGCCAAACGTGCACTCCACGACGCCATTTGTGTCGTTCGCAACATGATCGTGGATAACCGCATCGTATATGGAGGTGGATCAGCGGACATCAGCTGCGCAATTGCTGTTTCAAAAGCCGCTGATGAGGTATGTCCAGCCGGCCTCACGTTCTCTTTTAGTTTTTCATAACCTCGTAACAGATTCCCTCTATCGAACAATACGCGATGCGAGCCTTTTCCTCCGCACTCGACGCTGTCCCTCTCGCTCTGGCAGAAAATAGCGGTCTTTCGCCGATAGAAAACCTCACAGAGGTTCGCAGCCGGCAGATCACGGAGAAGAATTCACGGTTGGGCATTGATTGTAATGGACGAGGGGAAAATGGTGCGTTCAATCCATTCGCAACTCAGTAGACGCTGAATACTATGATGTTTAGATATGAAGAAGCAGTCTGTGTACGATCCCCTCATCTCAAAGCGGCAGCAGTACCTCCTTGCAACACAGGTTTGTGTTTCTTTTGCTCTTCACTGCCTCAGATTGCTTGCTAAAATGGTTTCCTTTCTAGCTGGTTCGCGCCGTGCTCAAAATTGGTTAGCCAAACCTTTGTTACTATCGTGATATCCACTGACCATTACTCTATCGCCCATTTAGATGATGTGATAACAGCAGGACAATCTGATGATTAGACAAGTAGAACGTGCTTGTTTGGAAGTAGCAGTGATCAGAGCAAAGCATACATGCTGGTTAATGGAAAACATCCCATTCAATGTCAGTCGAAACAAGAGGAAAGCAAGTGCCCTCCCGAAAGTGAGTATTCACCATCAGTTGAAATTATTCCAAGCCTGGATGGACAGAAAGAAGAGAATGAAATGAGAAGCCTGCTTCAGTTATAACCCTTTGTGAGCATTGTGAGCGTGATACTGAGATAACTAACAGCAGAGGAAAAGGAAAAGGAAGAGGGAACTTGGGTGATGAGGTGCATCAACTTCGCCCTAAACATCGAGAATCCGTTTAGCTATCTGCCAAGCTGCCAATGAAATACTGTGCATCGGGACCTGCTTGATCAAGCCTATTCCCAGCCCTGAGAAGAATCCTCGCCATCCTGCCCGCGTCCACACACGCGCTACAGTTTCTCGAAAACCAATAATTCTATCAGGAGAGCCAGCACCGCTCGCTTGTTGAGTACGTCGAACAACTTCCAATGGGTAAGTCGCCACCTGAGAAACAGTCCCTGCAATTGCCCCAACTGCCAGATGTATCTGAGTCTGATGTGAACACAATGTTTCGGCACTGAGGTGCTCGCGCGAGTGCATCCAGTGTTGTCTTGACCCGGTTGACCCCGTCAAAATAAAGGTCAAGTCAAAGGGTCGGCCCGGTTATCATGGTTGTGGGAGTATAAAAGGAAAGAGAAAAAGAGAAAAAGGAGGGATTTCCTGACTTATAGTAACCTTTCTCTTGGTAAAAATTCCAGAAAATTACCACAAAATACATACTTACAGTGGCCACCAACATGTGAGCATGACATTAATTGTTATACCACTTTTTCATGATACTTCTGATGGCGAAGAATCAAAGTATGTACATACACTGACTGGGCAAAAAGAATGTCCCATCATTTTTTGGACAAAGTTAGTCCTGTAACGCAAGAACCACACATTTTGAGAACTACAGTCTGGTGTATAAAACATAGCCAAAAAGGTGTAGATTGTACATACCAAGTCTGGGGATGAACAAGTGAAAAGTCATGATAAGGCAGGGAATTGACTGTGACAAGTGCCAAAAATGGGATGTAACAGAGTGGGAAATTCTGAATGACTGCAACCTACTGAAAGCAATTCACAACTTGAGGAAGAGATATTTTGAACACTGGATCTCCCTGCTATTGTTATAAGCTTCATAAAGTCTCTGGGCTAGAAAATTTTATATCCTCCTCTAAAAGGTAAATTTGAACCTGTTCTCCATTTTATGTATTTTTCACTCAATATATTTGTTGGAATGAGGTAAAATGACTCCCCATCAATGTTTGTAGTGTGTATAATACAAAGGTTGGTAGAAATATTAAAATGAACATTGCATGATGTCCGTAGAAGCTAATTTCCAGAGTTTTTCTGGAAGTAAACAAGTATCTACAACATTGGTCCTTCTTTTCTGCAAGAAGAAAAAATGCTACCATCCTTTTGAATTGATCCATGGAGACTCAGGATGTCTTTTAAACAATGCCTAAAGTATAGCATGATAGCAAATAAATTTACACTGGGTATAACTTGAAAAGTCCCAAATAAAAGTACATCTTGCATAGAGCAAGAAAGGTGTGCC